GGCCCCTTAACCCAACCCGGTTTTAAATTTTTTAACGTTTGGGGGTTTTGGTGTGAAATCCCCCTGGGAATTTTCCCCCCCCCCCCCCCCCCTTAACCCTCCCTATTTTCAAGATATCTATCATACTAATACTATAAGGTATACTAGTCATGCGTATCATGCAGGTACTATTGGTTGGCAGCCACCAAGTTTTATGTTCTGTAACTCACTTCATGCAGAAATCGGAAGCTCAAGTGTGATCGCACCAAGCCTCGCTGCAACCGCTGCGAGAAAGCTAAGCTTGAATGTGTCTTTCCCGAATCCCGAAGGAAACCAGCCTTCAAGCGACGGAATGTAAGGGAACTCGAAGCTCGCCTGGGTAATTATTATGGCCCGATGCCGTAAAAAGACGCGAACCCTGAACTGACAAATACGCGTAGCTCAAGTTGAAGTGCTTCTGAGGGAAACAAACCAGAACCGGTCGCAGGGTCAGGAGGCTGTGCAGCCGATTAACGATCAAGCCGCTGAGCTCTCAGAGACTGAAAATATTCTCTTTCAAGGCATTGACTTCACAGATTCTATGCCCTCGTTGGACGATGGCAACGCATTCGCATTCCAACAAGAGCCGGCAATCACACACTCGACCGCCAATTTGGACAACAATCATGGCCAAGATAATACCCCTTTTACGGGCGACCTCATAGGCCTTGGTGGGATATTCGAAAGTTTACCCCCTTTTGATATGATGGAGGACCTGTAAGTCGCTCATGCGTAAGGAAAGTTATATCTATTTGCTCACGGAAGTAGAAACCGAATCTTTTTTGAGCGTCAGGGCCATCTAATCCCCATAATCCATCCCTCACGCTACCTGCAGGCCTTTTATTCGGCACCGCATATGAAACCGCCCATGTGTCTGCAGTACGCAATCTGGGCACTTGCTGCGCATGGTAATCCGAAATATGGAGCCTGCAGTGATGTTTTCTATCGCCGTGCCCGACAGTATGCCGAGTTGGATGAGATGAAAGTAAGTAGCCACATCCCCAAAGACCGCACTTTTCGTCCGACTGTACTTACCTCTCGAAGGGCTACGGTGAACATTTCATTACTGTCGCTCATGCCCAGGCGTGGTGTGTCATAGCCACATACGAGGCCAAACTGTTGCTGTTTACCCGAGCGGCCATGAGCGGTTCCAGGGGGGTTAGGCTTGTTCAAATGATGGGTCTCCATCGGCTCGACGGTAGCGCAGAAGAGATATGCCCAACCCTCGTACCCCCAAGAGATTGGATTGAGTTGGAAGAACGACGGCGGGTTTTCTGGGGAATCTTTTGCGTCGACAGCCATTGTTCTATTTCAACTGGCTGGCCGTTTCTTATCGATTCTTCCGAGGTAAGACAAGCAACTAATAAACCAGGATTCACAACTAATGCGTCTCTTAGATTACGACTCTCCTCCCTGCTGTAAGTTGATGTGCCGCCATCGGTTTTGGTCTTAACTAACCAGAGGCATTAGCCGGAACATGCGTTTTTGAGCGGCGAGGAAGTAGAAACATGTAGTATACAGGAAGCCTTGAAAGGAAAAACCTATTCTTCCTTTTCCGGAGCTGTCCTAGTTTGTCACATGTCAGAGCTTCGTCACCTCGAATATCCACAATATGCTAATAAAAATATCAAGATTCAATCAAATCCTCAAGCACATTCATCGACCCAAATCCACAGATAACCCTGATAATTACGAGTATGGCGAATACTGGCAACGCCATCGTGAGCTCGACAATACGCTCTCAAGCGCTTTTATGTATCTCCCTGCGTCTTTTCGGCTACCAGATAACTACCGTGACCCGGTTGCTGTACACACGAATCTTAACCTCCATGCATCAACCATCTGCTTGCACCATGCCGCGATCGAGATGATAGAGGCTCATAAATTGCCGGAGAGTGCCAAGAAGATCTGTCACGATCGCCTGAGCACGGCTGCGCAGGAAATTGTCAACATCGTTAGGTTGACTAGTCATGTGAATTCAAGCCCCGTAAGTAGTACATTGGATTGGCGAATGCCTTCTTTGCTTAATGCTAACGCAATAATAGAAAAGCCCATTAGCCGCGTTATCGCTATATTGCGCAGCCTCGGTCTACGTATACCTGTGTCAAGAAACACAGACACCCACCAATGTTGATAACCTTGACTTTGTCATTGCTGCCATGCAGGCCTTTGGAAAGAATCACTCTATTACACGAGCTTTCCTTCGCCAAGTAGTAATCGATATCGAACGAAATGGGATTCAAGACATTGTAGGGTTGGCCTCCCTCGATAATCTCGGACCAGAGTTCCGAACCCAAATTACGCACAACATACCTTTACTCGCTCGCTCTAAGATATCGCGCCATTCGCAAGTCCAACCACCACTGCCGGGTCGACTGCCGCTCGGCAAGCCCATGGGGGAAATGATTGTCGAGGATAGTATGGACTGCGAACACGGGACTTGGGTCTCGGATGTCAACGAGAACGAATTGTCTTTGACGGAAGCTCGGTCTTCTAACTATATGAACTACATGAAGAATAATAAACGAAAACGCGTCGCTCCCTCACACGGTACTAGCACTCTAGATAGCCTATCCGAGAGTTGCGACTCGCCCTGGGTTACAAATATCCAAGATCGGATCTCGACCAATCCCTCAACCCATTCTTCCCCCGAAGACCCCGTGTCTGTCGGGACGTCGGCATATCCCACCCTCTACCCCTCGGGCCCCGGTATGGCTTTCCAAGGGCCAGGTCAGGATTTACCGCACCGCACCAACTCGCCCCGTACGAACGCGAGCTCCCACCTGACAGCATCGCAAACCCATAGCAACAGCGGGTTATACCCGGTCAGCCGCTGGAATCTCACGGGCATGTACACAGAAAACAATGGCCGACCCCTCCAAGGCGAAGCCAGCCCGTGCAATTTGTCCGCGAACAATGATCACATACCCTGGTTTATCACGAGCGAAAACGTTAGCGTGGATTGGGGCGGGGCCAAGTTGAATCTAGACCCCGACGTGACGTTACCGGGATAAGTTAAGAGGAAACGAGAACATGACCTACTAATTTGTTTGGCGTATAAAGGAGAATTGTCGTAAAAGAAGCCATGTTGTTTATTTTTATTTTTATCAAGGACGGGCTGTACGGATCATGTCCTAGCGCTATGATATCCCTCTCAGCCTATGTAATGTATCATATCATATCATATCATATCATTTATACCTGTACATTATACTATATAGGTATGTACTACCGTTGGACTATAGTTGATCTAATTCCTAATATGCCCACGGAAAAAGGGTTATGCGACATGATATATATGAGGTAAATGACCTACCATTCTAATTGGTATAATCCCTTTGCCCTCCATTCTAACGCCTATGCTCAATCTCCGTTTCGATCGATATGCTAAGGTTCGTAGGTCAATGCTCGCCCTCTGTATATAGGTTAAGTACCTTATATATAGGAGCTCGTATACGGTTTCAATGTTTCGCACCGCATAAACGCCAGTCCAATGTATCCGTAAACTCATCTTATATGCTCTTTCTTTCTTTCTTTTTTTCTTTGTCTCATCATTTCTTCCGAGTTTTGAAATCCCTCGCTTGAACCCTCGAGCCCCTCATGTCGGCGCCGTTAACACCGGCATCACAGGCTCGAAAGTCCAGTCGAAGTCGTCCATAAACGTCCAGTCTATATTCTGCAGGGCATCGGCACCTCCCGGCATGATCGCCGGTGTTTCACAGCCGTTCGCTCCGTTGGTAGTACCCGGTACCAGGGTGGCACCAGAAGCGCCGGCGGCGGCGGTGGTGGCAGCGGCAGCGGTGCCGGAGGGCTGGCACTTGCAGCGGAGATTGTTATGGCGCTGGTCGTTCTTCCAGCGCGTTATGCAGTCAAAGGTTACGCTGGCGCTGAGGCGATGCGAGAAGGCTACCACGGGCTCCTCGCCCCACTGCGCTTGTTGTTGCGATTGCTGCTGCGGCGGAGCTCCGGCAGGGTCGCTGCGTGCCAACAGCCAGTCAGACCAGGACTCGAAGAGGTTGCCAAGACGCATAGGGAGGTCGGACTCCATGACGGTGGCGCGCCTGGCCGCGGTGATTATGTCGGCCGCCGACTGCTCCGCGGCCTTGCGGTCGATGAAGGACATGTAGGAAGAGCGCAGCACTCGGTACACGATGCATCCCGCGGACATGAGGGCGCGCAGGTGGAAGTGTGGTATGTGTCGCAAGAACTGCATCTTATTGTCTAGCTCGAGCGATTCGCGGATCACCACTTGTGCTGTATTATACGTCCGCAGGATGTTGCGCTTCAATGCGTCTGGGTTGTAACCCGGAAGGGGCATCATATAATATGTCTGGATTTCCAGCTGGACCAATAACGCGTTGAATCGATCGAGGTCGCCTATATGAAGTTAATACTTGGGCTGTTAAAAAAACCGATATAATCATCAGAACATGTTTCTAGGACGCGCGAGATACGTACCTGCACGTTCGGAGCAGATAAGCCCCCTAACTGCGTTCCACTCGTCTTCCAGGAGCTGGACTAGCTTTGCCGAAACGCCTCGCGCATCTTCTAGGCTAGCCGCCATAGTCTTACTCACATGGTTACAGAATTTCTGGCATTCGAGGAGGATGCGGAAGTTGGACGGGACTTGGAAAGGTGTCCTGCCGTCAATGACATTCTGAATAGTCTGATTGAATAGACAACCTAAAGGCGGAAGCCCTAGGAAGGAAGAGACTCTTTGAGCAACAATATTGTATCCGGCCCAAGTAAACGAAGCCTCTTCATCTGTGAAGTTATTCTGGAAGACACCATGGCTATATTCCGGGTGGGCTCCTTTCCCGCAATGAACCCCCAGCTGGGAGGTCGCAGTCATACAGATGCTCGAGAATAGTGCGCACGGGTCGTTCACAAACCGTACTTCCGGGAAGATCCAGGTGCAAAGTAAGATGAGGGCGTTTATGGAAGGCAAAGGGAGGGGTGGATTAGCAATAGCTGCGTAGGCATCGCGCTGGACAGAATCTAGCAAAAATGGGAATACGGTCGAGGTCTTGGCGTAGCGCCGTGTTGCTATGTATATTATGGTCCAAAACAACAGGTGGCTAGTATCGTAGCACTTATTTGGATCCCTAAATCGTACGACTGGCATATAAGGATGATAATGTTCAAAGTATCTAAGGTAGGTTAGGAAATATGCGTCAGAAATACGCCACTTCTCATGGCCTTACATGGGAAATCCACTCACTTCTGAAAGTAATAGTCGACATCTTCGCCCGAAAATGGCTGTGATCCAAGCGCTCTAGCAAGCGCTGGCTCAGCCGGTGGGCCTTGAATGAGTGGTATACTCGCGGGAGTATGTACTACAGAGGAGGGAGCGATTGTAGTGCTATTTGCTGTGGTTACAATAGTAGGAGCTCCCCCTTCTACATCCGCAGAGACGCTTACTGGCGACGGCACCCCTAAGCGTGGTGGGATAGGCTCTTTAAGGGGCGTGAGAACCTCGTTCCGCGGGGAGAACCCCGACGTTTGACTTGGCAAGGTAGTAGGTTGTCCACTAACACTTTGCTTGATAGATTGAATTTCCTGAACTAGTTCATCTAACTTACTGTTTTTCTATTTAGTACCTAACATACCTAGGAGGTAGGTAACCTTATACAATACAAGGGGAAAGCGGTTACCTTTTTCGGCTCACCCTTTTGTGAGTCTTGTCCACGATACACGTCAAGTGAAGCTTGGCGCAGCGTTGACACGGTTGGGCTGGATTTTGGCTGGGGTTACAGCGAACCTATAAGGAAGATTAACATTAGAAATTTGAGAGGCCAAATCAAGCAAGGGCCGAGACAAGACATACCTTCGCGTCTCGGCAGCTGGTGCAAGCCGTATTTCGCTTGATTCGGCCAGATATCGCATGAAGCGGCGTTGCTTCCTCACCGGTCTCCGGCATTGGCGCGGATATTTTTCTCGGCCCCGGTAATCCGTAGCACACTATATCAAATCTACCGGATTAAATTATTAATTAATTTAAATGACGTTAGTGTTGTTGCAGTTGTTATTGTTGAACGAAGAAGATGAATGAAGCACAAAGCTATCTGATAGCCGATCGGCTACAGCTAGTTATACATAACTAAATAAATTTAATACCTAAAACTAGAGGGCGGATATAAAAGGGTTTAACGCCAGTTCAAGCTTCGGCAACAGTTTCGGTACCGATCCTTGTCTCCCTAACCTTAGGGACCTTAGGGACCTCCTTAGGCATATCCACCGCTTCTAATAGGTGCAATCTGTTGTACTAGAAAAATAAGCATCCGGCTTACCAAAACGGCCTGTATGGGTTCTGAGCAAGTCTCGAAAAATTATTATGTATTATGAGGTACCGGTAGGTATGGATGATTTTCTACTCCCATTTCCTTTCCACAGTTCCTACCCACATACCCCATTCAAGAACATTGCCCACGATAGCCCCGGCAACCTGCTCTCTTGTCGCCGTCGCCGTTAACAAACTAGGATCTAACCGTTCTTTCAATGCTACAACCTCGAAGAAATCTACGAGGAGTTGGTTGAAGTTAGTCAGTTATGATTGAGTCATGTCAAGACATTCAAGTAACCGAAATTTCCCAACTTACATCTATGCGGTCCGTAATTCAAGAGCGGTCGGGGCGCGATGTAAACGCTACCATTTCTCGACCGGCCGTAATGAAACCCGCCTTTTAGAAGTGCCTTACCCGGGTCCTCGACCTCGAAGTCGGCTGGTTCGACGCTTGTCTTCGTAGGTGGGATACCTACGTAGATACTACCATGGTTTTAGTCTCAGAGCCGCAATTAGACTGTTTCGGAAAAAAAAAAAAAAAAAAACTTCGTTTCGACACTTACCCGTGGCAGATAGGAGTTGGTAACGGCGCATCCGGATCCTCCGAAACCAACAACCACTCTTTCACCTGGTCTGCGATATGCGGAGGCGCCTCCCATCGCAAGGCAGGGAACTTACCCGCCCCGTCGTGTGTGTACTCGACGCCGAGCACCGAATTGGTGGGGCCGCACTCCGGCGCCGTGACGATAACTTCCTGCTTTTCGTGCAAGTCGGCGAAGGCGGGCCCTTTCAAGAAGCTTTTTGCGTCATGGCCCTTTGAATTTTTGAAGAGCCATGATAACAAAACTTCCACAAGGGTTGTCATCCCACCTGTTTTGAGGTTACCTTAGGTCCGCGTTAAAGGTACCTAAACTTTACTTTAGACGGCTTTCCAATGTGTTGTTGTTAGTGCGCAACGAATTCAGGCCCTAGTAATATTCCACCTTAAACTTGTGTGAGAAAGGTAGGTCTAAGTAATCTTTAAAAATTCACTTCCTACGAGGTTACTGAGTCGTCTTATTTCAATAATAATGCTTGATTTTATAAACCGTATGGCATAAAAGACTGAAAGTTGAATTCGCCAATTAGATAGATTTCGGAGCCGAGAGCGCTTATGCATAAGAGGTACCTAAAGTTTACCTAAGGTAGGTGTTAGATATGTCATAGAAATGCCAAGAAATCTTATCAACATACGTCACTCCTATTGGGGAAAAAAATAAAGAAATAAAAATAATAAAATAAAATAAAATAAAATAAAATAAAATAAAATAAAATAAAATAAAAACAAGGCTTCCATAAGCAACCTCTGAATCGGTACCTGTTTTTGCATTCGATCAACCGGATAATTACCTAACCTAACCTTATACTAGCACAACCAAACATCTTCGACGACCATGGCAGGGGTGCTTCTAAACATCGACTGGCGGTCGTTATTAGGCAGAGATGCATCTTCTTCTTCCCTCGCGGTCGAAAATGGGCCTGAACTTGAGCCCGAATCCGTGCTCGAGCCCTTGTTTGTGCCTGTGGAAGAACCCGCGTTCGAACCCGCGTCTGAGCCCGAATCCGAGCCTGAGCCGGTGCCCGTACCCGAGCTCACGCTTGGGATTGCTACGCCTGAGATCGTTGCGCCGAAGATCGAGATCAATTTTGAGCCTTCACATCCCTATTACCCGTTGGGTGTGACCATTCCGGGTTACGCGCCTAACGAGGCGTCTGTCCCTGTGCTGTTGGCGTCATTGAGTGGCATGCTGGTATTTGCGCTGGTAGGAGCTTCTGCGCTAGCATTGAGGGTGAATCCGAATTTGACAAGAACGAACTTGATTCGGGTTTGCTGGTTTGTTCTATGTAAGTCATTTTACTTGATAAATACCTAGCATGTTCTCGTGTATGACATATTTTTTCTTCTTCTTTTTACTGACTTGATTCGAATTCTAGGCGGGTGTTTACACTGCTTCTTTGAAGGTGAGTTTACTATTATAACGTCAATATACACCATCCAATCCTACTTTATATACGGATGATGGAATGAGTTCATGTATACGAGATGAGAAGTTTTGCTTTCAACGGGGTCATTTAGCTAAATGGTTTTTGAAGGATACTTCATCTTCAATCACGCTACACTCGCGTCGTCACAAAATGTATTTGCACAGCTGTGGAAGGAGTACGCGCTATCAGACTCGCGTTACCTGAGGTCCGACTTCTTCATGCTAAGCATCGAGAGCATCACGGTGGTGAGTACCAACAACCCAAGCTAGCCGAATCAAACTTTGGAACACCAACACGAGGATATGAAAGCGAATGCTCATTATGAATGGCAGTTCATCTTGGGACCTCTCTGCTTCGCTAATGCTGTTGCTATTGTCCGAGGGAGCCCCGCACGGCATGCACTTCGCATCGTCGCATGCATAGCACACCTATATGGCGTGGCTTTATATTACGCCACGAGCCTCTGCGAGCTTTACTTCACGGGCCGCTCCCATAGTCGACCCGAGGCCCAATACTTTTGGCTTTACTACTTTGCCTTCAACCTTCCGTGGGCCATTATCCCAGCAGGTGAGTTTTCCAACAAGCGAAATCAGAAGCCAGGGCTAATCTTACCGACCAGTCCTTTTATATGATAGTGTCAGGACTATAACCAGGGCCATAGGAGCTTTGGAAAGAGTTGATGTCACACTAGATTCTCATCGCCACAGACTTAACGGGGCAAACGGCGTTTCTGAGACCAAAAAGACAAGATGAAACTGGATAGTAGTTGGTTTGAAAATGGGAAACGATTTTTTTTTATTAAAACAACGAATTTTTAGCGTTCAAATTGTTACATTCTTATAAGATTTCACGGTGGAATTTTTTTTAACATTTCATGTAACATTCGTCCAACATATGAGGATTTCTTGGACTAAATAGCTGTTTTAGTTAAGTTTGTCTATTAAGCTTGTAATATAGGTATGTTGGCGCTAAATTTAAAAGCTGCGGTCAAATCTTAGGTGAATATAGTGTGTATCTTTCGGTAATACTTCTGATGATGCTAGAGGATTATAAATGGCGCTGTTGAAGAAGTTGACCTCTCACGTATTGCCTCATCGTGTCTCCTAGGCGTGCACCACGCTTGGCTTAGGGGTTAGAAGGACCGAAAAAACCAACTGCCCCCAGGGATTTGGGTCTCAACCCCCCCATAACTCAATCTACCTTATAAAAATGCCCCTGAATCTTGATATGCACATCTGTCTTAAAGCACTCCGCCACCGTATTCTGGCATAAATTCATAGATGCTGAACTGTATGCTCTGTTGCTATGATCGTAGGAAATACACCGGAAACAAGGGTCTCCTTCATAATGCGTCTTCTCTATTAAGGGTTCTCCATGACAATTCGGAGGTAGGGTATCGTCGTATATAATACAATTTTATCGCACGTATTTGTTCATAAACCGCTTGTGGAAATCAGACCGCAGGAGATCCTACACATAAAAGTTAGTACCTGCAACCATTTTTAAAGATGGAGAGAGAGAGAGAGAGAGAGAGAGAGAGAGAGAGAGAGAGAGAGAGAGAGAGAGAGTGTGTGTGTGTGTGTGTGAAGAATACGTACGTTGATGAACTCCTTTCTCTTGCCCTTATCCTCCGTCCCCCTCGCCTGGTTCTTGAAAACAACATCGTCATCCCACCTAGCAAACCGGTATATATTAGCACAAAGGCCAAGATGTCATCATCGCCTTGCGGATATCTGCAACGTACCTTCGCTTCATGTTGAAGTTCTTGGGGTTTAGCAGCGGGTTACCGAGAGCGATATCTCGCTCTCGCTCTGCTTCTTCGGCCGCGGCCTTCTCGCGTTCTTCTCTCTCGCGCTTCTCCGCCCGTTCGCGTCTGATCTTCTCAAGTTCGCGTTGCAGCTCCGCCTCTTCATCCTCGTCGTCGTCATCATCGCTATCTTCATCGCTATCGTCATCGTCGTCGTCTTTTTCCGATTCCGAATCCGCATCTATGTCGCGCGACTCCTCTAATATGCGCCGCCGCTTCGCCTCCAGGTCTTCTGCCTCCTCCTCGCCACCTCCATCCGTTCCCGAGTTCAATGCTAAAGGCCGCTTCGAGGCGTTGTTTGTCGTGGGCGCCGTCTCGTCGGTAACGTCGGGGAGCGCGCCGCCGTTTTGTTTCGCGAAGTGGGCGGCTTCGGCAGCGAGAAGCTCGGCTCGTAGATCGCGGACTTCGTCCGCATCACCTCCTTGTCCGGGTTTCCTGAATTTGAGCTGGGTATGGGCGGGGAGGAGCCGTTGATGGTAGGCCGGTCCTCTGAGTGCCTCCTTTCCACGTGCCTTTTTATGCTGTTAGTCGAAGTCGACTGCTAAATATATCGATTGATTTGGGGAATTGTAAACGTACCGGATCGAACGTGGGCCTGTGTGCTGTAGTCATCTTCGATTATATGACGATAAAAAGGCCTGTTATATTTTATTAAGAAGTAATGAATAGTGAAGGCGTAAGTGAGGGTGTAAGTGAAGGTGCACGTGAAGATCTTAAATGTTGTTCGTTACAAGGTACTGTACCAGAAGTTGAGACGACTCCAGTTCTAACTTCCAGGTGATGGGATGAATGGACCCACTATACTGAAAGGATTAGCTGCAGCCTGCAGGGTCGGCATTTAAGGATGCCAAGACCCGACCTTGCATGGGATAAGTGCATACCTTACCTAATTCTACAGCAACACCGCCCGGCAGAATTTTGCATCGCTGAGCTGCTTCATTACATTAGAGGTACTGGAATTAGTACGCCAAGAATGAGGTGAAAACGAACGAGAATACCTAGCATCATTCTTCTTTCTTGTTTTTCCTCATTATTCGTCTTTTTCCTCTACCATGCCTCGAGAGGCAGAACCTTCGCTCAATGAGCGCGCTTTCGTAGTGCAGGCACTACAAGAGGGCCTGCGCATCGACGGTCGCACCTTTGATCAATACCGGAAGCTCGAGCTCAAGTTCGGCGAACAATACGGAGTCGCAGATGTAACTCTTGGAAAGACAAGGTAACTTAAAAATAAAAATAAACTTTAAACATATGCTTAATCTATTCAATAAATGTTTACCTAGACGTACTAATTCATATCACTTCATATAACTAGAATACTCGTCAAGGTCTCAGCCGAAGTCACAACGCCCTACACGGATCGGCCCTTCGACGGCATCTTCACCATTGCGACAGAACTCAGTCCCATGGCGTCCCCCGCTTTCGAAGTTAATCGTCCGACAGAAACGGAAATTTTATTATCGAGACTACTTGAAAAGACCGTCCGCCGATCGAATGCTCTCGATACCGAGTCGTTGTGCCTCGTCGCCGGACAAAAGTGTTGGTCTATAAGAGTTGACCTACACGTCCTCTCGCACGATGGCAATCTGATTGACGTCTCGTGCTTCGCCGTTGTAGCGGCCTTGCGCCACTTTAGGAAACCAGATACGAGCATAGAAGGAGGTAACTTGACTGTGTATACTCCCGCCGAACGAGAACCCGTACCATTAAGCTGGTTGCATTCACCCTTTTGCGTCACATTTAGCTTTTGCGGAGAAGGCGAAATCACGTTGCTGGATGCCAATCTCCTGGAGGAACAATTAAGGGTGTCTAGCTGTACGATCAGTCTTAATAGACACGGGGAGATATGCCAGATCGCGAAGTTGGGCGGCACACCTGTGGAGGCGGCCACGCTACTTCAATGCGCAAGCGTCGCGCTTAACAAGGTTAAGGAATTCTCGACGTTATTAGATCAGAAGCTAGCCGAGGACTCGAAGCGGAGGGACAAAGGTGGACTCCTGGCAGAATTATCCGCAGAGAATGAGAGATAGCAGAGACACCGAGCTTCTCCCTCTGATAGATGACCAAAAAAAATAAAAATAAAGATACCCATGATGAACCTGACGATAATCTTCCCATCCCCATAACGCCTACTCCAACGACGCTAAATGCAACCCAACGTAGAGGCCACTTTGGCCGAATAGTATATACCTGTATATAACCCTTTCGTGGAGTCTTTCCCTTCTCTTATATCACCTCATCACTGGCGGTCTCGACTCTTTATTCCATTTAACCCTTGACCTAACCCAATCGATGGCTTCCCTCACGCCCGTGCCCGTCAGAGCGCTCACCGGCAGCACCCTGGAATCGCGAATGCTCGACGCCTTCTCGCCCTCGAACACCTTCTTGACCAAACCCTCCTTTATGCGCACGACCTCGACGCAGTCCTCGCGATCCTGCTTGTTGGCCAGGATCAGGAGGGGCACGCCCTCGGTCTCGGAGTTCTGCAGGACGTCCTCGAGCACGAGGCGGCACTCGTCGAGGCGGCCGGAGCTGTCGTGCTCGAGGGAGCCGTCGCCGATGTCGGTGCTGTCGATGATGAACACGATGGCGTGGCAGCTCGCGTAGTAGCTCTGCCACAGCCTGCGCAGGCTCATCTGGCCGCCGACGTCCCAGATCTTGAGGTACATGTCGGGAAGGGTGAGGGTCGACACGTTCTGCCCCACCGTCGGCACCGTCTTGAGCTTCGGGTCCGGGTGCTCGGGAAGGAAGAGCGACTTCGCCTGCTCGTGGAACGTCGTCTTGCCCGCGTTGTCCAGCCCCAGCAGGATCACCGAGTACTCCTCCCGCCGCCGCGCGAGCAGGTACAGCGACTTGGCGAGATGGTACATTCTTGCTTGGGTGGGCGGCTAATTCTTCTTCTTCGAAAAAGAAAGGATCGAAAAAGGTTTAATTAGGTTTAACTACCTTAAGAGGTACCTAACTACATGTAGGTGGTGGGAAGGGCAAACAGGCAAACTTTCAGCCCCGCGGAAGGGCTTTGAGGTGATGTTTTAGAAGGACTGACCAATGATGTTGTTGTGTGATTCCGTCTTGATGGTCTGGGACCTGGGTTTAGGTACCTACTTGAATGGAATGTTGGAAATACGTGTACATGAGTACTTGCGACGACACGGCATGTGAGCTAAGCCTATAAAGGTTAGTCTGTGTGGTATGGTTGGATTGGTTGGATTGGAATGAAGGGTACCTAGTTGGAATGAACTACCTAAGCACGGGGCAAGAGTACCCACCTAGGTATCATTGGTTAGAGAAGTAAGCTGAACAGTTAATAGTATGCTGTACCTGCAGAACAGAGCCCTGACTTCCAAGTTTTCGATGCATGTGTCAAGTAAGTTGGGTATCTACCTTAGGTATCTCTACCTGTATGAGGTAGCTATACTTGTAGGTACCTATTTACTGAATCTATTTACTGAAGGTAATAAGCTTAGGTAGGCATCACAATATTCATGGCTCTTAATCTTAATTTCTTATTATGATGTTAGAATAGCAGTTAGTGATTTTATAAATGTTCTTTCTTAAAAAAATAAAATGTTAATAAAGATAAGAAGTTATTTACTTAAGGTAGTTACCTCTATGCAAGTGTTTGAAGATATCAAATAGTATAGTCACAGTTGTTACGTTAGGTAGTAAATTACCTAACATAGGTAATAAAGGATGAGCTGGTGCTGAGAGTATATCAAGCTAAACTATTATTGAAAGTGACACATCAGCACCCAACAACGACAACAGCAAGCAATCGTCATTAGGCATATATACTTCATAAAAATTTTTCATACAACGAAGCAATGCAACAGTAATCATAGTGACAGGTTCATAAATTTAGCATAATCTTCTTTTACTTAATCTAGACCTGTTCTCAAGCGGAGATTTATTAACAGGTACCTACTTGTACGGTTTATCAACAGCAATATCACAACTTCTGTATTAGTACCATACACCTTTCAATACCTGTATTACTTACCTACTATTTCATTCCATTGATACGATTTATTCATATACGTTAGATTATTCAGCTACAGGAACAAAATACTTAGGCGGGGTATGTAATGTTGCTTTTCGACTTCCTGCGTGGGATCGATTCTTACTGAAACCTCTCGATTCTCATCCAATAGCAATAAAAAACATGGCGTCATATTAACTCAATTATTTCCTGCGAGGTTCGTTCACCCGAGCTTGTTTAGCTCCCCAGCCACGAAAGCGACGACTTGCATTTACATGTAACTGTTTTTTGACTTATACAGAGATGCGCTTGCAACCCTTGCAACCCTTGTAAGCTGTAAGCTGTAAGCTCTTAACAAGTCGAACCCCGTTACGTATAATTACTTAGGCCCTCGATCTTCGTCGCCGGGTACATAGTATATATATCTGGGAATCTCGATTTCATTTATTGGGTTCAATATGTCCCCAGTGCCTTTTGAGCACCCCGTGAGGTATGTGTTACTATAATTCTATTTTACCTACTCGTAAAGTGTATTAGTTAATAACGTCGATTCTAGGCTCACCCCGCTGGCGGTGGTTGGCACCTATCTCACGGCGGTGGTCTACTTGACATATACAATCGTAGCTGGGCTCTACGCATCGTATAAGTCCTTAGGTCCAGCTCAGGATATACGGTCACGTTACGCGCAACGTAGGAGACTGGTTCCTATTTTTCTCGGACTTGCTGCCGTGGCTTTTTATTTAGCTACTTACAATTCGGTGGCGTCGGCAGTCTTGTCGTATAAGACATGGGCGCATGAGCAGGGCGTCCATGAACGAGAACGGTATATTACCTCTTATTAGTCCAATTCTAACGAGGTACCTAGTATTATCTTAATATCTAACTTATATATATATAGCCATATACTTGCCGAGAAACTTGTCCTTACTCCTCGCGACCTGAAGAGATCGAACTCCCTTTATATCATCCAGTGGTTAAGCGACACTCCAATCTTCTACGATGCCGTAGAGATTGTTGCCGAGAAAGCCCGTCGTTTCTGGTGGGGGCAACAGATCGACCTCGCGACGGTAGCGTTTAGCATGCTATTATCAATCGAGGGGCGACGACGAAACATCCCTTTAATCCCTTCCTTTTTAATTCTAGCTCACCTCGTCAGCCTGTCGTTCGCGCAGAATCTATTTTACGTCGCTCTTCTTTTAACTCCGTCGCCAATAGTTCCGGGAAGTGAGAGCCTTGAGATGCCAGTAATACCTCTCCTCTCGACGTTGACTTGGATTCGCGACAAAGTTTTTGCTCCAAAGCCGAAGAATTGGTATTTACATCCTCACATTCTTTTTACGGTTTTGGGCTTGAATTATGTCTCAATATTTCTCCTTCCTTATGCTGCGGACACACATTCGTTTGTGAAAATTGTTCATCTCGCTCGGGCGTCGACTTTTTTGCCCCTTATCTTACCGGCAATTGCGCCGGTCAGCTGGGGCGCCGTCTACGTATATCCTTACGATGCTTACGATTTATTCAAGACAATATTTCGAACTATTTCTTTCGTGTCTTTCGCGTTACACACCAAGTCGACTGTTGACGGTCTACGCTACAATGTTCCTGATTCCCACCATCATCGTCACAGTGCCTTCCTCCCCTGGAATGTCGAAGAGCGAGCCAACTGGGAACAAAGCACTACGGCCATCGGCAAGGTTTTAGGTTCTCTCTATGACCATCCTGCTGTAAACGCTGTCGGGTGTGATGTTTTAGTCTGCACAATCAGCCTCGGCCTGTGGGCTGCTATTCGCGCTATAAGCGTTCAAGACATAATAGCATCAGCTATCCCGAGTTTCAAATTTCGTCTCAGGGCTAGGCGCGTCGTCGAGGATAACATGTTCCGTATGCGTCGATCGCCCTACAGTCCTTATACCCCTATTAACGCGCTTTATGATTATCCCGCAGAACGTGTATCCGAGCATTCAATGATCTTAAGAAGCCAAAGTAGATCAGCGCTATCGAGGCGGCTACGGAGTTCGTCAAGGTTAAGAAACGGATCAAAGTTCAGGAGCGAATCGAATTCTAGAGATTCATCGAGAGTTAGAAACTTATCGAAAGTAAGAAACATGTCGAGAGCGAGGAATGAATCGAGAGTTAGGAATACGTCGAGGGTAAGAAGTGTGACGAGGTTTGGTAGTGTCACCAGCTCGTGCACAGCGAGTGAGGATGGGTCCATAACTCCCGGGCGAAGACGAGGACGCTCAAGGGTGTCTAAGAAACACGACGATAAATTATATCGATCTGCTACATTCTCGGCCAGATCTTCGGTAGAGTCAGACCTCATACCGGCTGCGGAGTCAGATTGGGACTCTGCAGCTGTATCTTGGAGCATGGTTGTATTTACTGGTCTTGGTTCAGTGTCGGCAGGTGTTCTTGGAGCGGAATGCATTACGAAATGAGAGATGAATGGGCAGGTTAAGGCTATCATGAGGAGTCTGGATTAATGACGAGAGTAATGAGGTAAAACAGGATCGGGATGTATTGGAGGTTATTGGGAGCGGTTAACGATGGGAAGCGGTTTAGACTTATGAATACCACTCAGCTTAGCGGCCACGGCTGAGTACCTTATATATCCACATAGATATTGAACTCAAGAATTCTCATACTCCATACTCAAGGGTATGCACTCCGTGTATGATATACCTCTTATCTCTTTCAAGAGTTCCTTACACCACAGTGTGTTATTCTGAAGGGAACAGTCCTCACCGTGCACCTGTTATCGCTACACCTGAAGGATGAGCTAGCAAACAACACTGACAACGAAACACATTCACCGAGGATCTACCTATAAAGTACTTATAAATTCCAATTTAGAGGTTTTTTTTCTTTACTTTATTTCCAATCACCACCACTGACCCATTTCCCCTACACCTACCCCCTGCCTCCGAAGTTGCCTACCTACCTTATTTTAACTCAGCAAAAAAAGAGCCACCATATCAGGGCCGCAGACAACTGTCTCCCAACGACAAAGCTACAGAACGAGCTATGTAACGAAGCTTGGTCGTTTCACTTCTGACCTTGTTGCCAGCCACTTACGTTGGTATATCTTAGCTCTACAAATTTACGCCTAGGTACCTAGGCATGTTCAGCCCTCGATGGGATTCATGACAAACGCAATCGCTAATACAGAGAAAACCGAAAAAAAAAAAAAAGCTTAGAAAATTCCAACTCTAGTTGACTCGAATGCCCGCCTTGATTGTTGCACTATCACATCTACTAATTCTACTTGGGCCCCGAAAATCCTTGTCACGTCGCAGAGCATGCAGTAGGTAAAACAACTTCGTTGTTCCACAAGGAACTCTAACTACAGTTGCTTTGAAGCCAAAGCTATATACAGAATAACTCCTTTGTTCCAAGGAGTCTCAAGTGAGACTCTTGACAATCCTCTCGTCCTTTAACGTCCTGTGAGCGACCACACCTCCCGAGATAGGTACCATTCCGGCTGCTGCTGTCCCGCCGTGAACATCGACATTCATATGAGTAAAGTGGACCCTGATCGTCGACAATCACCTCCCTCCCTCTCTTTCCTTTTCCTTTCCTCCTCTTGAACCCTCCCCCCCCCTCCCCTCAGGCCACAAACTTCATGAGGTCCCCTTAACTCCGCGTCGACACCTAGGTAGTCTCCAGGAGGAGCGGAACGGCCCGGAGACGCTTCTGGGTGAATTTCTAACTACGCCAGCGGACGTGGCTTTAGGAAGCGAGTACCTATGCCATGTAAGAGAGCTATGACCGAAAGAAATCGTCGAAGATATATCATATGATAGAAGTTCCCTCGTGTCTTGATAGGTGCCTAGTTTACATGTTCCCATGTTGGAGCGGCGTGATTGATGTGGTTGTTATACAACATATACGAGGAAATCATGTCTTCCTTTTGAAATAATTAGATTTGTAAGGCCAAAAAAGGGGAAGGTAGGTTATGTTTTCTTTGCAGAGAGAGTCGGGGCCTTTTTAACAGTTTTTTGTATTATACATATGATATTCTACACGACATGCATGTCCATTAATTCCGGTACTTCGTTATAGTAGTTCTCTTATCTTTTTCATCGTATGCATATCTAAGTGTGTAAGATGAGGTTTGATAATAATCCTAGGTAAACAGCAAGCAACTTTATCAACAGGGCAAACGACAGCAACACCGTAAAAAAAAAAACATATTCCACTTGAAAAAAAAGGATAAAAAAATACAGCCCAGGCAGGATTCGAACCTACCATACTCCGGCAACTCCGTCATCAGCTCTAGCGCTCTATTATATATATATAACCCTCTATGTCTATTCCAAGGTAGAATCCCCTCTAAAACGCCAATCCATCCCAAAGGAAATGCCTCAGGAAACCGGAGCGTGTTACCACTACACCACTGGGCCTTGTTCTGTGGTGATAGACAGTTGGAAATTACGCCCTTTAACGTACTTGCCCGTTGCAAAGGTCCGCGGGGGGCGGATACCTGAGTCACTGCGTGCGCCTTGGTTGCCATGACGGGAGGAAGGTGCAGAGCCCCAGCCTTTCAAACAAGTGCAGGTACACCTGCTGTGAATAACTAAACGATTTTTTTTCAAACCAACCCTTTATTGATTACCTGCATTAACAGTGAATAAACCGTATAACATGAGGTTTTGGTAGGCGAACAACACAAGTTACATACCGATGTTAATAAGCTCCTTTTAATATACAAACAATACTTTAGGTACCTTCTTACTCCCCCCTTTTCCTAAAATAATGAACTTCACTTCACCAAAGTCCTTCCATATGCATACATGTATGTACCCACGAGACTTAACACCACGTACTGGGTACCTAGACCTACCTAACATCACGCACCTCTTATACTAGGTACCTTACTTATAACAGATCTTTGTATCTCTTCGGACGAGGTTAGTATTCCACTGATGAAAATGTTTGCGGACCATAGAGCCAAAAGCAGTCCCACAGCCACCGCCGGGTTCATCCAACGGGACAGCTCCTTCGTGTGTGTGTTTGCGTACGCCGAAAGGCCGATAAACACGACCGTGAGCATCGCCGTCTCGGCCAACCGCCCCTAGCGGCCTTCCGCGTATCCCACCGTAAGTTTTGCCGTGGCGTCGCCGCAAAGCCAGATGTGGTATTGTAGGACGTACGTTTCTAGCGAGATGCTGCCTAGGTAGTGCGGTATGGAAAGGAACCTATCTCGAAGCCTTCTGGTCGAGTTTCTGAGTACCACGTAGCCTAGAATGGGGATCCAGGATATAAGTGGGTGCATATGGTTGTATGTTTTCTTGTCTGGCAGATAGGTCTGCGTGACGTACAGGAATGTCAGAACACCCCCAATACAGATCGCGGTAAGCAAACGGGTGAATCTTAAAGATAGAGTCGTTTTACCGCAGCCAAGTTGAAGAACCGTTCGTGCCCTGCGGACAGAGGCGCGATGGACTAAAGCCGCCACGACTATCCCGACGAAGGGGATGTAGCGGTCTAAGCCCAGCCTAAAACGCATTTCTTCCGGGTCGATGGATATGAAGAAAAGTGCGTACATGATTTTACTGGCGGTTTCAAGGACGCCAGGCGTGAGTATAAACCATTCGGTGAGCTTTGTCGTCAGGAGCACCTTGAAAAGTAACCAACGCATATCCCGGTTGCGACTTTTGAAGATGAAAAGCATCATGTACGAGACGAGATACCAGAACGTCGCAACAGGAGCAAAATAATACGAAGTGTATGTTGTCCCCATCATGTACGAAAGGGAAACACTCAGAAGGTTTATACGGAACAAGATCTCTATGAGGCGCTGCACAGAGAAGTCGTTCGTCGTGAGAAAATATTGCGTATGGGCGTAGCCGGATATGTAGAGATACCCAGCGATAAACAGCCGGATGATCTTGTATACCCAAAGGGCCTGGGACGCGTAGTGGTAGTGATACAGCAAGATAAATCCCTGCATCAAGCCTTTCATCTCGTTGGACTGGATCCGCGACATGTATCCCGGACCACGGTAGCCCGGAGGAACACGTTTAGACGATGAAGAGCCATCCGGTTGCTGAGTATTCTGTACTGACGATAACGCGCTAACCATCAGCCAGATAACGCAGGCCCTGGCGAAAGCGCTTTGCTGGTAATGGCGTTCGGCTTTCCCTAGAAACGAGGCCCCGTCGGCGTACCAGCACCATACGAGGGCGATAAGTATGTTACCAAAGGCCAAGCCAAACCTAACACCTGCTGCATCACCCGAGACCTCCAAGGCACGGCGCGCGCCGAACGTGAATCCCGCCGCAAGGCCTAACAACATGCACGCCGCGACAAATACGTCATTCTCGGGGGCGGCGACGCAGCATGTGCCTCGGAAGGAGCGTGAGCGGGCGCTTGCCGCCGTATTGCAAAATGCGTTGAAAATAATATCGAGCCTGAGCGATGCTACGTCTTCAGACGCGTGCAAGCCATCTGTATCGAAGTGCTTTCCGGGGCGTACGGGAAATTTGTTGAAAACCCAAGGAATATATGTCGAATTTCCTGGGAAGACTTGTGCGAGATGATTATTCATGGCTTCGACCCGACCGGGCGTAATGCTTTTGGATCGATTGAGTGATAAACTTTCATAGTTGGGGATTCCTACCGGCGTTAGGAAAATCTTGTTTGTTACGCCTCCGGAATTCCGTGTAGTTGTCATTATCGATGATATGTTGCTGTCCAAGTCAGGCGATAGGTATGGTACAATGCCGTTAATCGCTCGCTTGAATAGGTTCAGATAGTCATCTCCACCGTACCGAGCAGCCCAGAATCCAGGAGCACCCAAGACAACAAGTACAGGGGATAATTCATTCACCTTCATCTCCGTGATAGTCCCTTCCCTGGGAGATGGAGGCAGAGGGTCGAAGGCCTTCAGTATACCGTATAATGCGGTAGAGTTTAGCCATGGATCCCATATGAACTCTAGTTGGGCACAATCAGTTCGGAACGATATATCGGCATGTTTATTGTCTGATTGAAGTATACGTTTCATCCTAGTTTCTGAATGGCCGCGAGTGACTTTTTTGCCCGCATTCCAGAAAAGCTGCCGAATAGTAGAATCGCCGACGAAGACGACTTTTCGGCCATTGAGGCACGTGCAGAGAGAGTCTGTAGTATGCTCTACCATGCGGCAACCCCTCGGTTCCCATCGTTGAGAGCCGTCTGGAGCTACGGGCGACCATGTCCCATTTTGCAAGAGAGCTAGGCACTGGTGAGGATCCCTTAGACCTATCCAAACTATTAGGACAAATTTCGCAAGAGGCCAGAAACTGCCACAATTTTGAGTACTATGGCCATACCAACTTCATGACGAGTTTGCAATGTGGTAAGAAGAAGTATAAGTAGAATACAGAAATTCAACGTGGAAACATGAGCCGTAGTAAGCTCGGGGTCCGACGACATTTTGACGAAAAATCGCGCCCAAAAAGTAGACGTGGTGGTTCGACAATGAAAGGACAGATATCTAACCAAGAAGTCTTTGAATTTGTTGATGAAGAGAATAGTCACATTCTGGCTAAACAGACACTAATAGTACCCGATATACCCCATGTTATCTCGCTTTGCATCCTCGGGCAACGACAACTCAGCCCATCAAGCCAAAGCTTCCATTTTCATGGGAAAGTTTATAAGTGTAAGTGGGAAAGCGAAGATGGGCTGGGTTAGACTACTTTTAAGCTTTACATCATATAATAGAAGGAAAGAGCAACCTCATATATATAAGGGGGATTGGCCCCTTGGGAATGTTGGACTCTACATTATTTTTGAGGCTGATTGAACTTTGACGTTGGACTTTGAAGCATTTCGTGGGTGACTATCTTCATGATTCTTCATGAGCGATAGGATCCCAGGGGGTGGCTAGTAATATGGCTGAGGCAGGTTGTGGCTGTGTAAACCCGTAAACCCCACAAAAGGCGCCAGAAAGCTGCGGATAAAAAATTCTTTGCCATTGAACAAAATCTGCATTTTTATTAATATTCTTCAACGTATTAAATTATTTGACCGAGTTCACAAAGTCAAGTCAACGAGAACAAAACATAGCAATCCAGTGTTGATAGGCATTGCTCTCATGAATCTGCTTTTCTGAGCTAAATGTCTCAACGACGTGAACTTCTAATGCGTTGTGGAAGCGCTGCGCGGTATTAAACAGGTAAGAGGGTAGCATTTACACCTGATCGTGCGTAGGCCGGCGCTTCTTAGAGAGTAGGTACCTACCTAGGTAAGCCCAAGGCATATCGCGGTCGAAAGATAAATAAATGATATGAACTCGTCTTTTGCCAATGCTCGGTCAGGCTTGATTCCACGTCTGATCTTGAGCCGGATACCTCGCGTGAGTGTATGAGACAAGAGCAAACTCTACAACGATCTTTGAGTACGGGACCTCCTGGCGTATAGCGTCGAGGCTCTCGTAATTTATCTGTTGTAACAATCAAATACATAAAGCTTATTTTGTCACTCTCGGAAACTCAGGCGGGGTGCGCGTTTGATACTATAAGCCTTCTCGTCGAAATAGAGTGTCATATTTCAATTAGTCGTGCATTGCTATCTTAATCCAATCATCTCTATCAAACTCTGATACTATTACAGTCTGATGATTTCTACTCAATATTCCAAAGGACATTCATGGCTACCGATCTGTAATGTTCTAATGACTGCGTTACATAGTACGAACAACGATAATTACACAAGAGTTGAGGCACTCATTGTTCAAGCATACCACTCGCCTCGGAGCCACCTGTTGAACAGATCTAGAGAGCCCTCAGGCTGGTTAAATGGAACCATGTGACCAGCCTGGTAGATGCGTGCAAACGTGAAGTTGCCGCTGCTCTTGATGACACCGTAGTTGTCAGAGCTGCTGGAGAGATCCTTCAGCTCAGCGGCGTTGAATCCCTTCTTGCCGTGCCACTCGAGCGCCTCCGACCAGGCCTTGTTGCCGAGCCAGTTGCAAATGTAGTCGGCGTCACCAGCATAGATAAGGACTGGGATCTGCTTGATGATGTCAGGGACGAGGCGGTGGAAAGGCTTGGACCAATCACCCTGGAACAAGAAGTTCCTGTTGATATCCGTGTTGCAGCTCTCGTAATCTTGCACTTCGGCACCTACTGCCTTGAGAACCTTGTCTTGGTTTAAGTACTTGCTGATCCAAGCAGTCTCGGTGTAGCAGAGATTCTCTTGGTCCTTGCACTTCTCACGGATATCGTATACGTTGTATCCTGTGCGTTGGAATGGACCAATCATAGCATTGTTACAGTAGATAGCACTGGGAACACAAGACCATACGCTCTCCGATTCGTAGCAGCTTGAAATAAGGGACTGGCATCGGGGAAGAGCGTTGTCCATCGACTGGCATTCGCTCTCGTCGAGCACAGCATCATAACCACCCTCGCCACAGGCCATGGGGCGGTATTCAGCATATTGAGTGTAGGGGTCAGTCAAACCATTACCGATGGCAATGCTTTGCAAGTTGATGTTGCGGTTCTTATGCGACAGAATCTCAGACGCAAAGACGGGAATGTAGTGACCAGCATAGGACTCTCCAGCGATGTGGAATGGCTGCTCGCTGTACTCGGGGAAGTTGTGGAAGAAGAGGGTAAGCAGAGCATAAATGTCCTTGCTTGCGGCAACAGTGTTGTATACGGGGTTACTACTGTAGGAGTAGCCAGTGTTGACTGGTTGGTCGATGAATATGACGGAGGCGTTGTTGTTCCACGAGTACTTGTTGTACTTGAGCGAGCCGTCCTTGTTGACGCTAGAAGGACCCAGCTCCATGAAGAGTCCCATCATGGAGGAGCAGCCCGGACCGCCGTTCAACCATAGTACTACCGGGTCGGTCTTGGGATCGTTTCGAGATTCAAAGAACCCTAGACGTAACGATTAGCCGACATGCGAGCAAAGATCTATCTAGTATTAGAGGACTTACAATAGAATAGATGCTTGTCGTTAGCTTCATCGTCAAGGTATCCACTGTACTGCTTGACTTTATCTACGCCGAGTTCGGACGGGTCGACTTTCTTAGCTCGCAGGTTGTAAGCCTCGAGAGAACCATCTACCTTTCGGTGCTTGACACCGTTTGTCTCAACCCACATGCCTTGCACGTCGGCGCCCTTGATAACATGGTCCCACTCGCTATCTGGGCGGCGTCGGTGAGCTTTAGGATAAGAGACAAGGTTGGCGGCTTTCTCGTAGAAGCCAGGAACTAGGAGACTCATTTCATCCCATAGACCCTTAGCAACAGCTGGCATCTCACCAAAAGCTTCGCTAAGGTGATCTAGTGGTTTCCTGACGGCATCGCTGATGCCACCGAGGACCTTCTGTTGGTCTTGTGCGAGGGCAGCCGTGCTGGCGCCCAGCAAGAGGGCCGAGCTAGCTACTCTCATGATGGGTAGCGGTAAAAAGCGGAGGATGAACTACGAGCTACCAGAGGGTTGGGAATGATTAAGATGATTAAGATGGTGATGAATAAGTGATGATGAGATGAATTTAAGAAGAGAAAAAAAAAGGAATAAGATGAAAGAGAGGGAGTTTAATAATGGATGGGAAAGTCTGATACAAATACGATTGTACAAGAGTCAGAGTTGAGAACCGGGGGAGGTCCAAGATATGGGTTGGTTGGATGGGTGATGAATGATGGGCGATGAAACGGGGGATAGAAGGAGAACCCGACTGGCCAGTGACCAAGCTCTAGGTATGTACCTACCTAACAGAAGGTTGGTAACCAGCCTGCCAGCCAACCATCGGCGTTTTGGTGGCTTAATTAAGTTTATCCTTATTGCTTACATACTCCTTTTTTCACATGTTTGATGCGGTAAGCTGCCCCACAAATAATAGTGAGTAACATGCTCGCCCTATGTACCTCTTAATCCGAGCTGGTTTACGTACCTACCGTTCAGACCGTTTTATCAGAGCTGCGTTGTCGCGTGATAGATGGAGAGGGACCTTTACCGATAAGCGTCATCGGTCATTCTTCTCCTATGTAGTATGTACCGAGTCCCTATCGATATTGGTTCCATATTTCTCCCATTTCCCCCATTTCCCCACTAATCTAGATGGAGTAGGTACATCCATCAAGCATAAAGCATGTTTTCCTTATCATCATGATTCAGCATGACTTCCATCGCATTAAGTTGAGGATGGAATGGTTGTCCGTCGCAATGAATAAATTGATATACCCTTAATCCGTAGGTAGTATTTGACTTATGATGATGCACTTACATGCAAGTACCTGGTCAACTGAGCTGTTCCTGCGTCTCTCCCGCGTCTTCTCCCTTGCCTTAGGTACATAAAGGACCCGCTATGCGTTGGCCCAAAACGAATATCTTCTTCAGTCGGTAAGAACGAACGCACGAGCCTGGCATCCTGGCGGAGCCTAAACCGTACCTAGGCCTACCTATTCCTTCTCCACGAAAAAAAAACCTCGGTTTTGGGAAGACAGCGTTTATACGAATTTCTCAAGTCCCCGGTAGTTGAACAATTACCACTTGCGACGTCAGACTTTGCGCAACCCAGAAAAAAATAAAAATAATAACATCGACATTCTTCTGATAAACGAAGAGATAATATGTCGCGCATAAACCAACCTGGTATGTGAAATATAATAATAATGCACCTAGGCTGTAATTATTAGTCTTCAATATCCAACCCTAATTCCTTTTGAATTGTTACATCAACTTGGGAAAATACTAACATAAAATAGTATGTATTTAGGCCCCTCTCCCCCCTCCACCACGTCCCCACGTCCTGGGTAGAGCTCGAGATGATTGTGTATTATTTTTATACATTGGATAAGGAGTATAATACTAATAATATACTTGGACGGAATAGTCGAATCAAATAAAGCTCACAAACGTGTCACTTGTCCGCCTAAAAAAGGGAAAGAAGCGCTTCGAGATCGCTTGCTACAAGAACAAGGTCCTAGAATGGCGATCCGGTATCGAAACCGACCTCGACGAGGTCCTACAAATCCCCAACGTCTTCCTTAACGTGTCCAAGGGGCAGACCGCGCCGACCGCAGATCTCGCCAAGGCGTTCGGGAAGGACAAATCCGTAAACGACATCATCCTCGAGATCTTGAATAAGGGCGAGCTGCAGGTGGGAGAAAAAGAGCGCTCGGCGCAGCTGGACAGAGTGCACAATGAGGTCATAAGTATAGTGGCGAGCAAGCTGGTCGATCCGCGCACGAAGAGAGTCTACACCACCGGCATGATCGAGAAGGCGCTCGATATGTTAAGCTCTCAGGCGCATCAGCAGCAAGGCGACAAGAAAAGCTCGGAAGCGGGCAGCGGCGCGGGAACGCCAGCTACGGGCGACGACGCGGAAGCGAAGCCAAGAACGAAAGAGCACAACTGGACAGGCGTGGTCACGACGAAGAGCGCAAAGAGTCAAGCCCTCGAAGCCATGAAGGCTTTAATCGCGCACCAGCCGATCCCCGTCTCCAGAGCGCGGATGCGGCTCAGGATTACGTGCTCGACGAACGTTCTGAAGCAGGCAGTCAAGGCGCCCAAGGGCGCTGATGCGGAGGGAGAACAGAAGGCTCCCGGGACCGTGAAAGACAAGATCTTGAGCTACGTTGAACAGGTCGAAAATCAAGATGTCATGGGATCGGAGTGGGAAGTCGTCGGCTTTGTGGAGCCGGGGGCTTTCAAGGGTCTATCCGATTTCGTGGGGAATGAGACCAAGGGTCAAGGACGTGTGGAGGTCCTGGACATGGCAGTTACTCACGAGGATTAGGATTATACGTCTAGTGCTAATGTCATGTCACATTGAAGAATTATCAAGTGTTGGCCACAATGATGTCTCTTTATTCTCTAGAGTACACACTATGACTTGTCGAAACCGATGAGCAAAGTCCCCAATTCGCAAAGTAATTCATAGAAACGTTTTTTGATGCAGTAATTTCAGTCCAGCCTTCACGCCTGTCCATCCGCAATGAATGACCTGAACCAATGAAACCATGCCTCCACCACTGCTAAGACCCTTAACCACCCTTCTTCTTGGAGACACCGACAGTCCGGCCGCGGCGACCGGTGGTCTTGGTGTGCTGACCGCGGACACGGAGGCCCCAGTAGTGTCGGAGACCACGGTGAGCGCGGATCTTCTTTAGGCGCTCGAGATCTTCACGGAGCTTGGAGTCGACACCGTTCGCCAGGATCTGCGAGCTCTTGCCATCGGTGATATCGCGCTGTCTGTTGAGGAACCAGGCGGGGATCTTGTACTGGGTAGGGTTTTGGAGGATGGTGACAATTCGCTCAAGCTCTTCGGAGGTGAGCTCACCGGCACTGTATTTTTTATATCCCGTTAGTCTTGCCATTCGTTTTTTCTTTCTTCTTCGTCTCGTATATAGTCTAGTCTTTAGGTGTTTATTCATACCGCTTGTTTAGGTCGACATCGGCCTTCTTGCAGACCAAGTTGGAGTATCGTCGACCAACACCCTTGATTCGGGTCATGGCGTACATAACCTTTTCCTTTCCATCGACGTTCGTGTTGAGGAGACGCAAGATCTAGTTAGGGGTCTGGTTAGCTAAGATAGTTCATCTTCGTTATCGCAAAACAGTGGAGGCATTGAATTTGACGACTTTGACATTCGCGTGGTTCTAGGTCGAGGATAAAAGAGGCGGGCAGGTGATGCGATGCGAGGCGCGTAAATTGGATGGGATTTTACTTACGAACTGGAAGTTCGTCTTCTCGCCTGAGACGAGCGACATGATGGGCAACTGGTGATGTTGGGTGGTTGCCTTGATGTCGTTCGGATGTGTATCTTGAGTTTGATAGAAGAAGGAATCGAAGGTTTGGTTTTTCTGGTAGGCTCGCTTAATTAGGGTACAGGCAAAAAAAGAATGAGCGGGGGCTAGGAGAATTCGACTTGTGCATCGGATGTACCCGCTTTTGTCGGATTTTTCCAGAGCCGAGTTACCTAAACTCTGCACAGACCACGCCCTAGGTCCCGCCTTATGAAGAAGCCCTTTAAAATTTCATCACAAGCAAGGCTTTTTTCTTTCTCCTTTTTTTATTAAAATTGTAACCTTCGCATATAACTCTGGATGCTATATTCTAGGATCTCTACATATCTGTCTGCAAATCTTGCGATACTGCCGTTGTGCAAAGTATTTACCTATTCTTCACCCAGAGTAGTAGGAGACTGGAAGTTTATGATGTCTACATGATAATGTCTACATGATAATATCTACATGATAATATCTACATGATATCTGCATGATATTAAGACTAGTGCAACGATTATAATATCATACCTAGAAACCTGTCCTTTTTCCCCTTTTCCTCACCAAGTGGTGTTGAATCTGATGTCTGTCTATCTTCCCTTTCACCCGTACAATGGCCTGTGATGAACGAATTTACACAGTCTATGAGGATATCTCCAATGAGTTTATCAAAACACTGAAAATTCTGAGGCCTTAATAACTCTATCTATTGAATGTACATATTAATGTGTGTATGTGTATCATACCGAATATAATTACCTGATATATTCGCCATATATCTGCCGTCTTTTTGCAATCCTGCTAACCGATGCTTTAAACCTTTCCTTCCCAATGCGAGTATTATATGACCAGAGGTCAACTAGTGCACAAATCCCTCCAGGTATCATTACATTCGTCGTATCGTGACCCGTCAAAACTGTGTCCTCCTACCGTCTTCCATTAAAACCCTAATTCCTTTCTGTTCGATACGTCTGTTTCTCCTGTTGTGGGTCTTCTCGAGGTGGTTCCTGAACCAAGACACTGTTAAACCGAGGACGTGTCTCTATTGGATCAGAACCCGTCGGAGGTATGTTGCTGTGATCAACACTGGTGTTCCTCGAAGTACTCGGGCTGATCCCGCTTGTACTACTTCGACTACCATGACTCGACCTCCTCTTCCCAAAGTTCCATTCGAAGGCGTTCAGTATCTTCTGGTGTTCTAGATTTTGTGGCGTGAACGGCTTGTTCAGATGAGCCAACTCGTCGCGCTCTTCTGTCTTCTTGGGCTTAGAGGGTCTGAAGCCTCCGGTTAGAGTTCGAAATAGGCGAGACTGCGATTTTGAAGAATCTCGAGTTTCGTTGTCGGTTGGCGTTGTAGTACCGCTTGTAAGATGACCACCAGAACTGGTAGTAGATAACTTCCTACTGGTAGGAAATGTCCATCTACCCAGCGCCATTATGTTACAAATACCGCGTTTGACAGTTGAGGAGTTGTGAGATATGATTGTTGTCTGTATCGCGCACGTATTATGACTTAGATACTTTGGCTTCGACAGCACACACCGGCGATGGGACGTCTACCACCTAAACGGGAAAAGAGTATGAAATTTCTTCGTCCATTGACGGAAAGCGAGAGAGATCTAACAAGTAGCGAACTGGGCGGTTTAATAATTATTGACTTTATTAATGACGGACTCTAGGTAGCTTTCCATAGATGGCGTAACAGTGGTTACACCCAACATCCATCACATTACAATGGGGCTATGTATGTTAGGAGGTATGTATGTATGTACAATATATACCTTATGTACCGTATGCACATCTCTAGTTGCTAGCTATCGCGGGGTCGCCGGGGTCTAAGATCTCCCAATCGTGCGTGACCCCATGCCAATCGAGACGTCATCCTACAGGTTGAGAAAGGCGCCGAGACTACCATACACACCAGGAAATCTGCTAAGCAGTCCTAGAAGCAGTCCTAGGGCCTTCATAGGCCCGTTGTCCGCGTCTTGAGGGCTATAGATATAGCGTGATGAGCCGGTCTAGAATGCCTCGTGAGCCTAACTACCGTCGCATCGGTTTCCTTATTAGTCAACGGGAAAGTATTAATACGTACGCTCCTTTGTTATATCACAGAGCCCATCAAGGATCAGCATGCATCTCATTGTATTTGGTGCTTACAACTACCCAGTAGGGACTTCCGTTCGTCGGTGGCGAGATATCAGCCCCAACCGATAGCCCCGGTTTGTTTGGTCTAAGACATTCCGTTGATTATCTAGTAAAAAAGAATTGGGGTTTAGCGTTATATCCATATGGATACTTCTGCGCCAAAACACGATCCGCGGGATAGAATTTGAGGTTAAGACTTTAGGGCCGCTTGGTGCTTTTATGAATTACTCCGAAATATAGAAGTTCTATGGTTCATATGATAACAATTGCGTTGGTGGCTCTTAAAGCTTTCCTTTAGTAGAATGAGAACTGCTAATATTACTGTCGTCGTCAACCTCCATGACACAGCAGATGAATGTATCCCTGAGCGCGCCGAGTCGATAGTTATGATTGACATCTTGATAATCCTTACTGGCTGCCATTGATGCAAAGTGTCGGACTGATGGATAGTGTACGAAGGCAATTTCCTCCCACCCATCTCTCTGAGCTTGGCCACCTACTACCCTCCCGACAATCTTAACCTGTCCACCGTGCTTAGAGCCGACTTTGGCCGAGAATTCGGCACCGTATTGCTTGTATTGGTCTTTCTTACCGGGGTTAAAGGCAAGTAAGTTTAACATTGAGACCGGGTGTTCCTTTAATGGCGCTGGTAGCGCAGTAATCCATTGGTCCAACTCAGGGCTCATTTCAAGATTCTGAGAAGTCCTTGATGGCTCAACAGTGTGTTTCTCTGGAGGCTTGACCGAGCCAGGCGCCGGGCGAAGCAGCTCTGCATTCATGACTGCATAATTTGATATAGCCTTAGATGAGACTCCACTTGCTGCGCTCCAAGTTGCATCTATATCCAGCTGTGCTTCGTGCGGGATAGCATCGTTCTCCTCCAGGATTAGAAGAAGATCCCAACGAATATTCCTGCCTAGTAGGTAGCCGGCTGACAACTGTGTCGGCAAGATCATCCACCGAATGAACCGGGCTTGTACAACGGGCTTGACGCTATTCCGACGGAGCTTGGCGAGAAACGAGCCGACCGAAATGCCGTCTCTGAGCGAGATGAGTTGCAAATTACAGAGAACCATTTTCGGACAGCCCCGATTATTACCATAACTTCCCGGTAACAGTTAGTGGTAACTAGGAGGTACCTTGGTGGGTATCTAAGGTAGTTATATTGTAAAATAAAATAAACGAAGGACTACGGTACTTCTTCCGGATCTACTTATGTACCTATATGATGTCGGTACATTCACTGAGGACCCTCCCATTTGATCCGAGGTTGAATGCAAAGGGTAAAGAGTTCCTTTACCCCTCTAGTAATCCCCCCCCCCCCCCAAATTTCTCCAACTATCCCGGTCCTATCTAATTGTCTTCAATATTAGATACCCATTCAAGACCTTATAGTCGGAAACAATAGTTTACTAGACAATATTGATAATAGACCAAAGGTTATAAATTCTTCCATTATTGTTTATTGCTCTTGTAGGGGTAAGGAGCCTCGAGTAGTTCCAGTGTGAGGGTTGGCATTAATCGCTCAATAGCCCACCTTTATAGCTCTGTTCCATAAACGTATAATTGAGCCTCTCGACTCAAAGAGTAGTATATTTCAGCATCTGCGCAAATGGGTATCTAATGGAAACGGAATTACACCCCTAAGATATTGTTCGCTCTAATATAAATTAGCGTTACGGCGTTCACCTTTTGCTTCTGTTTTACGATAGAAACGTCTCCATTTACAACAGCAACTTTTTCAAACGAAGTGAAAACCCGGAAGCCCAGGTTGGCAGATACATTGCCGCTGGACTTGCAGAAGCCGCAATCCTGGAGGAATGTATCCGTGCTTTCAACGAACAAGTTCTTCTGGTCTGGCAAGACGATGGCGGCTGGATCGACGAAGACAAGATCAATCACCGGTGCGACACGCATCCGGACATCTAGGGAATATCGGAACTTAACTGTCACCCCGGAATATGGCATCCTCTTTTGAGAATGTAGCAGAGTATCTAAAGAGACGACAGATATCAAAGTAGCTGGGTTCTTGTACCAATATCACACAGGAAACGGTAATCTTCACTAGGTATTTAATCAATTCTTAATAGCTATTATCGTGACCTCGAAAGAATTCTGTTGATATTATACGAATCCTACGGAATAGCTCCCTAAATAGGCACCGCGTGTGAAGTCCCAGATCTGCATAGTAGCAACACTCGTCAGTAATTTTAGGCAAGGTACGCAGATCAATGTATAAGATCACCAGGTACCAATTGTCCTCACATGAGGTTAATTTTTATATTTCTTTTATTGGCACTTGGCCGTGTCCATGCGAGGACACAGGGACTTTTCACAAGGCATGATCATAATATACAATTTATTCCTCAGGTAGCATCGTGTATTATCACCATAATCACTATCGACCTTACATGTATTAGGTACCTCCCATATGTACCTCATTTTACATATATAGGTGCATACCCAAGTTGTCCAGACGGTTCTACCTAGTGAACGAACCGAAAGTCTAGCCTCTGCATGCCCTCGTCCTTGGTTGTCAGGATGTAATTTTCCTGCTCCTCCTGCGTCATCGAATTCCACTTCCTATCCCGCACCTTGTTCCGCCAGACGTAAAACACCTTCACGACGTAGAACAGCACGATGTTGAAGACCGTGATGCCCAGTAGGATCCGGTTGCCGCGCCGGTACAAGGGCTGGTCGTCGTCGCGGTAGATGTTGCTCGCGATGATGTTGCCGCTCTGCACGAACATGTTGTACAGCGCCGCCGAGACCGCGCGCGTCCGCACCGTGTTGCTGTTCTTCGCGTTCCAGCTCACGAGGATCGCGTGGCAGTACGGATAGCTGAGGAGCCCCGTCAACAGGGCATATCGTACCCACGGAGAGGCGCTCGCCGGTAGGAGGACTAGCGCTAGTATCCATGGGAATATCCAGATGTTAGAGCTGGACGAGATGATCGACCGCTCGTTAACGCGTCGCGAGATCCACGTGACGATAAGTAGGTTAACCGCGAAGAGGAACTGCGACGGGATTGCGAGGAGGTTGGCTTGGAATACCGAGAACCCGAGCTGACGTAGAATGTACGACAAGTAGTTTGTTGGCGGGGCAGGGGGGATGTACGTCGTAAGGCCGATGATGTACAGCGGCCACATCTCCCAGTCCTTGACGGCTTTAAAGAGTAGACTAGGCCCGACAGCTTGCCTGTTGTTCATATCCCCCTTGCTCGGATCGTCACGGAGGAGCCGGTTGACTAGTATGTGCTCTTCGTGGTCAGTGAACCACCCGTCCTTACCTCGAACCCAATGCCGCGTCTGGGTAGGTCCTGGCGGCATTAGACCCCACGAAAATATTCCTATGACCAGCGTTATCAACCCCTCGATGAGAAATAGCCACCTCCAGCCGCTCCATCCGTTAATACCACGCATCTGAAGAATTCCGGCGGCTAGCAGTGAACCGACAATATTTACCGTGCTAAGAGCAGTCCAAAACCAAGCTAAGCGGAGAGGAAGCTCCCTGCTTTTATAGAAATATGTGAGCCAAAGGACTATATCGGGAATAAACCCACCCATCAACAATCCTAAGAGGGCTTTGATTGCGTAGAAGGCAGCTTTGTTCTTGAGGAATGCCTGCGACAGCGCAACGATAGACCAGCCCACCATAATCGTAGGGATCCAGACATCAGCACCGAGTTTCTTGCTAATCAGCCCGCTAGGAAGTTCTGCAGCAAGGAAACAAGCAAGGAAGATAGTCTGTCCATAATTGTAGTCGTTCGTGTTCATACCTAGAAAGCCAGTTAGTTTTTGCCAATCTTCCGAACAGTTATATCTACCATGCAAGATATCTATTATCTTGTACGTCAGAGGGCGTGGGCAACACAAGACAACTCACCAATCTCAGCCAGCATGTTGTCCGAAATAGCTCTGTTTATGTTCCTCCTGTGCATATCGAGCGCACAGAACATTAGCCAAGCCCAGACCATGATCCTAGCATCGATCTTCCTCACCAGCCGGCGTTCCTCCTCCGCCGTCCACTTGTACGTCGGATCGAAGCGGTGCCGGTTCTCGTAGCGAGCCTTCTCGTACTTGGCACTCCAATATTCGGCTACGGACGGGTCAGAAAATACATGGTCGTCGGTAGAGCCGTATTCATCCCCTTCTGATATATTTTTTGTCGTGCGGCCGGAGTCAGCTGTGTCCTGGATCGTAATTTCTTTTGTTTCCGGACCCGGATCGGAGTCCGAGCCTTCGACTCTTTCCCGTAAGCCGTCTGCCATAGCTCTATATGATTCGCCAGTTCACAGTTACGTATTGAGCATACGCAGAATGGGGAGAAAAGGCAGTAAGACAGAAAGGATTAATGGTCAGACTACGCTTGAATTGACCTGCCTGATGTCGCCGGCGGTCTTTTACTCGTAGCTGTGCTCAGATAGATCGGTATTGCCATTTTCTTCCTTCGGCAAGGTTAAAGCAATTTATATGGCCGACCGGTTCGACGGCCGAAGCATCACTCCGACGTAGTACTTGAAATTCACATTTGCGATCACGTCATGTAGACGGACGAAGACTGGCTGCTGCAACCTTATCTATTGCACCATAACAAGGGTTGATTGTGTCACTATCAATTGCTCCTGAAAAAATAAGACACTTCAAATTCTCGTTATAACCCTTGCAGCTAGGTAGACTTGGCTACTGAAAATGCCTCTCTTTTCGCAGTTATAGGCCCGGCTCCGGTTAGGTGATGGCAAGGGACCGGGCCCTTCCCGGTAGACCGGCCCAGCTCAACTAACCCATAATTGGTGTACGGATCCGTAACTGGCGGTATATTTACCTAATAGGTAATTTAATTAGGTTTTCTTGGTCGGAGGCGTATCAGTTAGGGGCGTAATAATTTACAATAGATCGATGAGGATATGCTTGGAAAAATCACGAACAGGACGAATAAAGTTTTGCTGAAATTACTAGGTTAGGTAGTTAAGACCATCACCTATCCATCATCTGCTTCTCAAGGCTCTAAAATTCGCTGGCAATGCGTGAAAACTGCTGTGCTACGTTTCTCCGCAACATAGTAATTGATTAACGGCCTTTCGGACGCTGATATCTGACCTTAGGGAATTCCAGTGGAAGAGCCAATTGTGCCACTTGCACATGCGTGCCTTTCTCTGCACCCTTTGCGGTTTTGACTTTACCACCGATTTCGCGGAAGTACTGTCCGAATTGCTTCTCGTCCAGACCCAAGTCATATCTGATAGAGCTTGTATCGAAGCTGTAGTTCGACAATATTGCCGCAAGAGCACAACAGTAAGTGTACACCAAATCCGTATGGGACTTCCTCATTTCAGCATTAGATGAGAACTTCCGCCTGATATTCTCAATGACGGGTTCTGGCGCAGGCTTTAATATCTCCCGAAGCTTATCTTTAGGCGGGATTCGTTTTGTGCCTCTCTCCTTTCCTGGTCTAGCACTCCTGACAAATTTGATAAGGAAATCCAGATATCGAAGAGCTCGGAGTCTGTGAACTGGATTTGGTCCTTCTCCAATGGGCTGGAATCGGTTGGCAATGAACTTGGTCGGTATTGTCGAGTTTTCTCCCTTTTTAAGCTGTTCTTGCCAATCTCTGATCGGAATGGCATTCAATATTTCGCCTCCGATCAATTCTTCGATCGTGTACACATCCTGTATCTCTTGGGCATCGAAATTTCCAGGCGGAACTGGCTTCGCTGCGTCGGCGACTGCTTGGAGATCCTCCTTAGATGCCATTCCCATGGTGACATCGTTAATAGAGTCCATAAGCGCCAGAGAAGATGTGCTGAGCTTTTGCGCATTTCCGCTCGCGTCAGAAATGGCTTGTTCTGGGGTAATGGCGTTCTCAGTAATTGCGGCAAGAGCCTTCTTCGCTTTCTTCGTTCCGAACGCCTCGCCAAGATTGTTCCGAAGTTCCATCATCGTCTGTAATAAAAGTTAGATATCTTAACTAATATATTAAGATAAAGCTTATGTTAGGTACCTTGGAGGCTTGTGTCTCTTCCACTTCTTCCTCTGGAGGTTTCTGTGATCGAACTACACCCCTGACTGCCATCTTCTTGGCCTCTACGACTGCCAGCTGGCCCGTCTTGGGATCGAAAACCCCTATATAGTGCTTAAGATGCGACTCTCTACCACCAGGTCCATCTTCTTTTGCCGTATAGTCCAATTTGCTATGCGAGGATGAATGTAGAAGGAGGCTGGGTGTGTGCGCATCTGTCTTTTTGCTTCGTTTGGAACCCGTAGGTTGTGGTGCTGTATACGTCTGAAATTTGATCGAATCGGGAACACAGAGGCCAGGAGAAGTTGCTATTTAAGAGTAATTAATAAACTAAAAGGAATAGACATAAACTTCACGGATCATTATACCTATTACTGGAGGATAGCTTTTCGCTGTCTGAATGGAAGAGACTTTGATGATATTTGATGGTTTGGTTTGAGAGGGAGTTTGAATCGCTACTTTCTTCTTCGGTCGCGGGCCAGTATCCTCGCTATGTTTCCTCTTCTTTTCCTTACGTTCTGCCATGGTTAAGGCGCACCGAATTTGTTTTTTACCTTGGTTGAAATTAAAATCTATACGCAATGCACTTTTGTTGGAATGAATTCGAAAAGCTAACGGCAGGGAATTGAGTTTGCTAAGAAAAAAAATAAACCACAAAAAAAAAGAGAAAACCCGAGTTCTGCCGTCAGGTAGATAAGAGATTAGGCAGGCGGTGAATACACCCCACGGTACATGCCAAGCTAGGTACCTGAGGTACCTAAACGCATTACCGCAAACGGTGTCGCACAAGCTCATGAATAGCATCATAATAGGTACCTAGATTAGATACTGGGGAGGTAAGCTTCAGAGTTTGTTGAGACTGACTCAAAATGTGATATTTTGCCTGCATGATTTTACACATTATTGCATTGAAAAATCATATTCGAGAGACTGTTATCAACACAAATATTCCAGTCGGAAAGAACACAACTACCTAAGACCATGTCCACCTGGATAGGTACCTATGAAGAGGGGGTATCGTATCGACGGAGCACGACGTCATCGAAATCTACGTAAATCATGCAAAACTGTTCACGAGAAAGGCAACATTAGGAAACCTGTTGGTGGTTATAGGGATCGGCACTCGCAAAATCTATTGACTAGCGGATAGATCCTATTTCTTGTGCAATGATCATGAACATCTCTTAGCAATTCTGCTTCCTGTTCCGCGATTCGTAAACACAGCTGTTGGTCCACTCGATGGTGTTTGACCAGCTATCCTCCGGTCCAATGCATTATCGTCATTCTGCATACGTCCACAACTGCAGCCATTCATATAGTGTTTTCCTTCCTGCCGTATAGGCATCGCCTTGAATTGAGGAATAATCAAGATAGTCGAGCGTCATGTGCTGAGTTGCGAATGTGTTGATTGTGAATTGTGGTTGTCATGACGCGATCCGGTCTGGTGGAGAGGCGCTGAGATCGAGCAGGGTCGATATGTTTACTTGCTGTAACGGGGAAATCAATTAGTACCAGGTCGGTATAGCTTAGCTATATCAAGAAGCTAAAAGGACAAAGAGAACCTACCTGCGAGCCCTCATCTTTCTCCTCTTACGCTTGAGACGGCGAACTCTCTTCTTTCTCCACTTGGCTCTCATCGTGGCGACTACGACTATTCGTTATTATTAGTATCCAATGCTCTTTTGTATAAGTAGTAGTAGAAGTGGTGGTGGTGGTACTGAGGAATTATAATGGTGAGGGGTTGTGGGAGGTGGATTGCGACGACCGCGGGGAACTTATACAAATCGACCAAGCGATCTGTATATTTTATGCGCTCGAACAATGCGATGGCGAAAAAAATCATCCATTGCCTTTTGCAATTGTCTTGCGATCTGTAAAGCTGGGTAATTGAAGGGGCATATTGTACTTACAGGTTGCTGTCGATGAGTTGCTTTGTTGATGAAGCTTGTAAGAAGGAAAGGAAATTTTGGAAGCGGGATGAATTGAAGTATGGTTGGAAATTATGTTAGGGTTTGTGACCGGCTTTTCTTCGGGTGCAAATAAAATGGGACACCTCGAATTTTTGTTTGTGGTTGCTCACGTGGCCCACATTTGTGTAACAACAGGTAGGTAAATTTTATGTTAGGTTGTAGGTACATTTAGAATCGTTACATGATTGATATTACGAAAAGGCACTTCCTTCTTTCCTCAACCTTACCTATTAGTCATACTGCTCCAATAGTGAGCACATTCAGAGCACAGATTTAATTTCAATTCCACCGGTACCTTCCTTTTAAAAACATTTGGTCTAAAGCTACTAAAGTTTTTGTGATACATGTGCATGTATGTATAGCAGATATCTGAGGGTTTGCTGGAAGGTAGAGTGTTATTATGATGAGGAAGTGCCTACCTGAGGTTTAGGTTAGGTAGCTACAGGTCCTTGATGTCTGCCTAAGGTACTTTCGAACTTGAATTCTCGCTTCGGTGTCTACCTTTCGAAAATACTTTGTAAATGCCGTAATGCAAAACTTCAACGAGGTCAAGAATTTGATACCTAGAAGTGATTTTCCAAGGCGAACAAGCACCATACAATAATGGATCCTATTGGAAAAATATCTTGCTGGGTTGCTAAAGATGATAGTTCAGAAGGGTGCAAATCTCCAGGTAGGCTTTGGGAATTTCAATCAGTAATATCTCCTACTGTGGTCTCCCAGCCCATCAGCTTACGGGTGCCTTCACTTCTAGAGGGCTTTTACATTAGCAGCTTCAAAAACGGAGAAGCTAGCCACCGCAGAACAGAACGGTTCCTAGACGTTCCTTTGCTCCCAGGCCGGGCCATAACCGTTGGGCGAGATCACCATGTGAAGTAAGCTCAGCCTTTGAATAATCGACAATGAATTTTCATGGTTGAAACTAAAAGATTCGAAAGCGATATCTCTATAAATCATCCTAATGTTTCAAGAAATCACTTTGTCATTTATTCGATTATTTACGAGCTCAATGACATCCAGAAGCAGCCCCATCTAGTGTATGTTCGAGACTGCAATTCCCTTGAGGGCACATACATCGATCAGAAATGTATTGGCAATAAAAAAGATGGTGCCGCTCAAGGGTTTTATATCAGCAGAGACGTTGTGATTATGGTCAAGCCTTACTGGAGATTTCGTGTTTCCCTTTTATATAATACCGAGTTAAAATATCCCTTAAACTCGGTTCAGCTCAAGGAATCAGGCGTAAGTTTGGCCAAAGTGCTCTTGATACTTCGGCAGGTCTCTCACAGTTCACAGCTTTTTCGCCATCAATACCTCATTACCGACCGAACTCTAGGCCGCGGGACCTTTGCGAACGTTCACCTAGCTCTCGACGTAAAGACAGGGAAGCAGCTTGCCTGTAAAATCCACGATCTCGACCGGATTTCTCGGATGCTGACACCTTCCCGTGACGTACTTCAACGTATTAAAAATGAGACTGACATACTCGGAAAGCTGAGGCATGTAAGTGCCTCCTTGTTTTATATATTCAGTTGTACCTAGTGGACTTACGAAGATGCAAGCCGAACCTCCCTACGTTCATATATGCGTTCCGCTCTGAACATACACTATATACCTTCGTTGAGCTTGCGACAGGTGGTGATCTCTTCTCCATGCGTCTAACACGAGGAATCTTCGACGAAAAGGACTGCAAGTTTGTGGTTCGACAAATATTAAATGCCATGTGTTATCTTGTGAGTGAAGTTAAGACCTTTCTTTCCACAACTAAGGTCATTTCCCATGTTCCGGCTTTTCGTATACGTTGTGCTTTCCTTTTCTCATCCGCCGCCAAGAGAACTACGCTAATAATGGTATATATAGCATGAAGGGGGGATTGCACATCGCGACTTAAAACCTGAAAATATATTCTTTGCTACAGGGCCAGGTATTATGGGTCGCGTTATTGTCGGAGACTTAGGATTTGCAAAATCCACATCATCCGGCCGCATGGCTAGTCGTGTCGGCACCGACCAATACATGGCACCGTAAGTCAACCCGGCCTGTTTTTTTTTTAAAAAAAAAGTCTACCTATTGACCCTTCGTCAGTGAAGTTGAATATGGTGAAGCACATGACTTGGCTGTGGATATTTGGTCTCTTGGTATGATCACGGTGTTCCTTCTAGCACCAGATGAAAACGCTGTTCCGAGTAATGTCATGAAAATAAATCAAGCAGCAATCAACGCTTGGCTCGAAACCGTATTTGAGGACCCTTCCCAGCAGAGGATGACGAATAATTGTCAAAATTTCATTAGGTCTTGTCTTATGTTTGAACCCATTAATAGGCAGAGATCACCCGAAGCAAAGAACCATGCTTGGTTTCAGCAACACCCAGACGAAGGACCCTTGAAATTTCTTATGAAAAAGAACACTGAGGCATGGAAGCCAGTCCATAAGATTGCGCCACCAGTACAGGAACTTCCAGACATGGAGGAAGCCAGCAGCATGGTATATGAAGAGCAAGAAAAGACATCTTATTTCTCAGCTCCATCAACCAACTTAGGGAAATGAGCCCCATGGACCCAATTCCAGACCAGGGTGAACCCCTTGAATCACCTTACTTTACCTAGCCAAGGGCAGCAACTTCTAAGCGACTTGAAATGACCGAAAGAGCGGCTAGATGAACTCGAACTCACCGCCCAATGATTGGCGATATCATGGCCTCAAAGGAATAGGCTTAAGCCATGTAATTAGTTCGAAGGTCCAAAGCCGATCATCAAATCAAACGAATCATGGACGTTTGAGTGTTCGTAGAGTATATTGTGCTTAGGAACAAAGAAGCTTTAACTTTATTTATCAAACAAAATGTAGCTAATTATAAACAATGCACTTATATTTGATCCAGTTTTCTTTTGATCCCTGCTCGTAGAACCTTTGTTGCGTAACAAGACAGCGAAATTAACATATTGTAGTACGGAAAGGTCCCATTGCAATGACCCTTTGCTACTATTGAGTAATATCAAAGATAAAATAACCTGGTAATTCCAGGCAATAGAGCCTCAAATTCATATCCATATCGCAACCTGAAGTGGGTAATTCGAAACAATGTTGCCGATTCAGCGGCGGCAAACAGCTGACATTGCGGAGATGAAGCAAAAAGCGGCCAATACAGTACCTACCAGCCAGCCCAAGGAGTCAAAAGAAAATGTATCTGCTGCCAGAGAGAAATCAGAAGAAAATGTAAATTCGGGGCAGCAGAACGGTCTACAGTTGCCCCAAGTCCCGTTGAATTATCGAAGAGACCCTGTCACGGGAAGACTATTGGCGCAAGATGTCGAGTCTTGTTTGAGATGTATAGAGAAGGGGCTTATTTGCACACTCAAATTCTTAGGATTTGAGGAAGAAGTTAAGTGCGCTGCTTGCACAAGATCTAACTCTGACTACTGCATTCGGCAGCGCCCGCCTTATAAGTGTTTTAGGTTCTTTGGATATCCCTGGAATAGCCCGAACTATTACACTCTCGGAGAAGTCCTCTCCCCAGTAGAACTGGAAGAGATTCTACAAGAGCACTTCATCGGCCAGAACCGACGCGCGCTCGCCGAGTATTCGTACATCTCGGGATCTGTTCCGATGGCCCTTCCGCCTTTTAACGGCAGAGACTTGCCGGCGGCGAAACGGCCCAAGAATTTCGAGTCGAGGACCTGGAAGGATGTGTTGCCGGCCCCGGGAAACAAAAGTGCTTTTCGTCGGATGGAAGAGGAGAGCAAAGAGTATGAGAGAAGAGAGGCAATATATGTGAGGACCCCCTTTACCTCAAAGCTCGCCACCCCGTGGTCTCCTATGTCCGCTGCCCCAGCTCATGCAATTAAGTACTTACAGGAAGTCCGCAGGTATCCGGCCCGAAACCTTCATGTAACTGAGTACCTTGCTGATACGGGGCAGCAATGGTGATCTTAAAGATCAATAGCAAAAGAGATATAGGCACCTATATATACACAGACATATATATAATAAGGTCATGGGTAAATTAGAGCATCATGTCTGCCTAGCGTACCTATCTGCAAGGGTTATCGTAGGAGGTAGTTTGAAGTTTTTGGAATAGGGGTTGCCAAGTTTAGCACTGAACGAATTGTACTATTTATAATACCGTGTCATAATGAAGATATCAATATGTATATCCTAGGTACTTGTAAATTCGCCATGCTCAACCTGTCGTCTACTTATTCAGCCTTTTAGCCCTATCAAGATCATTCCAAAAATTGCACTGGTCGATCCTAACAGAGTCTTCTTCCACGGTGGTGTAAGTACCGGGATTAATAATAAGCTGTTTTGGCCTATCCGCCCCGCAGGTCTTCGCGGCATGGTAGTTTGGCCATTCCGGGGTTCCCTCTAGCCGGGCAGTATTTGGGTTGCCCGTCGCCACGAAGCTGGCTAGGTAAGCGTGGTATATGTGTGCGGTCTGAGGAAATGCTACCCCTGGCGAATCGAACGCATAAGCCGAATCGGAGGTATGCGGAATCCCTCGCCACGCCTGGTACTCTAACGGGTAGTTTGGCGTGTTGAAGTGAAGCCTCCACGTAGGGACGCCGGCGGTCGATGTGCGGAAAGCAGTTTCCCGACTGGGGCAGATATAAGCCATGTCGGACCAAGCGGCTGAGAGCCGGTTGTACTGGGTGGCATTTGTTGAGTGTGCCCACGGGGAATCGGGATGTCGTATCGGGTCCGGGTACAGCTCATTCAATAAGGCGATATCCGTATAGTTCAGGTAGGGCATCATAACGTGCATAAACGATAGGAGATCATCGTTTGTATGATGAATTGCCGGGGTGTAATACTTCCCTTCATCCGTGACGTAGGAGGTAATCACGGGGAGATGATGGAAGGTTTCTTCAGCACCAGATTTTGATCCTGGCTTTTCTAGTAGAGGGCCTCCTAAGGTAGGCTGGAAAGGCCAGCTCAGAGTTTGTTCTGCCTCGGCATACATTTGTGCGCTGATACTCTGGATACTCTGCACTGGCGCTTGTTGGAGGCAATCTAATGCCAGCGCATTCTCCCCCTTGCTTCTCCCGCCAGCTGGGCAGTTGAGATATCGCATATACAGTTTGAAGTCCTGCTTGTATTGTGGGAAATCTATATCCGGAAACGCGCGTGCTGTAACCGATCCGGATTGGAAGATCGCTCGTGCAAATAGTGGTTTGCCTTCGTCCTCTCCATAATTGTGAAAGTAATGGATGCCAGTAGAATGTCCTCCGGCTGATCGGCCGCCTAGAGTTATCTGCTTCGGATCTCCCCCGAATGACTCTAGGTGATCCTGAAGAAACTGAAGCAGGAAGTGCTGATCTCGTAGTCCAAGATTAAGAAGACCCTCCTCTGCGAAAAGCTTACTAGGAAGGAATCCCAGCGAATTAAGCCGATAGTTGAACGTTACAACTGCAATAGGTAGCTTAGACGAGGCGACAAAAGATGCCCCATCCATACTCCTGGCAGAACCGAGAACAAAGCTTCCGCCGTGGATCCAGACCAAAGTAGGGAGGTTCTCCTCTAATGGTATATCTGACGTTCGATAAACGTTGAAATTGAGGCATGCCTCGTCTTGCACCTGGTTTTTGGTGTAGATGGTGTCCTGTATGCAGACGTTTCCATAGCTCGCCGCTGGTCTGACTCCATCAAAAGCCGAAGGGCGGTGTTCTACCGGCCAAAAACGACGCTGACCAACCGGCTGAAGCGCATATTCAATCCCGAGCCAGGCGTCCACAGCAGTCGGAAGGGAACTTCCAGTCAGCGTCTCACTTATCTTAGCCCCAGAGAACGCACCATAACCAGTTAGATTAACGGTAGGCGTTGAAGGAACTACGTCGTGGTTAAACAGTGAACTCCGGGCCAGGAGGCCGAATTGTGCGGCAGCCAAAAAATGCATGAAGCTGGTCTGAATAATATAGTGTTCAACATAGAGCCGGGCGTCATCGGGGGCGACGTAGGCGCAAAAGGAGGGGCGAGAAGAAAGTCCAGGGTGCCTTCGCACGTAAACTTATCGAAGGATGATAAGATATCAAAAGAGCAGAACCGTAGTATCTTGACATGCCGGTCTTCGGTATTGATTTTATCCCCGCTTAAGATGGGGGAAGCGTTTCCGAGCTTGGATATCAATCCTGGTGAGACGGACACTCTGTTTTGACGCCATTTTGTCCCTGAAATTATCCCTATAGGATTTAAGAACTTTTGATTTTTGGCATCGTATTTGATTATAATGACAGCGTGTAATAGAGTGAAGGTGGAAATCAAATCACGTTCTAGGTTCTAATATGCTAGCCTTCTTGTCCTTTCAGTCTATACCGGTTTTATGTACATGATCTTTGGATATATGTCATAAATTCCAGATACCAGGGCCAACAATGTCGTGGTCTTTGACGCCTATGCTCCGCGCGGCGATGCTCGACGTGAGGGTGATGCGTCGCGCGTACAGCGACCCCGTCTTCTTCATGTAGCGATACCCCGCGACGGTGACGAACCGCTGCGCCCGCGTGTTGCTGTAAGTTCGAGGTAAAGTACGCTAAATCTATGAAATGATGGTAAACGAAAGATGTAATGCCCTGTCGGATGCAGATCTATGCGAACCCTGCCTTCTATTCGAGCAACCATTTTCACCATCAGTTCGCGATCCGTCCGAGATCCTCTAATATTGGATGAGGCACTTGTGAAGTGCTAACGCGACCGAGGCGATTCCCACAATGTTCTACGCTTACCAATATATCGACGCTGAACTTGAAGAGCGTGCCCGGAGGCTCGGAACCCCATCGGAAAGGGGCGAGGAGCCGGAGATAGATCCACAGGGTCCACTCATGCGGACATCAGTCGTCTGCGTAGCAAATTAAAAGAGCCGTTCTATACCTACGTAGCATTACGTAGTAGCTATCCTGGCAGGATTCATCGAGCAATGTTGTCAATGATACCTCAAGGTACCCGATAAGAAAGACAAGAGAAGAATGCATTATGTTCAAGTCCGCATGTTAAGTCCGATGCCCCCTTTTCCTGATAGCATGAGGCCGTTAGAACATCTCCGGACATACACTCCCAATCAACTTCAATAAATAGTCCATTAACTCAGATCAGTTTGCTCGAAGCCACCGCAGCCCATCATCAAATGCCTCTTGGAATATTTTGGCCGTCAATTCGTTTCCCAAGTCCGGTCTAGTCGCGAACCCGTGTTGTGTTCCTCCGTAAATGAGGAATTTCCACGCTGCTCCACATTTCGGGAGGTGATTCAACATCGTCTGGATTAGGTCTGGAGTAAACACGTCTGTCTCCGCGCAGCCTACTAGAATAGGCTTTTTGAGATTCTTGATATCAGCAGGCTCGAGGAATGACTACGAGATCAGTCAGTTTGAACTTCTTGAAAGGATGGGGTCTTAGTAGATTGCCAGGAAGCTTCTCTAGACATTCAGAAGTTGTAGCTGAAGCATTACTGGATACATAGTATTGAAAGCAATATGATATATTAGGTTAGGTAGGTAGTTAACTCACTGGATGGAAGACGAGTATAGATCCGATGTTGTCCTGATTAAGCTGCGCCAGCTTGAAGGCATGCTTGCCACCAAAGCAGTGACCAAGTATATGGATTCTTGGTTTAGTTCCTTGCTTGTCTCTCGTAAGAGTGTTGCATAAGTCCGGAAAGAATTTGTCTACAAGCGATGATATGTGTTCCGGGTTGTGTCGCTCTAACCAACTTGGCATGTCAATCTTGCGAATAGCCTCCTTTTGCTGTTTATATTCCCAAGTAAACGAGTCAATCGATGCTAAATAGGTAGCCTGCTACGAATAATCTTCCTTGGTGAACTCACTTCTGAAGATAGATTGTCATATGCATCGAGGTCTGTACCTGGCGTGTATAACATAAACGTGTCGGGCAGCGCGTCGCCTTCGAAATAGTCCACGACTACTGTCTCATAGCCTGAGATGCGTCAATTCTACCTGGATCTGATAGCAATGTATGTTGGCTCCTAGTCCTCACCACACTCAGCATATTTATCAGCAAGTCTCTGATTATGTTTAGCCAGACCAAATCCGTCCGGGAGGTAAAGGATAACATCTCGATGGGAGTTCGTATCCTTGTTCGGAGGAATCGATCTGTATATAGGCAGCCCAGCAAGGGCCGATAGAGAACCTTTTGGTTCATAAGCAGCTATAGCTGGTGAGTGAGTAGTTCCTTATTGGGTTGTGCTTAAAGACGCTTACGATCACCAGACGATCCCTTGAAACAGTAGCAGGTAGACATATTGCTTCACTTATGCATGCAAGTGAAACCATACGATGCCTGAGGTATTGTTGTCAATGTCACGAAGCAATAAGTGCGCAAGCTACACAATCGAAGTTAAGTAGAAAAACTTCGGATTTGGGGTTCGGAACCCCACGGCATGGTGCCAACTCCCTTCACGTAAGCTGGCTTATCACGACTTTGTCTGAAACACCAGCTTGTACTCCAAAGAACCAATTCCACTGATGTTGCCCTCCACAGCGTCGCCATCTTTCAGCTACGAACAGTAAAGTATATCCTGGCTTTTAACAGCAGCTTCAATGAATATGAGCCTTCTCCCAGCTGATTAGACGCCAGTGCGTGGACGTATGATGTCTGATTTTGGGTCCCCAGAACACTAGAGCAATTGCTAGGAAAACGAAAGCCGCGAATATACCCCCAATGGTACCAAAAGCCTATCATGGAGACGATTTTCTTAGTACATAATAATAGGGGACGAAGAAAATGGAACCTGCAGGGATAATGATCGACTTACACTTTCATACCCCCGGGACTCGATCCACGGTACAGTGCCTCTGATGAATCCAAATGCGACGATATTTTTGAATCCATTGATCAGTTCCAAGCACTCCGCAGCTACGGGGAAGTAACTGTCACACACATATACCATAGCGATACTAGCAACACCGGTGAGGCCGACGCTCATTAGACCGTACGCAACGAAAATAACTGCCCAATGCATCTGCTTCTCTGCAGCAAAGCCAAAAAGGACAGTGCCCGCGAAAACCAAAGAACTGGGGAGAAACAAAAGAGCTAGTCGCTCCTCAGGGAGAAATATGCCCTTATTGCGGCGGGCACGGTAGGCGGAGTACCTGTCAATGAGAACACCACCGATAAAAAAACCGCCTGCTTGGCCGATCATTCCCGCAATGTTTATTAACCCTACATTTCCCATAGTAAAGTTGTACGGTGGTGGGATGAGGATACTGCCGCTCATGACATTGACCATAACAGTTGGAGCGAGGCAAATAGAGTCTTTTCTATGGGTTAGCAGCGTTCATTGAGATGTATCCTGCAACAGCCACTTGAAACTCACAGATAAAAGTAGCCATGAGGCAGGCCGGATAGACAATCAAGGGAATCGGCCGAAACATCAAATCGAAGAAAGACTCCCCAGATGTAGTTCCAGACCAGGGGTTGAGTAGTGCGAAGTACGGTTTACGGGGTATGCTAGGATCCGTTGGGAGCAACGATGAATGTGTATTGGTTGTTGATTTCTCAGGGTGCGCGGCGTCAGACCTGTCCAGGCTGCTGCTGGCCTCAGCATCTGTTGCTGTCTCTGGGGTCTGTATTGGCTTGGCGTTCTGGTCGGAAGAATCTGACGCGTTTAACGATCGATTGAATCTCGTCTCCGGCACAAAGAAGATAATCATCAAGAGGTTGACGCCCAGAAAAATAGCGCTGAGCCATTTCCCCCATTTTAGACCCTTACCTGTGCCGCCCTTTATCAGTATCGAGCTGAGTTGAACTAGGATGTTATATGTTATAACGTACTTTCGATAAGGTAGCCTCCTATTAGGGGTCCTATGCTGCTGCCGAACGCAAGCATGATCAAGTTCCATGCCATTTTGCTGCCTCTTTCATGTAGAAAGTAAATATCCTAGCGATACCATTTAGAAAATAAGCCAGTTATTGACCAGGTAATTAAGGGGTGTGTATCTCACGTTGATGATAGCAGCTCCAAGTGCTTCCGATGCTCCTCCACCAAAGCCGCCAACTACACATGCTGCTTGCAAGCTACCAAAACTGTCTGTTGACGCCGCCCAAATAGCCGCCGCGAATGTAATAGCGCATGCTAATATGAATACAGGCCTCTTTCCGAAATACAGGGCTGAAGGAACCCAAATGAAGTTCTGTTGAGAAGAAAGGGTTACCAAAGTTCGCTGAAGTAGTAGAGTAGCTCCTTACCGACACTCCAAGGGTAAGAATTACCCAAGCAATCAGACCTGAGGCTTCGTCGACGGATACGTTGAAGTGCCTGGAGATGAGAACGAAGACGTCGGAGTAAACAGTTCCGCTGATGTTGTTTGTGCAGGCGAATGCGCAAACAGATGCGTAGGCCATATTTTTGCGCCATCTTGGCCATCTTAGTGGATCATTGGGATCCGTCGATGGCTGAGGAAATAGAATGAGGTCTTTATCATCTCGGTGTCGTTCGCCTTGTAAGTTCTCTGCTATCGCGGTTTCGTAATTAGATACTGTTTCTTAAGGGATGCTCAGTTATGATTTACCTCTGAACAGCAGCACAGTGCCTTCGGTGCTATCTAACTCCTTAATCGTTCTGAAATGCATGACGGCAACTCTAGTAGTGGCATGTACTAAAACTTCCTAGGTGTAGGTATTCGCCCCCGTCTTACTTCCCCGGATTTCCGAGCCACTTAGTCTAGCCTCGATGAGATCGTCGCGGGGATCTATGCTCTTAGCTGCCGTGATTCAACGCGTGTACATTTACGGCATAGCTTTCAGATCATTAAGCTGGAAATTAATATCAGGCAGGGAGATATCTATCAAGGTCTAATTCATCCAGGTGATGTTTGACGGCAATGAAGACCGCGCAAACTGTGCTTGTGGAGAGAACCGCCGGACCGGACCGGTGGGGGTCCGGTAAAACAGACAGATCTATGCAGGGCTGACGCTGGTTACATACCTTCTATCTGTAGAGTAAGCTCAAGTAATTAATCGTCGCGACTGACATCTACCTCCTAGGTAATTTTCATAATATCTATGATATAGGGGGAGTCGACGATCGTGAAAGCCATATTTGGAAAAATACATGGTACAAGATGTTCAAATTATTCTTAGGCAATAAATTCATTTCCAATTCCAATCCCAATATCTCAACCCTTAATCCTTTAACCCCTAGCTTAGAATGTTTGAGTAAAGGGAGCGAGAGTTTTGAACGTGCTGACGCGTTGGTATGTACATAAGTCATGTCATCACGCGAATACAAACTACACGTGACGTGACATTAAGGGGCGGGCTTACACCTCACCTGTTGGTTTCCGAAATAGGTATGTTCGAAGTTAGGTACCTAAGGTCATTACCATTTTCGATTTGTTATCTCGTTTGAGGTTCGTGGTTTTGTGGTTTGCGGGGTGATCTATCCAAACCAGGTCCTACCTAAAGAGTGAGCTGAACTTCTCGGCATCATCGGGGGCTGGTAACAAAGGCCGAGGTGGGTTACGCGGATTTGCCGGACAAGGGTATACTCTGCTGTGCGTCCCTTATGGGGGCAACTCTAGGGCACTCTATGCCTCCTATGCTTCTATGTCCTATGCGTCTGCCCGTATAGTAGCTGCAGAACCTTGCGTCTTCTTCAGTTTTGTGTCACAAGGTTATCAAGAATTCTCCGTTGGTTTACGAAATATATCGTTTGCTTATCAGGTACCTCTGTTCACTTATAGCTTAAAGAAAGGCCGTACCAATTGAGATGGCGTTTTGTACCTATTGTGGTCAGGAATTCCAACGAAATGAACATCTCGAACGCCACTTAGCTACTCGTAAGCGACCAACACTCTAATATCTTACCTACATCTTATGTTACCTGAGGTAGGTTAGTCAACTGTATTAAAGATACTAACGAAACTCATATCTTACAGACGCTAATATTAAGCGATTTAAATGTAATATCTGTCATTTATCCTTTTCCCGAAGGTACGTAAAACCCGTCACTCCCTTTCGAGTCTTCAAGTTCTTTCTCTTACCCAATTATAATTGGTTGGTTTAGAGATGTTCTTCAAAGACATGTCGCAGTTCATGGTCAAACCTCTGCCGATGGGAAGGCCACAAGTCAGCCTTCGGTCAGTGTAAGACATCGTACACAGGAAGCTTGTCGCAATTGTGCAAGGACCAAGACAAAATGCGATTCGAATACACCCTGCAATCGTTGTCGTGTTAAGCAAATCCCGTGCGATCGACGGCCAAAAAAGGCGGTAGGGCGTGCACCTCCGTTAGGCACCAGCCGAGATTTAGCAACACCGGTATCAGAACTTAATGCTGCCCACGATGCTGGGTCTTCTACGCTAAGTATAGATGATGTTATAGATAACGAACACCCTAGACCTAATCAGAGTGTTCAAACCTCTTCAGAAAACAGCGAAGGTACCTTCATAGACAATGTGCAAGGACAGTGCACGGGTAACAGTGCTATCCCGCCCGCCGGTGATGGATCGTTGGTACATGGAACGAATATTAAAACCTGGGCCGGCCAATGTCACGTCCCAAGCCAGTATGGGGTAATCTGCAATACAGGGCTGGCATCGCACAGTCCTACTGAGCTACAAACCGACGGGTCAGCTAGCTTGTGGAACGAAGACCGACAGGCGTACGACATTCAGTGGCAATATGATACAGACGCTGTGGAGCATCAAGTTATCGTACAGGCGTATAACTACTGGTCCTCATTTAGATGCAACCCCTTTGAGGACATATCGAAATGCCCCAGGACGGCTGGTGTACTTCTTGAGAGTCTCGGCCATATGCCAGAGTTAGATAAGCTATGGGGGTGGCTTGGGCTTGACTTTGCGAGTCCTAATCCATTCGAACCTCTTGCAAGCTTGCCTCTCCGCGAGAGTGTACGAGATAAGCTTGCTGCCATCTCGCAGGCCCTCCTCCAAAAGGCTCTCAGGGTCCATCAACTTGACCCCGTCACAGCTGCCGCCAGCTATCCTTCCCCGTCCCCTGATGGAAACTCCCGCGGGTTCCTTATTCTCCCACCTTCTGCGACCATAGAGCATTTCCTTCGCGAATATATGCGCATATTCGAGCCATTCTATCTTCTTATTCCGGGAGGTGTTTTGGATGCGAATATGCTGCTAAATGGATCTAATGATACATCATCTACTCTGCTCATATTGCTTATGATCGGACAAGGAGCCATATCAGATCCTACAAAAGAAGCACGGCGTTTATCGGGTGGCTTGACGGAGGTTTGCCGTATTTCCTTATTTGACACGGTTGAAAAGGATGTCTCCGGTAGCCACCAACCGCTACTGCTACATTGTGCACTGGTGTTTATCATCCAAGCTGCGTGGAGCGGTGATAAGTGGCTGATGGATATTGGCCTCGGGCAGCGTGGTATATATATTGCGGTAGGTTTCCCCTGACCCCCTTGCCCCTCACTTTTTACTACCGCGATTTCCCGGACTGTTTCAAAAATTCAGGACCTGACCCATCAATAGATCGTCCGTAATAGTAGATTATTTGATGCTCAGGTTTGCTATACAGAGTCCCTAGGGCTTGACGACGATTCAAGGCACCTAGCCTGGCTTGAGCGAGAGAGATTAATTAGGTAAAATCAACTTCCTATTCCTTCATCTTTAAGCTATGGCCAATAAGGTTGCTAATATCATCAATTTCTACCATCCAGGCTTGCATACACATGGGTCATCCTGGATCTGGAGCTTAGCTTGTTTCTTGATAGCACCCCCCATATACAAATAGCCGACCTTAACTTGGTCCTCCCCAGTCCTGCAGAACTTTACCTAGCTGGTGACACTGATACCTGGAAACGTGGGATGAACGGTACACCGCTGGTGCAGCCGTCTCTTCGTGCATTATTTGAGTGGTTCCTTACGGATCAACTTACAAGAGACAGGCGTCTTTACTTAACGCCCTCAGCGTTTCGACTGCTGCTACATCCTATTTATTCGCTTATCAACAGTTTCCGTCAAGTCCTCAGCTGCTTTAGTGAGGGGCCAAACTCGCGCTTCTTCTCGCCCGTTACGAAAAGTTCTACCGTTGTTCGCATGGAGGAAATGCAGGTACTTCTGTACCGCTGGTTCAGCTGGTATTGTTCTCGTCTTCGCGAAACCGAAACCGAGCAATCAGAAGTATCATACAACCAATTTCGGAGCCCATTGATGATAGCGACTCTTATCACTTACCATATTGTCTATCTTAACACGGTGACCGGGTTTGCGGATATCGAAAACTTAGCTAGGAGGCAACTGAGCGATTCTCAACTTCGGTCATTCTCTTCCACCCAGGTTGGCCAGTATCTACATTGTCCCGATGAAGCTCTCCTGCACATCGGTCAGATACTCTATCTTCTCCGGACACTTGATAAGAAAGTCCGACCGCCATGGTGGCCTGCCGCTCTTTACCGTGTCACACTCACCCTATGGGGCTATAAGCGTATTCTGCGGGGCGCAATGGAAGATCTCGCCCTCGAGTCTCGTACCAATAGACGTCGAGTCACGAGGTGACGACGATACAGTATATCGATATTTTTGCTCCAGCGTAGGAGCAAGCATTGCCGGGTCGAATTCAGCAGTAGCATCAGATCCATCTGCGAGTCATCAGCTCTGTATTCCAGCAATCACAGATCAGCGGGGAGGTGCCGAACCAGTACCACTAGATGACCCAATTCGAACACTAAAGACTTGCATGCTTGCCTTCGGAGGCGGCATCACCACCAGGTTCTCAGAAGGAATCCACGCCAAGTTGAACCAATTTTTGGCCAGTCGATATAGCTTGAGAAATGGGTGACTTGTTTGGGCTGCTGTATGTACTCTGCCTGTGATATATTTTAATTAATTAACTAATTGAGCTGGTCTTAGTGACAAACGATATTATCTCACATACAACAAGTTGTTTGCATGCCATACCATGCACCTAGCGTTGCACTCTCTCAACTTGGCATAAAGATTCCTCGAGCAGCAAATTCATTAGGGTGCTTTAGGTTCTTTAACATCCGTCCCTGCAGGCCAGAATTTCCGCATGTCCGTCCTCCATTGCGCATAGAGTGGTCGATGAATATCTTGGAGTTCTTTGGGATCTCCACGAGCTAATGCCGTAAAGTACCAATCCTCTCTTACTACATCGTCTGGCTTGGCACCGTGAAGACGGATCTTATTGGCGCTACTGAAAGGATGAATGACATTCTGAAAGACCCATCTTCGCTCTGTAGAATAGCGGTTGAATAGGGGTTCCAGGTTCGGATCGGACGGGGATGTCGAAAAAGCAATCTGGAGAGTCCGGGCCAATGCATCTCCATCCAGAAGACCGGTGCATAGGCCTAAACCGCCAATGGGGTTGTTGATATGCGCCGAGTCTCCTGCAAGAAAACAGCGACCACGATGCATGGTGCTGGCAAGTAACTGGTGCATCTTGTAGAGGCTCTTGCGCACTACGACATGACTGCTCGGTCTGGGTCCATCAATCTGTCGCAAGAGAAGCGAATCGACATACTCCGGCTCAAGGACCTGCTCATCGGTTAAAGGGGCACTGTTTATATCATCATTAGGTTTTTCTGGCACGGCCAAGCTATATCTCCAGAGCCCTTGCTTTCCGGCTTCGACGTGTTCCAGCGGCGTCACCACACCCCAAAATGTCTCATCAACAGTAAAATGGACAGAAAAATCAGGGACGACTGGCGCAACACGCAGCACGTCGGTCGCTAGAAAGCGCTCGGGCCAGGAATGACCCGAGAGGCGGATTCCAAGGAGTTTACGGACTGTAGATCGACTACCGTCGCAGGCGGCAAGATATTGACCCCTGATAACTTTTTCTCCTCCGCTCGCCGTTGCTACCTTGACTGATACTTGATGCTCGTCCTGCGACAAGCCGGTAACTTCATGTTCCCAGAGAACCTTAGTAAACCCGGTCTTTGTCGCATTCTCCAGGAAGATCTCAGCGAGCCGACATTGAGCAAGCTGGATTGAATAATGGCCCGGCGTAAACTTCCCATCGGGGCCGGGCTTTCCCATCGAATTCTTCCCTATGATCGCGCCTAATTCCTTGCCTATCACTTTTCCATTCGCGTCGACGACGTCAGTAGGAAGCTTGCGCCACGCATAGCCTCCTGAAGCCATCCCCTCTGCCGCAATTTGGTCGTAGAGTCCGATCTCCTCGAAGACATTGTGTACCGGCCCGTGATACCCTATAGCGCGCGGCAGTGGATTAAGCCAGGGTTCTTTTTCTAAGACGACAGTGCGGATCTGATTCATGGCAAGGCGAAGAGCAAGGAGGAGGCCGACTGGCCCAGCGCCCACTATAATGACTGGGGCTACATCGGTACCATTGGCGTTTGTACTAGATCCGTCTGTACTCGTCCCATTTGCTGTGGGAATCTCGTGTCGGCTATCTGAAGCGTGCGGTGCCATTGCTGTTCTATCAAGATAATGTATATGTTGAGCGATGAGATATCAACAATTTGATAGGCAGTGCAAGTGTACAAGTCTCTATATTCACGAGTCTAATAGTAGGAGACTGCTTCAACCTTTGTAATATATAAATTCCCGCGTCTAATATTATTGTGAGGTAACTAAACCCAATTCCAAATTCTAGATTTCAAATACTGACTTAGGAATTATGAGATGTATCCGGAGGAGAACCGAGAGATATACCCCGGACCATTACATATCCGGAGACATGTGATCACTATAGTATAGGCTCTCCCCACACTTATACACTTATGAAGCATCATTAAACTAGATGCTGAGGCTGGCTTCATTGCACTGCTATAAGGAAACTTGCTTGTATAAGCAATCCGGAGGCTTTCGTTACATTCAAAACGAAACAGTCCGATCTCGCCAGCCTCCTACCTCCTCCATTTCCTTTTCAGAAGCCGGGCCCAGAAGCCGACGTCAGTATCACAGCTAAATGCCTAGACAACCTAGAGTGGCTTGCCGGGCGTGGATATAACTACTAAGCGTCTACATCCACGGCATGCAGTATACTACGAGAGAAGACGGGATAGCGCGTCGAGGTACATATGTTCCCGTGCTATGGGAGGACATGGCAGATCCGATAATCAGCGGGAGAGAAGAATTGGGATTTCCGAAGCTATATGCGGATCTGGACATCTCGCAGACAGAGAGCGCATATTCGATAATAGTGAACCGGCAAGGATCGAAGTTTGCATAGTTTCTCCTTGGCGGCCTGTGCGCGGAAGAGGGCGCGGAAGGGATGGGGTCCCGACGGTTGGCACCCCTCGAAGCTGGAGTCGATGAGGGGCTCCTCCTATGGCGCTACCTACCTGCCTTCGACAGGTCGACCTGGGGAAGCAGATGCGGAGCACCCTGTCTTTGTCTAGCATGCGGAGGAAGCAAATAAACAAGAAGTCAGGATGGACAGACGGCTAAGCTGCAGAGAACGGAGAATTCAAGTGGCATCCTTTGGATTGGCATGCGCTACCTACGTTACACCACATTGTCGCCCGATTAGAGCAGATTCAGACGTCGAAGTTGGTGGCTTGCGGTCTTGTGGAAAGAGTTGGCGGAAGCGACCTCTCGTCGGCAAGGAGACTTGGAGGCGAGCAGCCGAGTTTGTAAGCCAAGCAAAACGCCTAATACCCAGAAACTTAAATCCTAATTTCAAATAAGATCGTACATGTGCGTAGTAATCATGATAAATTAATTCTAATGGAAAATCCAACACAAGCCAACATTGGCAAACATGGAGATCCCGGCTCTCCGTCGGAAGTATATCAGGTAGGTAAGCATCGCTCACAGAAGATCTCCGGCCACTCAACGCCGTGCCCGACCTACATATGTGCGGTAAGACAGAACGCACCAAGGATCCGACGTCACTATTTCTGATGGCGTATTACTGTGTACCATAAGAAGCTTCGAACCGAGTCAAAAATTCATATTTTTATATATCATCGCCCTGGCCCCCCTACCCACGCCATTTCTGACTGCTTAAGTCAAAATCCGACTTACTTTGACTATCTATTAGGTTAAAAAGATTAAGATAATTTTAAGCATATTTTGTTCATTCACAATGGCGACGCAACTTACACCACAAACACAGAATGGCCACGTCCGACTCTCTTCGGATAAGTCGAAACTTATCTCCCCCGAAGCCCTCTGCCACATAGTGCTGCGGACCACGGCAGATAACTTTGACGGCATGGTAGACTTCTACCTCACAATGCTGGGGGGCAGGGTCTCGCATCAGTCGCACCGGCTGTGCTTTATGACGTACGACTACGAGCACCACCGGATCGCCATCATGAAGGACCCGACGGCGGTCCCTCGTAGCACCAAGGAAGGCGGCGCGCCGCAAGTCGGCCTGCACCACGTGGCGTTCGGGTTCAAGACACTGCAAGACCTCGCCACGTCCTACGAGGAGAAGAAGGCGGCGGGCATCATGCCTGTCTGGTCCGTCAACCACGGCGTGAGCACCAGCATGTACTACGAGGACCCGGACGGCAACCAGCTCGAGTTCCAGGTGGACAATTTCGGCTCGGCGCTCGAGGGCGTCGAGTCCATGGCTTCGCCCGAGTTCGTGGAGAACCCCATCGGAGTCGATTTCGATCCCGAGGTGTTCGTTCAGAGGGTCAAGAACGGAGAGGATGAGAAGAGCATCAAGGCTAGGCCGAATATTGGCCTGAGAGATAGGAGGTAGGGAGGTAGCGTCTGCTTAGGTATTTATGTATTATTGGAAGGGTCTGCGTGTATTAATTATTAACCGGCTAGGGTACAATGTAATAAACAATCAAACATGGTGACATCAAGTCCTTAAACAAATCAAAGCTAGAAGCATTAGCTACCTCGTAAAATAACAGATATCTAACTACCATATCCCGGATTGGTTTTTTTTTTTCGTCATTTTTTTCCTTTCATGAAAATTATCCTTCACATAACAATGCTGTCAACGAATCTTGTTGAAAGGCTATTCTAAAAGAGTACCAAAAATTCATACTTTAAACTCTAAGCCACGTGTATCTCGTAACCTTTCAAGGTTTCGCAACTTGCTTCCTCCGCTCACACCTTCTAAGTCCTTCCCCTAATTATATAATCCTTGGTGATGGCGAAGTTGTATAGAAAAGATGAAGGCCAAGGCCATCACAATGAAGCTGAATGTGTCGATTGGCCAGTCGTAATTGTCGCGTAATTTGTTTCTCGATTTTCGTAAGACTCAGATACTCATCGGAAATCCCACACCAGGAGTTCCCCCACCCCTTTCTTTCTTCATTTCCTTTTGGATCGTACGCCTGGCCAAGTTGACTTCCGGGTGGCGATTGTGGGTCGTATATGCCGTTATCAAATATCCCCCCCGTGTATAAGGTGTACGCCGCTCAAAGGATTGCGCACAAATAGCTTAGCAATTTGGTTTTAGTGCCTTTCCATCCGAAACGAGGGCATTCTTTAGGGAGATATTCCCGCACGCCGACTGAAGGACGGAACTCGACATGCTTCTTTATGCGATGGCCTGGGAAACCTGGAGGTGACTGATCCCGTTTCTTCAAGCAAGAACGAAGAACAGGCCGTGTTGGACTGTCTTTCTTCTTTTCGATCGATGATGGCTGAGTGAAAAGCTGTACTAGACACTTGATCCACGTAAAAGTAGCCATTTTTGCCAGGCTTTGCGGAAGATTGTGTAATGTTCAGTGCGGTGTATATGTGATTTTGTTGTTGGCAATTGTGCAGATTAGAAGTTACATTCGGGATACCAGATATAGTGAATTTTGAGGCGAGAACATGGGGCAAACACGCGCAAAGTTAAACTTGGAACGGGAGTAGAACAACGCCACGCGTACTCTTTATTGTAATAATGCTATCCGAGGGTCCAAGTTATAGTTCAGAGCATATAGTTGCCTACTGCTTGGACCGTCTATGCGATTCCATATTGTCGAGGCTAAATTAGTAACGAACTATATTAGAAAGAAGAGTAGACACCGGAAAGGTTTCTACCTGGTAAAATTTCCCTCACTTGCAGAAGACGCATCTAAACACCCCAATACTAAGTAAGACGGTATCCCACAGTACGTAATAGACAGATTTTAATCTAAGAATAATCAGTACTTGTAATATATCGACCAGGACGAGATGTAATCAAAATATGATATCGGTGTTAACGCCAGTACCATTTGTAGTTGCTTCAACATGTCGGGATATCAACTCCACTCACATAAAACTGGTCTGAAAAGGCCCGGGGGAGCCAGACCCCACTGGTTGGGAACGGACATCTTCTGTCTCTCCATTTGCCTATAATGGAGGTCCAAGAATTTCCGTGCGCAGATAGCCTTTGCTGTTTGCTGGGACTCTTTTTCAAGATGAACCTTCAGCAGCATAATTGCTGCCTGCATTGTAATAAAGCACCAAAGCTCGCTATGAAAACAGCATAGATGTTTATCTTCCATCGAAGGAACACACCGTTCAAGGAGGTCAATTGCAGACTGAGAATTTGCCACCATGATGCTATTTGATACTATATATATAATATTAGCTTCCACGGTGACAGCTAGTGAGTAATAGCTGGTTCAGTGACGTTTGAGTTGAAATCTTTGTTTCCACATAGGTAAGAGAAAGGTTGAGCTTACGCTTGGGCTGTAGCATGACAATGCGAACAAGACTTAACGAAGCTAATAACAGATCGTTCCTAACTGTCACCAGGCTTTGATAGCCCAGCTCCGCTAAGCGGCTGTTCAGGAGAAGGATATCTAGCGAAGTGTGATAGCACACTGTTTCTGAGAGCCAGTACCTGCCATCGTTTCTCTGTAGGTAAGGCCGGTGAAGCGCTAGAATGCATTCCTTCAGCTGGAAAATGCAGAAAGCATTAGCAACGATTGGTAAATCTGACTTGCTTCCCGTCGTAGTATCTCCAGCATCCCAGGAGGGAATGGCTTCTATTTCTTGCATGATCTCATGGGTGTATCGCAATACTTCCTCATAGCTAAGATCTTCCGAAAGCCTTTTACTAGATAATCGTTCAGATATCTTAAGACGTAAAGCCCTGCTGCGAGCACTATGGACTTGGTAAGACGTAAAAGTATAAACATCAAGTGGCTTTGGTGTGGGGATTCCCTTCGATGATTCGATGAAGCCATCATCATCGACATTTATAGGGGGGGAGACATCAGAATTGATGCCATGAAGGAGTGACGGGCGACCGTATTCAAAGGCATTCTGCAGATCTAATTCTAGAAGGGTAGCCCATATTCTTCTTTTCATCTCCCTTTCATAGAATGTGTCGGTGCTAGATGAATCGCAATGTAATCCATCTATAATCGCATCCTGGGTCAAAGAGCTAGTCTCCTTCCACCATCGCTTTTTGCCGACCATGGCCACTCGCTTCGCAATGTAGACTAGGCAGGATATCTGGTAATAAACAATTTTGCGATGTTTTGGGCTTTGCTGCTTTAACCACGCATCGCATGCATAAATCCATCTCGTACACATGGCATGGTACCTTGTTGGTATGGACGTGGCTTCAGCGGAGCGAGTAGTAGCACAGGTTGATATGGATATCATAGCCAAGATAAGAGTCGTCATGGCAGGGTCCTGAGGCCGCTCGGGTAGCCAAAAATCGGTGTATTCTCTCCTAAATGTAGGGATATGAACTATTCGATGAATTTGTTCTAGACCATCAAGATACAACGAAACCAGAGCGTCGGTATCCTGTTTGGGAGGGAGGAGAGTTTCTAGCATTACCCCTTTTTGAAGCGAAGGATCCACAGCGTAGCCATTTTTGGTGAATTTGTCTTTTGTCAGATAAACACCGAGCGGTTTAAGCCATTCGTCAGCTGTTTCCCTGATAAATGGAAATAGCTCAGGGACCTATACAAGATATAGACTAATCAATATGAAAGTTAGATATGTCATGCGCAAAGGAACTTTACCTCGCTGAAAAATTGGAAGAGATGATGTCGGCTATAATATCCTTGTGGGTCTCTCTCCCTCGGGTCTGAAAGTTCGGTATTCTCCAACCGGATCGTGTCGTAGTCAAACTCAGTCCATAAAAATGTTGGTGAGTCTATGTCTAGTCGAGCATCATTTGCTATACAATATCCATCTCCGTCATGGGCGTTGCCGATCGAAGCCTCATCTTCTTTGGAATTTCTATACGATGGCCCTGGACTATCGGGTTTAGCATGGTCACGGTCACCTACCACGCTGGGAATCGAGGCCAAAAGTCCGGTCTCAGGCGATGGAGGTGTCTGAGAAAGCAATGCTTTCAGCTTAGCGACTTGGGCCTGAAGGCTTTGAATCTGTTTCTCTTGCTGCAGGACCGAGTCGTTGAAAGAAGGCGACTTGTCTGTCTCATATAAACATTGAGCTCTCCTCCCTGTTCTTACGCATCTTTGACAAGGCACATTCCGATCACAGGACAGCTACACCCAAAGACTTAGCAACGCAATTCAATTTTTTAATGAGTAGAAGGTCCCTTATTTAGGTACCTAGTAATCAGTATACTTTTTTCTTTCGACATTCTGTGCAACTGAATTGCACTCGTTTCTTTCGGGGTTTTCTCTCTCTAGCGAGGTTGTTCCGCCTCGTAGGTCTCGATGGTTCGGCTATATCCTCTATCCCTGCGACTGAATTGGAGAGCATTTTCGCCGATATGTCGAAATGACCTTAGGGACGAAGATGGTACGATTGGATACAATCCTGCTGAATGAAAAGATATATCTTCGAGAAGCGGACTTAAGAAGAATCGCCGGCATCCCATGTCTTCCGATCCTAAGAATGACCCGTATATTTACTTATATCCGATCATCTCCGTCTTACAGCTACCCCTACCCCCACCTCCTTAGGAGATGTCGTATTGTACTATACCTATTCATAGGTTATCTGAGCCTTCTTCTTTTCAGCTTCGAGCTAGCGCTTGGCATTACTCATGGTTATACATTATCTTAAGCCTTTTTCTTTCAGCCTCGAGCCGACATTTTATGAATATTGTAGGTTTATGCTCCATAACGTTAATGCTCATCCGTTCAAGCTTCTCCCAGCGGTCTGCGAGGAGAGACTTATCGAAAAAGCAATCGCAACTCGGACATGAACATGTCACTCTGGCGTCAAAAATCTCGAGACATACGAGACAGGTGGAATTGATAGTACATTTCGGACAAGTATTAACGCTGGGGCAGCGACGTCCGGTACGGTGGAGGACGTAGTCAAGAATCCAACTGAATCTGTGCCCACATGCGTACGATGAGGTGCCTGTGAGTAGCTCGGCTCGTCCGCAAGTCGCTCGAATCGCCGAAGAACGACGTGGAAGTGGGTTCCTCGCGTCATTCATATCGGACTAATAATAATTTGAATGGTCCAGATAATACAATATAAGGAGAAACTGAAATGAAATGGGCAAAACGAACTTGATAATTGCTCGAGATCACTGTTAAGTATCTAATGGTTATAGATTAGTACAATAGCATAAAGTCTTTATATTGGACTGAAAAGGCCTTGTTCAGACGTAAAAGATGTGGGAAACAAAGGAGACAACAGTTATTCTGTGCAAACCTTTGTTCACAGGCGTCCCTCTTTTTTGATGACAGTGATGCTAGGTAAATAGTAACAGTAACAAACCCTCGCGAGGTGGACTTCCATTGCATAGGCCATCGATTTTAGGTACTGAACTTGTACATTAGCTTCTTCTAATAACCCATAAACAATTTAGAGGACGGACTGAAACTAGATTAGCAATACTACTATCATCAGGAAGAATGTTTCTTCCCATTTAAATACTATTATTTACATTATACTGAGAAGGCATAAATTTATCCCACCAATAGAGGGTAAGAAAATAACCTGACTATAGTGCATCGCAATCATGAATTTTAAGAAGCTGGGGAGTGGACGGGGGGGTTCCCCTTTGGTGGTAGCTAATGTTATAAGAATGGAGATGTATGTGTACGTGCTATAATCTCGTTGTTATTAGTCCTTAGGTAAATAAACTGAGAAAGCTAAGGATTCGGCCTCTATGTTCATATTCTCTCTTTCTATAGTCGGCAGATATCCTACCCTACCCCACATGTAGACTTGGGGTTTGACTACCTACATGATAGCAAGCTAGGCACACCTTCATTCCCTTACTAATAAATACCTCCTCACTTCCCAATACGGCTTACACAATCATGCGCCCTCATACTCTTTGCAGGGTACCTTCAAAAGACACGGAACGGATACGTTCGCTTATATGGTCGCCCGTCCGCCTTATTCCCGTATAGCAAGCGGCATCACGGCCAAGCGAGGGGCGGCGCACGATGGATATCGATCCTCAATCGTACATTCTTTCGGAGGAAGAATCGCGAAGCATTTTTGAGCGAGATATCCTCCCGTCCGAACTAAGCCATCTCTCGGCGGCGACGCCCCAGCCTAGCAATAGTAATGAGATCGTCGGAGATAGAACCCCGCTTGCGGTCCTCCTCATCGGCCAGACAGGCGCCGGGAAAACGCGCGCCGCGCCCGCGCTCAAGGGCGCCCTAACCCGTCTCCGGGGCGCCTCGCGGCTCGCGCACTTCGTCGCGGACACGTACAAGACGTTCCACCCGGCGTACAACGCACTCCTGGCCTCGCGCCCCGCCCTCGCCTCCGCGGCCACAGGCCCCGACGCGCGGCGGTGGCTCGCAACGGCCGCGTCCCGCGCCGCGTCGCGGCGCGCCGACGTGCTGGTCGAGTCCGCGGCCCGGCACCCGGGGGACTTCGCGGACCTGGCGCGGCTGTTCCACGCCTCGGGCTACCGCGTCGAGGTCGCGGTCCTGGCCGTCCCCGCGGCGCTCAGCCGCCTCGGCATCCTCGCGCGCTTCTACGAGAAGCTGCCGGAGGCCGGGCCGCGCGGCGGCCTGCCGCTGCGCTTGACGCCGCGGAAAGTCCACGACGAGTCCTACGCGGGGGTCCTGGAGGCGGCGGCGTTTGTGGACTCGTCGGGTGCGGTTGACCAGGTTGTCGTTGTTCGAAGGGATAGCCTGGTAGCGTATGCTAACGAACGCATCAAAAACGTCGGTGGTTATGGTAATGGCTGGAGGCAGGTGCCGAGGACTGCTGAGGCTGTGCGGACGGAGAGAGAGCGGCCGTTGACGGCTAGTGAGAGGACAGCTGCCGAACTTAGCTTACAGAGGCTTCGGAAGATGAATGTGCCCGGCCTCGAAAGCCAGTTGATAGAAATCGAAAGGATGTTGGAACCCCTTTTAGTTGCTCCCCACGATTTAACACAGATACCCCTAAAACCGCTCCCTCTCCCCAATTCGATCCACAACGGCAAAATCAATATTGAGATAGGTCTCAGTTTTGGAAACATACCTCCCATGTAGTTATACTTAACCCCCTTTACTTAAAGCTGTCGGCCGATGTAATCGAATTAGCTCTATAAGACTAGCGCTTAGCAGCATTATATAACAGTTTAGGCAAATATAGCTGAAATAAATGTTAGGATTAGGTATATTCGAACTTAGAAGCATTCTGGCACGTGACGGCGGACCATATGCCATCAAACCGCCAAACCGCCAAAAATTGAATGACATAATCATAAGGCCTTTGTTTAGCCTCCGTTTGGCCTCCGTTTAGCCTTTGTTTAATTCTTTTTCATTTAAATTTTTTTTTTAAAAAAAAAAAATAAAAAAAAAAATAAAAATAAAAATAAAAATAAAAATAAAAATAAAAATAAAAATAAAAATAAAAATAAAAATAAAAATAAAAATAAAAATAAAAATATAAAAATAAAAAATAAATGAAAAAATAAATGAAAAAAGAAAATTAAAAAAATTAAAAAATTAAATGTTACGAACCAACAGCCGAGGAGATCACGTTCAGGCCTGGGAGCGGGGTCTCAATACCCCTTGGTACGGATAAATCTCGGAATAACCTCATGGAGGGTAGTGATCTGGGTGATCTTGAGTGATCTTGTGTGATCTTGACCAGATCAACCAGATCACACCAGATCACATAGAGATGCTATAAACGATAGCAACAGGAAGTAGAAGAGGCATTTCATATAACTATCGAACGTTTCTCATGTATCTAGTCATTCATATTTTAAGCTCTCTAGCTATCAATCTAAGTCTTATATCTAACCCATATAAGGGGAAGGACTCCAAGCCTTCCTGACGAACACTTTAACGTTTATTTGACACTTGACTCGTATCGTTACTGTTTACCTGAAAATCAAGACCCATCGGCACTACACTCTAACGGACCTGAGTGTAGGTTCGTCACAAATAAAAAAAAATAAAAAAAAATAAGAAAATTTAAACGGAAGTTTAACAACAGCTTAACGGCGGCTTAACGGCGGTTTAACAGGGGTTTAATGAAAATTTACCTATTTTATGATTATGTCATCCAATCTTAGATTATGTCATGTATTTTTTGGCGGTTTGGCGGTTTAGGGCATATGGCCCACCGTACACGTGCATATAGAGGACAGCCACATACTTATTTTTTGGCGCTCGGTATCTCATTTTAATTAACATATCCCACTTATCCAACCCCCTTTTTCATCACTATCTAATCCCATGTCTATCAAACATGATTGCACGCTAGCTCCTCTACATGCTTAATACATATATCTAAACTCGGGATTTAGATCGCCCAACTCGCCCTTTTCGTAATTCGACAACCCTACGTCTCTAACAGCCTTCTTTCTCCGTTGGTTTTCGCGGTAGATCGAAATGAGATACAAGACCGACGCCAAGCCGCTCAAACATGTGAATCCAAGGCAGATCGAATAACCGTTCTTGAAATAGGGGGCATCAGTGTTGATAAACGCGAATGTAGCTATGATCCCACCAATGTTGCCAAAACCAATTTGCCACCCTGTACCTATAGCTCTGCGATGATGACCACCAAGGTTCATACTAAACCAACAGACGGTAATGGGTAACACGCTGTAAGTGCTCATCGTAACAAGACATAACATCGCAAATTGAACAGGTGTGTTGTCGTGGACGCTGAGCAAAACGCCGAAGGCTGTAAGACCCAAGGCAAGCGGCGCAAGTGCGAAAGCTGCACGGTGGTGCATCCAGTCGGATAACACAGCCGTTAGTAGAGAAAAGCCGAATGATGCAGCCCAAGGGATCACGCTGTAGAGCTGAGTCTGAATAGCATCGTAGTGATATGTCGAAATGATGGTAGGCGCGAAAAAAGCGTAACTGTATGCGGGAACGATCAATCCAAAGTACATGAAGCCGCCAAGCCAGACGCGATGGTCCTTCATTACGTTTATAACATCGCGGAAGGTCGTCTTGCGATCGGCAGCATTATGGCCTTGGTCAGCTTGCAGGCGAGCTTTGATATAAGTCCGCTCCTCTTCAGTCAACCACTTAGCTTCCTCGGGGCTATTACAGGTTAGAATCGAACCAGCTACGCTTAAGACCACAAGTTCACTTACAAAGAAGGGAAAATAAAATAGAACACAACCGCAACTAGACATGTAAGGATTCCTTCAAGTATGAAAATCCATCTCCAGCCATTGTATCCACGAATACCCTGCACTAATCAATTGTCAGTAAATCCGGATTCTTCTTGCTAGAGCGCGGGCGAAACGTTTTGAATGGAGTGAACACATACTCTTTCCTATAGCAGAGGCCAAAAGACCTCCAAAGGCTCCAGCCAAAGAAGTGGACGTGAAGAATAGGGAATAACGCTTTTGCGATTCACTTCGCTTGTACCACATGCCTGACCAAGAACGAACGTTAGCGACATATATTCATAGGATAGTATTATGCCATATTATCCTATGTTGAGGCTACGTACTAATAAGGTAGAAGCATCCTAAAATCCACATTAGCTATATTCAAACATTATAGTTTAAGAACTTGTTGCTTACCAGGAAACATTCCACTCTCGAACAACCCTAATAAGTCGTGTAAGTATGACGGTCTTTTAATAATTTGAGTGTAAGGCCGTACCTAGGAAGAAGCGTGTTGCAAGGAGACCTGAGTAGTTCTGTACAAGACCTTGACACAGGGACGAAATGCCAAACCCCAGCATGCAGGTAGGGAGCCATATGCGAGGTGAGAATCTCTTCAGGAAGATATTGCTAGGAATCTCGCAAATGATATACGGCACGAAAAATATAGTTAACGCTAAAGTCATCAGTATCAATATCAGTATGAAGTGTCGGTATGAAGTATTTATTTCTAAGTAGTGTCTGCCTACCCGTATTATATTCGTGATTCTCTAGATGTAAATCCTCAACCAACCGGAAAGATCTCGCATTGGCAATGTTGACTCTGTCTAAGAAAGCCAGCAGATAAAGAATACAAAGGAATGGTATCAATTGCCAGTCGACACGTGTCATGAGCTTCCGCTCCGTGGTATGAGGAGGACATGGGACGTGAAGCTCGTCATCCTCGGAAGCGGCAACGCCGGGATGATAGGTATTGCTCCCAATAATCTCCTCTACCGGCTTATCTGAATCGCTCGGGGCCGAAGCTGCATGAACACCAGAGTTAGCCATCACTATACATCAAGTCTGGCGCTGTGCGACCAAAATATTCCGAAGCTCTGTTCGAAGACGCGGTGCAATACGTGGCGGAAATTTGGAGTTAAGACACGGAGATTGGAGAAAATTGCCACCTACGGGGAACCTTGCCAATATGCATTTTTCAATCCAAGGGATCAGAGACAACCGGCGCAACACCATAAAAGTGGCAAATTTAAGCAGTAATTGACTTGCGCACTCGACAGGAACAATAACGGTAGGTCATAAGAGTAAGTACGAATATCGGCTCCCAAACGATGAAAATTTATAGCGAGTCGCGCCGCTGACGGGGGCTGGCCGTTAATATGAGTCGAACTCAGGCGGTCGACGATCTCCAAATACAGGAACAGGAAACCTTCGCGCGAATTCGGCCTTGGCTCTCGAACCTCTTGAGCCTCAAACCCTAATACTCCATACGATAATGAGCCTTCAAGAAAGAATCTTCAGAAATATGAGATTTGGAAGCCGATGTCGCTTTATCAATATGAGTTTATACCTGGTCAACTGGAGCCGCTAGACAGGGTCAACTGAAAGGGGAAAAGACCCAAGGGTCCGGCTCGAGTTTGTGCGGGGAAAATTAAAAGTTGCGGAGAAGAAGGGAATAAGACCCTGGAATGAGAGCCAGTTGACCACTCAGCTCTTTTCTAATGCGTATTATTCTCCCGAATAGCTTACCGCGGCAACTGTGTAGCTGGATATATTGACGAATCTACGGACGAATCCTTAGATCCATCAACCCTTTTCTTCTATCCGGCATGAGACACACTTCCGAGGACCCAATCAGAGGTTCGCAAACAAGGGCTGAGTTGTCTCTCTTGGTGTCAATTGGTTCATGCCTTCCCCCCTCTTGATGTCCCTGAAGCACATGGTCTCTCTACCCCAGATACGACTAAGGCATAGGATAGTATACGAATGGGGCCGTTCCGATTCCGACCCGACCACATCGTCCGGAATCTCGGATGCCGTGGCCTCACATGTCATCAACTACGGGTTGTGCCGTAGTAGTCATAATGTAGTTACCTACCTTAGGTACCTAAGTAGGTATATATATTAGTATATATTAGTCGAGTAACAACGTCGAACCTAGAAACATTAGCACCAGCAAATACTTGAAAGCCTTCGACAGTGCCGAATGGATGGGGATAGCATTTCCCTTTTTTTGGCCTCTCACTCCTGACTAGTAGGGGAATGAATTGATGTGTTATAACAGCAGCTTTGGGAATACAACCATGCTAGCAGGGAAATTTATTTTCCATGTCAAATCGGATAATGTAAGTCCAGTGTGTTGCGACGACCAAGACTGCCTCTTCGTGTTCGGGTTCTGGCGCAGGAGACCGCGAGGCGAGGAATGAGTTGTTGGCGTTTTTGAGGTATTTGATCGAGTAGGAAATCATCGAGCTTATGAATGCTAACGATTAAAAGTATACCCTTGTTGTGCCACATTTAGCTAGGAGCACCGAGCACGTCGTCCAAGATCATAGCGGATCAGGTATTTAATCCCAGGACCTTCTACTAACACAAAACTTTTTTTTGGACCTATCAGATTTACAAAGTGCCGAGTACCGAGCTGAAAATGAAATCGCGTGCCACAGACTCGTTCGTCTTCAATAGCAGCTGTATCAGGAGTGTTACAAATTTCCCTACTCTTGTCAAATGATACCTACCTACCTCATAGAACGGATGCATTGAACCGTTCGCCCAGCTCAGTAGCTGCCCCCGTAAGATATTGATATTACGCTAGGTAATCGTCATAGCAGATCGAAGTTGCGTGATTGAGCTGCGTTTCCTCTCTAGGTTTAGTTGGATCTTGATTGGACCAATAATAACCCCCACGAGGGAAAGTTGCCCTGTACGCTTATTTCGGGGACGCCTACTCGGCGTGTCACGTTAAATCGTAGACGGTCGTGTACCTAGTGTTTAAGGAGGACGAGGAAAAGTTGAAAATTTTTTAAGAAGCTAAGGTTGTATGTAATAATAATCTGAAAAGAAGCCATAGTGATACCACAGTGGGACGACTTCTTAAGGTCTTTGCGACGAAAAAAAGGTACCTTAGGTAGGTAGGTACCTACGAGTAGCCACCGAGTCGAAGGTATAATAGATATTCGACGTTACCTTAGGTACCTAGGTAGGTACAGGTAGGAAGCAGCATACCTATACCTAGGTAACGAAGGTAACAAAGGATTACCCTGCTCGGTCAACGTTTTAGACTCCTTTGAGTTAGAAGGTTGTGTTGTACCTACCTCTGATGGGAATAATCAATAGGCGTAGCTTCCATCCAGTTGAGCATAGCAGGGCACAGCAGGGTATAAACAGGGGTATAGCAGGGTATAGCAAGGCAAGTCGCGATTGCAACATAACAGCTTTTAAACTTATCTTATTATTCCTTCTTCCCGTCATCTCAAAATATAGTTTTCTTATATTTCACTTTCTTTCGTCTCATCCCAGTGTTTGCGCTCCAGGTTTATTTCCGTTTCCGTTTCCGTTCCCGTTCTTACATGTTTTACATGTTTCTCTCGGTCGGATCATAACGTCATATCTCCCTGTTACGTATACAATACCATCTTTTTTAAGATTTGAGGATTAGTTAAACTCTCACTCCCGCTCACGCCGCATTCTGATCGACAACCGCCTATTTTTTTATTATTTTTTTTGTCTTTATTTTTACAGTATTCCGCCCATTCTTAACCTCTTCCAAAGTTGTCGAGATGAAGGCAGAATACTCGGACGAACCGGTAACTTATGACACCCACGAGGCCACCATACTCCATGGATGGTCGGCTTGGTTTGGCGGTCCCGACGTCAAGATAGGCCCTCGTATCGCTCCTCAAATAGCGCCGATCACCACCGATGCTCACGACTCCTCCAGTAATCTCAGCAGTGATGCAATCCTCAACAGGCAACTTGAAGAAGAAGCCGGTCATGCTATCCAGTATCGTACTTGTAGCTGGCAAAAAGTGCGTCCAAGAGCCCAAGCTTTAAGCCAAAGCCAAAGCCAAAGACATGCCATCAACTAACAGCTTAACGTAGACGGCTGCATTGTTGTTCTCCGAATATATCTGTCTAGTGAGTTTTTCAATTTTGGGGTCTTCATTCTAGGATCGATCCTCGGGTTTTTTTATTAAAAAAATTTAAAAAAAAAAAAAAAAAAAAGATTGAAATTGAGAACTAACAAGACACTAGGCAATAATGAGTTTCCCTTGGTCATACAGCGTCCTCGGACTAGTCCCAGGGTAAGCTTTTTTTCTAGTTCCGGAGCACCTGGTTTAGTCGAAGCGTACCTGTTACTGATGTACCATATAGGCTTATCCTCACCGTAGTTCAGGCTCTATTAGTTTTATACACGTACGCTATCCGAGGTCTTGACTCGTAATCACCGAGTATTTCTGCTAACCGTTCGCCATTTAGTTCTATCGTATTATGGGAGTTCTGTCTGCGACACCCCGAAGTCAGAGACGTATGTGATATTGGCCAGATGCTATTCTGGGGCCAGAAATGGGCATGGTATTTCACGGCCTTTATGTTTATCTTGAACAACACGTTCATCCAGGTAAGTCGATACTCCTTGCCATCATTTAGGGTGATAAAATCCAACCAATTCATAGGGGCTCCACGTCCTCGTCGGAGCCAAATACCTTAATACGATGGTTGGCCCGGATGCTGGTATATCTTGTCAGACAGTATCTTTCGGCGCCATTGTTGCTGTCATTTGCTGGTTGTCGTCGCTGCCTCGCACGTTTAGCATGCTTTCGAAGATTGGAACGGCATCGGCGGTGTTCACGTTCGTTTCGGTCATCCTTGCAACAATCTTCGCCGGCATCCAAGGCCATCCAGCAGGTTTTAATGCAGAGCCGGCTACGAACCCTGCTACCGGCGCAGCATTACCTTTCGGTAACCCAATCGTCACAGCCGTTCCTGTTCTTGGTACTACGTTCGTCTCCGGCTTGGGAGCTTTTCTTAATATCAGGTAAATCGGACTATTCCCTTCACGTGATACGTAAAGCTGACAGGCGTAGCTATACTTTCATTGGGCAAATTACGCTTCCTAGTTTTATTGCCGAGATGCGTGAGCCGAAGGACTTCCCTAAGGCACTTTGGGCATGTACTATTCTCGAGATTATCGTTTTCAGCGTCGTCGGTGGAGTGACATACGCGTTTGTAGGCAACCAGTATATGACCTCGCCTGCCTTCGGATCCTTAATTCCGCTATACAAGAAGGTTGCTTTCTCGTTTATGATTCCCACGATTATATTCTTAGGTGTCCTGTACGCCTCGGTCTCCGCTCGATTCATTTTCTTTCGAATTTTCCACAACTCGCACCACAAGAATGAACATACCATCGTTGGTTGGGGCACTTGGACTTTTATTCTATGTATGATTTCCACGGCCAACTTGTTAAGGTTTACCATTGCGCTAACGATGTCTTAGTCCTCACTTGGGTTGTCGCCTTCGTGATCGCCAACTCTATCCCATTTTTCAACTCTCGTGAGTTTCATACGATGCTTATGGGTCTTTAGGGTATAGCTAATCAGGCAAATAGTTCTCTCCCTCATGTCCTCCTTATTTGATTCATTTTTTGGTTTTATCTTCTGGGGCCTCGCTTATTTTCGCATGCGAAAAGCCGACGGTGCTGTCGCATTACTCAAGGACCGTTCATTCCGCGGATGGTTCGAGGGCATCCTCAACATTATCATTATCTTAACTGGTCTTTTCTTCTTATCAGCCGGAACATACGCAAGTGTCCAGGGCATTTTAGATGAATTTGCCCTGGGCACGGTTGGAAGCGCATTCCAGTGCGCAAGCAATGGCATTTAAACAGCATTTACACTTTCGAATAGAACAGAAGATACCCCGGGCGAATGTGCATACGAGCAGGATGATAGAAGGGAGGGATATTATCACAAGCCATACAATTCATAGATATACGTTAAACTTTGGTTAAAATTTGGAGTGGGTGCTGCAGTCTCAATTGAGGCCATGCAATTCGAATAGCTAGAATAATAACTAGTATGATTATAGAGCTATCTGCAACAATGCAGGAGAGATACCCAGGTTTTGGAATAGCTTAAAAAGATCTGCTGAGTATGACTGAGGATTACCCCAGAAGACCACCTGATTACCCAAATGTCATAATATAGAGCTCCTTGATAACTTATACTTATCTCCCCTAGGTTGCGTAGAAATCGATGACGACTGTGCCGCTAAGTGAACAACAATCCATAAGACGACGGCAATTGATATCATTCTTCCATCTTAGATAATAGCCGTCCTACAAACCTTATACCATAGAGATTAGATAAAGCATGTTCGAGGTTGAGACAAAAAGTACGAAGCCCCTTATTTCCATGCCACGCTTAGTGTTAAGCTGGAGACCCTATGTGATGATCTCTTACCTTTCATACGTCGTCGGTGTCATGTTTTGATAAAGCAAGAGTAACGACACTATCACGTGGGCGTGTTAGACGAAGCACAATAGTTGAGGTGAAAGAACCATGTAGTACGAATATAAGTAGGTGGGTAAGTAAGGTTGCACTTTGTCATTCCGAACTAGAAAGATTAAAGACAAATAATCATCATCCTTTCAATTAATTTTCATAGCCACAACATCACGTCTCTTGCTGCAATATGTGTGTGTGGTCTAAAGCTAGGTAAGCAGCCTCAGAGCCAAGTCGTTAGCTATCTAGGTAGTTTTTTTCCTATTGTTGCTATCCGCCAAGAAGGATTAATACGCCTCTGCAAAATGCGTCGTGATTACATTAGGTAGGTTAGGTACATATACCCAACGGTCCAGCGCGATCTGCTGCCTCCTATTATATCGCCGGCTGACACAATACAACACTCAGCAATCATCTGCTTGCATTACAGAGAGTCACACATAACATGTGCAAAGTTCCTGCACGGTTTCCATCTCGCTCACCAGCACATTCAACACCAACTACTCCGGGAAAATAAGGACGGCAGTACACAACAGTAGAGGCGGCAACAAGAAGTCGTCTGGACGACACGAGATAGCCTCTGTATATTGAACGGTATGGTCATCAAAAGTTGTCCCCACCTTATGATACTTTTCAACCCCAAGGGGACGCCTCAAAAAAACAAAAACAAAAACAAAACACAGGCCTCGAAAAAAGGCACTCGAGATTCGTCGTCGAAGTTTGCTAAACCGGACAAAAGTATAGAATTCCACATTGCAACACGCATAACAAAATCAAAAACAACATACAAGCCAGCCTTGAAACTAAGGGGTTAGGGGAAGGGGTATCCATAAAAAGAAGAGAGCATATCCTCTTCTCCTAATTTTTTTTATCCCGTTCGAACCGGGTCGTCATGAGCATCCCCCAATTTGAAAATAAATCGTCATCTCCTTTAAAAAAAAAAAAAGCCGCATAAACTTCGTCAAACGTTGGGAGTGAGGCATTCAAACCCATCATCAAGCCGATTCCATAAACCCACGTTTCCATCCCACCTGTTTTTCCAGAGAAGAACCCCCGACAACCTAAAACTTGAAGACGAAGAAAAAAACGGACCGTTATTCTAGTTCTCCAAAAACATTCGATCTACTCTCTTGTTCGGGCATTGCGGAGGTTTGGGCGTGTCTGGTTCACCAGCCTAATTGTCATACCCCAGCAGAATAGGCCACCATCTTGATCCGAAGTCTCTTCCTCCTAGGGATGTGCAGGCTTCTCGTCGTGCGTCGTACGAGCAGGCGGTGGAGAGCTCGGTAAAGGAATCTCGTGTGGCTCTCGTGGCTCTCGTACAGAATTCATCTCGGATGTCGGTGTTGCAACGCGAGCAGGAGCGGGACTTGTGGGCGCTCCTTTTTCATCTATACTTCCCATAGTCTCCACACTTCTTCCTGAGGCCAGAAAGCTCTGAACTTGGTTCTGCACTTGATCTCTTGGAGGGGACTTTGTGCGTTTAACCTCTATATTCTCCTTCGTTTCCCGATACTTATTCTTAATCCATCCGATAGGACCTTTGAGCTCTTCCTTCTCCCTAGTTCCGGCCTCGCTTTCCGCTAGGGCTGCTGCCACATCCGAGGACTCGCCGGTCCAGCTCTTTCGTGGTCTCTGTCCACTTCCAACCGAGGATGTGCTTAACTCGGCATGGGAATTGTTGCCGAGATTATGGGCTTGCTCACTTGAGAGGTCCTCCTTTCGTCGGGATATACGCCATCGATGCTTCTTCTCCTTTTCGGCCGCATCTGGAGAGGAAACGAGCGCCACCCCCTCCAGCTGCTCTACATCGGAACCCTCATTAAATGACGAGTGCAAGGACGTCGAAGGAGAGGTCTTGGTCTTGAGCGTAGTGCCGTTTTCTGTCTCGGCGTGGGCGGGACTTGCGGACGGGACCTGGGACGCCCGTGGTGTAGGCTCTGAAGGCGTTTCTATAGAGCTACCATTCTCTGCATTAGTAGGACCCGGGTGGCGGGTTTTCTGTTCTATCGGATCCGAAACTTCATGAACGGGGGAAACTGCCTCCGAATGGGGAAGCGAGACGGTCGAACTTTGTGCACTGGGGTTGGTACTACCGGGTAATCGCTTTTTGCGTAGCTTGTTAGGTTGTCGCCTTTCACCTTCAGCAATTGGGGATCGCTGGAAGAGACTCTGCAGATTCCTTTCCCTTAATGGGGTTACAATATCGATAGGAGGGCCTAATAATCTTTCCTGGCTTCTTCCAGCTGATTGTGACCCTGCCGCCATCGGAGTTAAGAGTTGCGACGTCGCAGGAGACTGTTCGGTTACAGCTGACGCTTCTTCAGCTACCGTAGGAGGCGCGCCCGTAGTAGGGCCAGCGGGTGAAGGGGAAGATGGAGCTACCGAGACAGTGGGTGAACTTTGCCGAGGTTGGAATTTTCCGGAAGGAATATGAGGCGACTTCTTAGACGGAACCGTATTACTTCTTGCAAGCCCCCCGTTCGGCGTCAAAGCAGGACTACCTGGTGTGGAAGCACCATTGGAGTGGATTGAGTGCCGCGATGATGTGGAACGATTCCGCCGAATCATGCCATCCCTACTAACACTCTCGGCGCCAGCACTAGCACTTGAAGCAGATCTTGTAACGCCGGTATTGCGGTTCGGTGTCGCAGGCGTGACAACCGTCGGTGGGCCCTTTTCAATTTCCTGCTTAGTCCTCTCATCCGTGCCAGTACCTTGCATACCGATTAAGAAGTGATCTTGATTTTCAATCAAGAATATAATAACGCATTGGTTGAGTCGGTATTCCTCGGGTGCCATGGCATGTTGCGGATGCGAAAGCATTCCAGGCTGGAAGATGGCAGCTAGATTTTGGGCTGTCATTCGATTTTCATCTGCCTTGGCAGCAAAAACTGCGAGCAGATCCAAAATGTACAATAGGAGTTGTCGGTTGAGGGGGGGCAGCTCCTTAATAAGCTGTTGATATTTTTCTATAGCTTCAGCTTCGTTGAAATTGTCAACGAGTTGGGTACCTTCAGTGTCGCCGACCGCCTGCTTCGTGTGCCCACGCAAGGGATCTCGGAATCGTTCGTATAAATCTAGTGGAACGACGGGTTCTGGCAGGTCATTCAGGTACCGTCGGAGGACATTGGCAGCATCATGGACTGTATACCCATCCCACACAAGACCTTTACCATATCGATCGGGCGAGTCGAATTGTATTTTAAGCTCCTTAATGCGCTTCTCCGAGCCGCTGAGGCGGAATATTCCTTCCACGCCGGTAGCTATTATGGACCATTAGCTGAAGACTGGACACCTTACGACTTTGTTGCTAACCTTTTTCTTTTAGAAAAACACCACATTTGGCCACTACAATTGGTACGTATCCATATATATAGCTTTTACCGTCTTCGTCGACAAGTGAAATAGCGACGTTCGCGTATGTAATGCTTTGTCGTAGAGGAACACCAAATATGCCCTTAGGTTGTGATTCTATTGTGACTTTCAAGTTAGCAAATAAGCTTCTTACTGTGATCTCACTGTGCATTTCTTTCTTCTCCCTAACTGCCAAAAACAAGGTAGCTTGCAGGGCAAACCTGCTATTAGGAATACAGGCTGACCGTTCTGGATTACTCGACATATATGCAAGGCGGTATGGCATTTATTATACCAATAACGACATTTCAAGGATGGGGGTAGAGGACTAGTAGCTTGTGGGAGAAAGTTGAATAGAAAGCGATTGGCACGCAGGTCGGGTGAATGTTATGATTGCTGCTCTTACCTTGAGACTCTTGGTGTCTTGACCGAGTTTGAAAAGCCTTCCACCATGATTTCAGATCTCGCTTGCTTGGAGGGGAGGCAGGAGTAGTAGTAGTAGTTGTTGTAGTTGTAGTTGTAGCTGGCGGATGTTGCGGTGGTGAACTCATTTGGTGATGGTGATGTGTTTGTGGTTTTGACGGCGACGCAGTGCCGGCAGACGTCATGATTTATGACGCGCGGGCGACGGTGACCGCGACCGTCGGCAAGATTAAACAAGATGTCGTGACGATAGATGCGCGTTGATTTTGTAGGCGTTTGCCCGGGAACGGGGTTTGTGTTGGGGGAATAAGCAGTAAGATGAAAAAAGAAGCTTCGAGGTAGAGCGTGTAAAGAGTTGCGAAGACAAAGTCAAATGCGGGCGTCTGTGTGTGTGGGTGTAGGTTAGGTGGGTAGGTTGTAAGGTGGGCAGCAGGGCGGTTGGTTGATTGATTGCCGGTGATAGAGACCGGCGACAGGGCAGGCACAGGTATTACAAGAGGTACCTACCTGACCTAAAGCTGCTACCTAAAGCTGGCTAACCTAGCCTATTAATGAATGTCGGATCTAAGCCAAATGTTTCAGAGCGGGCTAGGACCTAATGAATGACCTAAACAAAATGGGACTTGAACAATTTTTGACCCGTCGGTGAACGGGGACGGGGAAGGGGAAGGGGAAGGGGGGGTCGTCTTTAGCGATTTATATATCATTTAACGCATACATATACGCATACGCATATGTATATGAATTTTCATTTAAATTTGTATTTTAAAGAGGTTGAAGATGAAGATGAAGTTGAACGCGGCGGCGTCAATTATGGGGATATTAGGTACCAGATGTAAAAGTTGACAAGAGAGAAACTAGGTCCGGTTAGGTTAGGTTGGTTGTAAGCTTTTGGTATTGTACATACCTATATTACCATAAAAGTTAAGGTATCATATTGTGGCTTAGGTACCATACTGGGCGTAGAATACAATACATACAGTGCACATCACTCTACGATTGTCACTGTCTTTTGAGTCTGGTACTAAAGTTAGAACAATAGATACTAAAAACCTACACCTACATGTTTATACCTACCAGGTGTCCATCCCGGGCCCATCCTCGTGCACATCTTCCGTTTAGTCGGTAAAAGATATAAATTTGTATCAAGCTCTTGACAATCATAGTAGTGTATGTATACCTCGACATAGACATACCGATTATCCGTACCATTACCCACACAGGTTATATGAGCCGTTTCCTTCATCAATATCATTAGCTCCAGAGCCCCTAAACTTCATAAGCTTCATACCTGCTTTAGAGCTTCAGAGCTTGAACGCTGCCTGTTCGTCAACGCTGCGAGTTTCACCGCCGCCTCTAACTTGATCTTTCTTTTACACTTGGCATTTCCATATTGGACATGGCTCAAAGTTACCAGCCTCGTATCTGTAGATGTCCCATAGATATAGGCTCGAAGGCTAGTCGAAGTAGAGTTGAACCAGAAACTCTCTAACTAGGTAGTGTACATGTACATACCTACCTAAGGTACCTACCTCCTGGTAAGGACTCGAAGCTTGAACAGATCGTCTAGGCCGTATAAAGAACTGTGCTAAGCCTCCACGTTGCACTAAGTCGCTTCCGGACCGCGGTACCGCCAACCCTACAATGGAAGAGCCTAGAGCCGGTCGAACAAAAGGGCACCGTAGAAAGGAAAGGGCATCAAGGGGGATCTAAGACCCACGCGTCTAGAAGGTATCTTACATACCTAGTAAAGTTCTCGTATCGTTCCAGACAAGGTTAACGGTCTAGTTCTGAAACATGGTTCAAGATGCATTTAAACGTTAGTTTTCTTCTCTTTACGGCAGCTAAGGCAAAGTAACCTACTTCCTTAACAAGTAAACTATCATAGGTATTCTATTATTAGCTCCTACCGGTATCATATGCCTATCGGATAGAGGTATGTATACCTTGCCTGGCCGAACATCGCCTTACCTTAGGTACCTAGGTGTAAACCCGATATTTAGCTCTGTGTATGGAGGTAACTTATAATAGGTATTGTACGATTGTACGTTAGGTGATTGATTCAACAGCTAGTGTGACTACTTAAGCTGGCTATTGCCACCTTACATAGGTAGGTAGTATTCGATATGCCAGCCGGTTGGGTTATCATGCTGTCAAGCGTCATATGCTACCGTTTCCAAGTTTTTGATAGGATAAAGTGGAAGATGGAGAGATATACCCCAACCTGCTCAGCCTCTTTAGCGTCTCTAGTGTACAGGACCTATTGACAAGCGCGAGCAACCAGGTACAGGTCGTATAGTGTAAGGCTAGGGAGAGGAGAGGGGGCGGGTCGCAGACGTATTGTACAATACAATACCCTACACACAACAGTATCATTAAAAACACGACCCATCCACTTTTAAGCCACCGCTACATACACACATACCGTTCGCATGAGCCACACCTTTTAACAAGTTCTATCATATTTGCATTTACTCTCCAGTCAATTGAAGGATGCAAAGCCTAAAGAATACATCTCTGGTTTCGCCTCAATTAGAGCTTTTGAATGATATAATTTTTAGCTGGGTGAATGTTTTATTTCAAATGTTATTCGAATATACACTGTACATGTAAGCCGAAAGAAGCTCGGAGGGGTATCACGTGATACCCCCAAGGCCACACAGAAAGATATTACATAATATCTTTTAAAGCTACATACACTTCTTCTAATATACTTATATTCCAAATCTATTTTAATGATGCAAAATATAAAAATTACATTATTAGTTTCGCTTCAATTAAGCCTTTCCAATGATATAAATATCAATTACATATATGCTTTAAATGTAAAGAAATAATGTTTTAAAATGCAATTGGTGTAAATTCTGTATGTGGTTGGTAGTGCGACTAATCCTAATACAAATTAGTATGTGTGTGTGTCAGTGGCTGAACTGGTGTCAGAAGTGGATGGGTTGTGTTTTTATTATTTTTGGGTCGTGTTTTTAATGATACTGTACACACAATACCCTACATTACCTGAACACTGGGGACACACTGGACAATACACAAGCAGAGCACAAGGCCATTCATTACTGTCAAACTGTCCCTCAAGACCCAAAGGTTCCAAAAAATGACGTCGATCTCCCCCTACCAGCCCTCCAGTCCTTTCACCGCGTTGTTATTGTACAATAGCGTAGCATCTCCAAGAAAAGCTAGGGTTGGGGACTTGTCCCTTTTGGCCAGCCGAATCCAGAGCCTCCTTCGCAACATCTATCCTATATCCGTACTGGCGTCTCAATGCAGCTCCTCAAATGCCTCCCATACCCGTGCACACATACGGAAGTACGAGTCTTAACTTTCCAATGTTGTTTTGATACCCAGGAGAGAAACTCCCGAGTGTCTCCCCCAAAACGAACATTGCTGGCTCTGAGGTAGCTTTCAAGCCCGCCACCGATCAGCGCAGGCAATACTTCATTTGTTTTTGTGTCCTCTCTTTTTCTCTGGTTATGTCCTAAAATTAGTAGAGTTCCTGTTTCTCAACCACCCCCCTTCCCCTCCCTCTCCCTTCTGGGCCCCCTTCGCCGTCAAAACTCCGGCTGGTAGCCGCAGATCGTCGTCTTATGCGACGGCGGCTTTTAGGTACTATTACGTAGACGGACATGGCTGGCGGGTCACATTGTTCAACCCCAGGTACGGAAGCATCTTGGACTTCCGGATCATTAGCTTTTTTTTTTTTTTTCACATGGAAAGCTTGCCCCGCAGATCGTCCCCTTTTTAGTATAATACCACATCGCGAAGCTTAGCTTTACTACGTACTTTACTACGTACGTACGATACATTCTGAGGGAGCCCAGTGCGTTCGTTCATCACTCATTAATTGACATCTCTTCATCTTGGCCAAGAGTTATATGCAAAAAGAGGCGATAGGATGCAAATGTCTCTTTTAGTCTGACAAAGCCAGTACGAAGCTCAAGCTTGAGTGGGTAGATGAAGGGGGAAAAAAATAAGGGTCCGACCTAAGAAGCTCACCTAGCCGATCCGGCTAGCGACGATTAGAAGTATCTACCTACCTGTAGGTGGTTAGGCACATATGGCGATATCTAGATGGACGATATGATCTGAAGATGATACTACCTAGATTGATCGATGTAATACGAAGGGTAGTTCAGGCACTAGCTCCTCGAACAAGACGTCATCGTGTTATACACAAAAAAAAGATGTCTTACTTAATTAAGAGAGCACGCGCACATATGTATGAATGTCTGTCTTTTCAGACCCGCATAGTTCCTCAAAAAAATAAATTAAAAAATATTAAAAAAATTGATGCCCCATTCCTCATCCAAGCAGATAGCATACCTAAAATACATACAGTTCTAGATCCGATTTCTCAGCTTAAAGAAACCGGGAAAATTCTTTTAAAATTCCTTAATAATGTAACAAATAGAGCATCCAGATCATTACCCTTTTAAATTGACCTTACAAAGTCCAAAGCTAGTATTAGGTAGGAGGTAGTCCAGTTTCGACTATGACAGTGGAATATTCTACGAAGTTTGGAAATGCCAATGAAATAAATACTCAAAACTTAAGCTCGTCCTAGTTTTCAACTGTAGTTGTAGTTTTATAGCTCCAACTAATACACACGTTTACCCGTGATTGACATATATTAACAACAATTCTTGTTCAATGCCTTGACAGAGCTGACAGTTGAAGTCCACATGCAGTAAATTACATAGGAGGTATGTAGGTACCTAGGTTCATTCGTAGGATTAAACCAAAACAATAATATTTAAAATAATCTCTCTACCAAACGTCTCACTACGGAGTCGCATAGAAGATAGCCAAAGCATCGTCAATTTCCAGGTTGTCCGTACGGTAACAAGAATGGCAAGTCTGCCGCATACATGTATGTAGGTACAGAGGACGCCGTGGTCCCAAATCTCTCATGCAACCAAGCCCTGAGCTACTCTAGCGAAGGAACCCATGATTTACCGTAAGCACCGACCAAGACACGCAAAAAAATCACAATGAAGCGGAATGCGGCCGATCCTTTCCCTATCCGCGGAACACTCCGTGTCCACCAAAAAGGGGTATTCGGCCGCCGTGGGAACAAAATGCAAACATGCCTGGGGAAACCTGTACCGTCCGTATACAAGTTTACGACGACCAAACCACAAGATGTGATGCCGTGTATTTATACCCCCACCCTTACGCCAGAGATTTGCGACAGATACCTCTGCGCTGACACGCAACTTACACGGAGGGCCAAGTAACGCCCTCCCAATCCAACCGGCATGTGCCCGAGAGACCCTAAAGTTTTGACCTGCGAAATGAAGAAAAAAGGGAAAAAAGGGTGGCCGGTCTGAAGACAACCATAGAAAGGAATATCTGGATGCCTTATACATATACCGAAAACAAAATGAAGTCGCCGCCCAAAACGCCTAATCATGAATCCCGTCGAGAACGATGAGACCAGCCATTGCTAGTCATGGCCGTGGGATTAGTCTTAATAACAAAAATATAAAGGCCGCGGGGCTTGAATAGTAGTAGTGCAATCTTTTTACGTGTCGTCATACGTCGTGAGAAATGGTGTCCCTTTAGGTGATCAAGCACCGATAGGAACACTCCGCGGTGTAACATCGCCGCTACGTTTTCGGGATAGGTCTTGCTGGGCTTTCGAAGCATTGGCGATCATCTGCAATTTCTTTCGAAGGGCCGTAAGCCTGCCATTGATCATGTGGATCACTAGAATGATGAGTTAATCGCTGTCTTCTATTTGATGGGTTAGGGAGATACATACTCTTATGAACAGCTTGCTGATCGTCCGGATTGATATCGGATGCGCCTTCGCGAACTAAATCGCGTTCGGCCTTCGAAGAACCAGACAGCCTGCGTTTTGAGAGGTCTTCGTCATTATCGAGCACCGCTTCAAGCATTCGAATAGCGGTTAAATATGACAATTCACATCCACTCAAATCTTCGTTGGCAATCTCGTTAATAGCAGCAGCACGACTCATTTCAAGCGCTCTTTCATACATTAACTTCTCGGCGCTAAGACCAGCAGTCAACACGATGCCATCCGTGCTCGAGGTACCAGTCGGAAGGAGTTCCAGCTGGTGGTTTGCAGGGTGGCTTGGATGGTCCTCTGGTAGCTGCTTCTGAGCTTCGAGAAGCTTTAGTCGCACTACTTCAGCCTTCTCCAACGTCTCGTTGAACCGTTTACGGACCCACTGGACAGCGGAATTGACCCTTGATATTAAGTTCTGGGCGCTCATTGCATCGCGATTAACAACGTGCTGCGAGGAACTAGAATCAATGCGATTCCTGCGCGTCCACCAGATATTTGCAATGTCCATAGACCTAGCGAGAAGCGAGAGAGCTTTCACGTAAAGTACCAAAGCCTCCTCTGAAAGTGACACGATCGCCTCCACTGTAAGACCATCGTCTTCTTCTAAAACCACCTTCTCAGCGGGCACTCCGCCTAAGCCATGATCCATCGAAGGTGCCAACGGGACTAGCTGCTTATACTTTACTTCGGCAAAGCCCCAGACAACGTCACTTCGTGTCGCATAATCTTCGATGCACTGCGCGACACGTAAATCTTCATCAATGGGACCACCTTGACGTCCATCCGTAATGAAGCCGACAGGAGCGGCTGGAGTGGGATACGCCGGAAATGCATTATACGGGTTTGGAGGGGATGTGCCTTTGCCAAGTAAGTGCGGTGGATACTTGAAGCCGAAAATCCTCAAGCTCGCATCTGAGATCGCATTATAGATTGCAGAAGTTGTAGAACTAGGGCTGCCAGACATATTCTTTTCGTAGGAGCCTCGCCGATAATGATCGGGTCGTTGCCTGCCTTGCGCTATTTGGAGCGCGCTGGACGGCTGAGCAGGAATTGCGCCCGTTGTTGAAGTCGGCGTGCCCTGCTGAGTAGCACGACGAATAATTTGTCCTGACCTAGAAGATGCCGCCTCCGCTTGTGCTCCCTTAGCAGCCAGCTCATCAGCAAATGCGTTCACCTCCACGTGTTTCTTTTCTACTACAACGTAGTCTCGCTCAAAAGCAATCTCCTGTGCAGCTCTTTCTTCTATTGCAGTGCGCTCTGACCTAGTTCTACTCCTTCTGGATTCTTCGTAAGGTGGAAATTGGCCTTGCGAATAATTATTGGCTGAAGCGTTAGACAATCCGCGCTGCCGGCGGTCTTCGCTATAGGCGCCTCGTGCAGGTGCGGAAGTGGAAGGTTTATTTTGCGGTCGTCGAATACCCAGGCCCGGCGCGATCTCGTCCCTAGGGGATTGGGCTGTACGAGATGCGCCTTGAATCTGTGGATCCCGGTCCTCAAACTCGGCCGGCGACGCTAGAGGCGACGATCTCAATGGCCTCTCGCGAGGCGACGAGGAGCTATTGTCCTGACCTGCTGCGTCTGATTCAGTGGCATAGCGACGATGAGTTGACATGCGTCGCGGGATTACATCCGAGTCATCAGTCCGCGAGCTGGCGCGGATTTCTCTGGACGGAACTCTCTTGACTTTGGGTAAGTCATCTTCAACTAAGCCCGGGATTTCATCTGAAATGACCTGATGGCTAAAGAAGTCCTCGAAGCTTAGCCTTTCTACAGGGTTACGCTTCAAAAGCGCACGAATCAATGCCTTAAGTTCCAGGCTAGCTTGGCAATCCCGCGAGAACTTGACTTGTGCGTCAGAGCTTTCGATTTTCCTGAGAAGTTCAACGTGATTACCAGCTCGGAATGGTGGCCTGCCGGATATCATCTCGTACGCAACGGTGCCAACAGACCATAAATCTGCTTTCGCATCGTATCGCTCGTAGCGCAGTATTTCTGGCGCCATATAGAGAGGAGATCCGCAAAGCGTCTCGGCAAGAGACGTCGCTGGCAGAACACGGGCGAAGCCGAAGTCCGCCAATTTCAGCATGGGTAGAGATTGCAATCCAACAGCCGGTATCAACGAATCGTCGCTAGCACTAAGGATAAGACGGCCGCTGTTCGACTCTCTATATTGAGGTGATGGAAGCAGCAGGAGGTTTTGAGGTTTGATATCCCGATGAACAAAGTTGCCTTCTCGAAGGAACTTCAAGGCGCTAGCAAGTTGCTTGAGGAAATGACGGATGACAACTTCGTGAAGGCCAGCACCGGGAGTGCTAGGATATTTTCGCACCATATCGCGAGTTGGAAGAAATGTGGCGTGGGCATCTCGCTTCTTTATGAATAGTGATAGATCCCCCAATTCGCAGTATTCCATAATAAGATTGATGTGGGTTGTGGACTCGATGCAGTCATGAAGGGCGACAATGTGCGGGTGTCGTAAGTTCTTGAGAATCTTTATCTCACCGTAGAGGTTCTCTTTCAGTTTCTTGTTTAATCGCGCGAGTTCAACCGATTTGATCGCGACCAAGGCGTTGGAAACCTGTGGCATTTCCATTAGCTAGACTGTCGTCACCTCGAGTATGACTCACGATCATTATCAGGAACCGTGCGACCGTCGCTGATCCGAACTACGTGCATTACAGGAACACCAAATTACATCTCTACAGAGAAATAAAGTACGAAACATATCATGATTAAACGGGCGTTTAGGGGTAGCCTTGGGGATACGAACCTTGTGCTTGCCCATATAAACCTGGGCGAAGCTACCTTTGCCTATCTCGGAACCAATGAGAAACTGACCGATGATATTATCAGCATTTCGAGCTCGTCGAGTAGATGAGCTCGGATGCGTTCGAGGGTCAGCCATGGCTCCCTGTGTAGGTTGGCTTATGACAGGAAGCTTGGTTAATGCAGCCCGGGGGCTTATAAGGGAATCGGGATGAGGTCCGTAACTCGAGGTATCGTCATGTACACATGTAGGACAGGTACGAACGAATGGGGCTGCGGTTTGTCGATGGAAAAGGGGGTAAAGATACCACGAGGCAAGGCGTTGAGGAAATCGAAGAAAGGAAGTCCAGTTGGGAAATTCGCGTGTCTCTAAACTTAAGGCTTAGGTCAGTTGGGACCTGGGACGTCAAAGTGGATGTAAATGATGTACTCTGTAGAGGCAGGGTATCCGATAGGTCTGGTCGGCGGAGAATCGAGGCCCTTTGGGGACAGGAACCTTGAAAGGCGGGGATGTGTCTGTGTCACCTCGAATGACAGACACAGAATGATTTTAGGCCACAAGGGTTACAGCGATGGGAAGATCTTGTGTCTCGTTCGTGTCTCTCGACAACCAGACAGACAGACGGACAGACAGACAGACAAGACGCTTTGCTCTGATGTCCCAGGTGTTGAACTAGGGGGGGTGGCAAGAACAGGCAACCGTTGAAGGAGAAGAGGTAGAGGAGTCAGAAGCGGAAGTAATAGAAGTAGGATGCAGAAACAAGAAGCAGATCTAATGTAGGTCTACACAGTAGGTCTACCAGAATAGGTACCTACCAGGTATAACACAAGAAACCTGACGTATGAACCGTAGGTAGACTGTAGCTGTATGTAGGTACCTGGTGTGGTGAACAAGGGGGGGTACTCAGGGGGGAGGGGGGGTTGATAGGTTGATAGGTTGATGGGTTGATGTGCGAATTGCAAGGGAGTAGTTAATGATAGCTGCGAAGTTCGCGAGCGGCAACTACCTGGAGGCTAGAGCTGCAGTTCCGGGTACGGGATTGGAATAAGAGGTACCTAAGAATAAGTACCTAGCTCTTTCTCTAGGCCCGATTTGGATTGACCGAAAAATCAATTGAATGACTCGGTCAGGTCTGCACTAAAAGAGGTACTGCGCTCTAGGCTGTGTCTGTCTCTTTCGCTCTCTCTTTTCTTATTCGTTTTTTTTTCTTCTTTTTTTTTGTACTGTGACTCGCTCTTATCCTCTCTATTGATAACCTGATATGGTGATGACAAAGATTGATGTTATTTAAATAAGTTACAGGTTCAGGGCTCGTGCGTATAACACAATCCGCTTTTTCTTCTCTCTTTTCTGACTCGGGTTCGAAAGATTAATAATAGGTAAATCGAACGGGCTTTAGATAGATAGTGCGATAAGGACAAATTGAATTTAATACTATGTAAGAGGATAAAAGAACACAATTACAGGAAGAAGAATTCCTTAATAAATAAATGGTTTGGAGAGGGAGAGGAGGGGAGAGGGAAGCAATATTATGAAAGTGAAGAAGAAGAAAGTGGCAGAAAGGACGAGAGAGAGAAGGTGAAGAAGAAGAGAGTAAGAAAGTGACCGAGCTGAAGGCAATCTGATCAAGTTGCTCACGGGACGGAGAGACGAGGGATGGGAGGATGAGGAAACGGGTAAGGTACCATTAACTATTTAGTAAAAGTAGAACTCGCGACATGCGATAGTGAACAATGAAGATCAAACTCGTCACCCGTGACTCTTCAGCATGATAACATTGATAAGCTGGATAAGGCACAGAAGCATTGACAACTGCAAATCCAATCTAGAAGCCGATTCCGCTAAGCCCAGACCCACCAGGGTCCACCGTTTCTAGCTGCATCTAGCGAATGAAATAACGAGAAGCTTTTGCTAACGAGATGCTAGTAGATGCTAGGTACCTGTTGTATCTGAGGCGCTAATCGCTTGGATGCTGCTGGATGCTATGGTGCTACCTGTGGTGTTAGGTGTACGAGGTTATGCCCGTACGCGAGTACGACGGGTACTGATAGGTACTTACCTAGGTATATGCATGTACCTAGGTACATATATAAGACCCACTGCCTCTGGACATGGCAGACATGGATGATGAATGGGGACCAGTTTCGTTTCCTCTCCACCCTCTCCCCCCCCAAGCTCAATTGTCGAGGTCTTCATGCACGCGCTGGAGTATCCAAGTATCCACTAGCAATTGATCATCGTTCCAAACTTAACCATTTCCTTTGATTCTTCCGAGTCCCATTCTGGGGAAGGCGGTCTACCACTCCAGTATTCTTTGCATCCTTTCTTAAAAGCAACGTTAAGAGGAACGTTGAAAAGAACAAAAGAGCCAAAAAAAAAAAAAAAAAGAAAGAAAAAACATGGTTGTTGGTCACACATGTAAGAAAAATAGGGGACCATTGATCTGTGTTACTTCACGCGTGCTTTGCATCTAATATTTTTACATTTCTCCTTTACCTCCTTATTACTATTGCTTTGTAGATCCGAGGCCAAAGTCGCAAGCAACTACACCCATTGCATCATCAATTGTCGACCGCCTATTTCCCGATTACCTCAAGCATCTTATTGGTATTTTACAACTAGCCCAAGTCAAATTGCAATGAGCTTATTTTCCGTCATTCTTTGCACATACTACCTAGGTAGGTATGTAGGATCAAGCCTTGCCGTCTAATCACTCGACAAGGCTTGATCAGGGAATATGATGCTTATAAACACAATGATGAGGTGATGGAAAATTATCGAGGTAGACAACAACCAAATGAGCTTGAAACTAAAAAAGAAACCACTCGAACTATGTTATGCGTGTCATTAATAGTCTCTCAATGTGAAGCAGCAATGAGAAGCAGTAATGCTTGGTCACAAGGTTTTCCCAATTCGCTGGCGCTCGTCCGTAAGGTTGGCGCTTACGCTGTACTAGCTCCTATGTAGGACAAAGCAAAGCACCTATTCAACTTGAATTAATTGATATGAGTGAGATAAAGGGGGCATGAGGACCCCGGAGAAAAAAAAGGCGGCTTGTACTTTGCAGCGATCCGTCTTTTTCCTATCTGCTCCGTAACCGGTATCCAACTTTATTAGTCGAACATCGGGATTACAACTACTAGGCCAGTTACCTTAAGTTAAGAGGTTACTAGGAGCCCTCGTAAGTATTATTTTTGTTAATATTGTTGTTTCGTCTCTTATCAGCGATCGCAATGCATGGTATATTCCGCGACGCCCGTGTTGCTTCGCGCTAAGGTTGATGAGTTGTCTTAGTCTTTTGAGCTTCTGTTTCGATTCGTCAGAGATAATCGTTTGTGCATGCTTGCACAAGTTCGACTACCGAATCTCTACCAACACACCTACCTACCCTCCGCACTCTATTCTCAACGACCTACCTAATGTTAGGTTTATTTAGATTGAGGTGTCCCTCTTTGATTTTGATGTTGTCTAGGCACTGCTACGCACCCGTTACTTCAAAGCCCCTCTCCAGATATATTAATTCCGTAGCTCCCTTTGCACATTTCTACTGCAACGTCTCTCTACCTGTCTCGTGTCGATATCCCAAGCTTACCGAAGCTACACATCTTCGCTTTTTGTGTGTGGGTCCCGCTGGACGGTATGCACGTATTTTCGATCCGAGAGCAAATCGGAAACCCGAAAACCATTCTTCATCATCATTTGTTTGCGACTCGGTCGAATTTAGCTTGCTTGCTTACCTGGTACCTAGGTTCGAGTCTGGAGTCTGACGCTCGCTTCAATGCTCACTTTAAGGTCCTGTTCCTGACTTACCTGATGGAAGGTAAAATTGAAATAATGACAAACTGCTTCATACATAGTACATAGGTAGAATATAGAATATCGAACAAGCTAGACAAAAGCAAAACTACCTAACCTAACCTAACCTAATGACTCAGACCTCTACCCAACTATGTATAAATCATGTAAGTTAGGTAGATTATGTAGATGCATAGATCCAATGACGCTGCGTAGACCCCTTGACAAGGTTAGGTACCTCTAATCAGCTAGTATTGTATTGTACGTAAGTGTGCATAAGACAGACTTATACCGACCTTAGTTTGAAGTTGCCAGAGATTGAATCGAAAGAGCGAAAAGCATCCATGCAGCCTGCAGGATAGCTGCAGCCCCCGGTCCACATGAATTGTGAGACACGTCTACTACATCAAGCTAAAGCACATGTACATAATGTAGGACTTCGTTGAGCTGGCTAGCCTGCGGCTAAGCTATCACTCTACCTAATCATTCTAAATCACCTCTAGCGAATGGTCATACAATACGGATCCGTAGACAGGTGCAAAGAACTCATGGCTGCCTCGTATCAGCTGTTCCATTAACAGTAATTGCTATGCTTCCCACAAACCACCGTTACCCACACCATGCGCATTGCCGCATAGGGCCCCCCGCATTGCCGACTTGGAACCAGGGAATAGATAAACCGCTTCTTTTAGCGCGTACGATCCTTTGATCGCGAGAGATCCCTGTAAATTTTTTATTTTATTTATTCTTTTTGTACTCCGGCCAGGAACATCTATGGTAGCTCTCCTTGTAGTAGGACCTACATAGTACTACTACGTATAAGGTATGTAGTGGTAGTGCTATACGTAGGGAGTATCGGGAGCAGACACACAACCCTTTAGGTACCGGATACCTAATGGTTTTATAAGTCTGACAGGGTTGTAACTTGCAAGACGACACCACCCTGATGTCCTGGTGTTTACCGTTTACTATGTAGGTAGGGGGTCTCCCACCCTCTTACCACCCTTTTTCCACTTGTATTCAGCGCAGTGCGCCTTGCCAACGAACCGTCGTCGCGAGTCTATGTCCCAATCCAGATGTACAAATCCGATTCTATTCCGATTACTTGATACGGGCTAAAGAAGCGGGGTGTTAGTACCTAACTAGCGGTAATGCGCCGCAAGAAATCAATTCTCCAGTCCGACGTGGACGTTCTCGTGTTGCTTCATCTTTGGTAGCTCCTGCAACGCATCGCCAATGATGGATATGGCATTTCGAAGTTGTGCTTCCGAAATGACCAACGGCGGTGCGAACCGGATGATGTTCCCATGTGTCGGTTTAGCCTGATCTCCGGGTTAGCCATGTGTTTTCCTAGGTACACTATGTTGCAAAGAATTGAATATGGATTGTCTACTACCAAACTTAAGACTTACCAAAACACCCTTCTCCTTCAGGAGAAGACAAAGGTCCCAAGCTGAGTGGCCATTGGCCTTTGATTCGTCAATTACAACGGCATTTAGTAATCCCTTTCCACGGATAGTCTTGATGATAGGCGAATTAAATGATGCCAGACTATCGCGGAAGATGTTACCAAGCTTTTCAGCCTTCTGGGTAAGCTTCTCCTCTTCCATGAGCTCGAGAGCACGTATAGAGACAGCGCAGCCTAGCGGATTTCCGCCATACGTCGAGCCATGAGTTCCAGGCTCTACAACAAGCATGATCTCTTTACTACTGAGGACGCAACTGACGGGATACATGCCACCAGAAATAGCCTTCCCCAAAGTAATCATGTCCGGCTTGATGCCAGCCCATTCAGAACACAGCATCCGACCTGTGCGACCGATGCCCGTCTGAATTTCATCACAGATCAAGAGCACATTGTGTTTCTTGCATAGTGCGTGCACTTTACTCAAGTAATCCTCATCGGGGACCACTACCCCCGCCTCGCCCTGAATCGGTTCGACAATGAATGCAGCGGTCTCACGCCCATGAGCCTCAAGTACCTCCTCCAACTCTGCCACGTTGTTGTACCGAATAGGCTTACCAGTGGAGGGGGATATAGCACCAATATTTGGAACGTATGGTCCGTAGTTATCCTTCGACTCTGGATCGGTGGATAGAGTCACCGCCGTCATCTACCTATGGTATTAGAAAATACGAGCAAATTTACACGTGCGTAAAACCTACCGTGCGGCCATGGAAGTTTTCTTCCGCACCGAATACCAAAGCCTTGCCTTGGGGCACTCCTTTAACCTTATAGGCCCACTTTCGTGCAATCTTGATAGCCGTTTCTACTGCCTCCGCTCCTGTGTTCATCGGCAGGACCATGTCGTACCCGAACATCGCTTGCACCTTTTCCGCCCATTTGGGAAACACGTCATTGTGAAATGCCCTGGAGCTTAAGGTCAACCTTCCAGCCTGTTCGGTGAGAGCTTTCACTAGCTCCGGGTGACAATGGCCTTGGTTCACGGCGCTGTATGCGGAGAGGAAATCGATATAGTGCTTGCCTTCAGGGTCCCACACGTCAACACCCTGCGCGCGAGCGAAAACGACAGGGAGCGGGTGGTAGTTATGAGCAGCGTATTGGTTCTCTGCCTGAATGGCAGCCTTGGTCGAAGAAGAATGATATCTAGACGAAGTCGCCGAACCGTTCGAGCCGTTCCCTAAGGACGTGGTCGAGGCATCTGCGTGAGGAGACATGGCTGTTAAAAGTGTAGAGCCGGGAAAGAAAAAAAGACAAAGACAAAAGTGATAGGTAAAAAGTTAAATTGGGGATATAGACCAAAAACTTGTCTCGAGAAAAGGAAAGAAAGATAAGTTGATCAGAAGTCAATCTATTACTGGAATAGGATGTTGACTTGGAGGATATCGTTGGTTCTTAAAGAGAAGAAATAAGTCAAAAGTTCGAGAAGTTAAAAAGTTGGGAAAAGGGCAGAAATGGGTTAAGGGCGGGGGCGAGTCTGAAGTCAAGAGGTTATAGTACGTAATAAGGAAACGCGGACTGATAGCCACTAAACCCCTAAGTGCAAGTCGAAGCGGCTCGCCCACTCGCGGCTGCTGCGATGATGACAAGTTTGCCCGAGTCTGAAGTCTTAAAGTTAGTCACATGAGGTGAAGAATTTGGTCTCTGTTGCCGAAGGAAAGCGGTCCTTGTCGACAAGGACTAGGACTTTTAGACTTGAAAAACTTATGATGCTTGCTGCTTTTTATTATATTCATTACTGATTTTATCCTTGAAGCCAGAGAGGAGCGGGATGAAGTTTATTATTTTCGGTCTTAATTTTAGCGGTGGAAAAAAAAAATTTTGAACTTCAGGTGGTATCTAATTCTGACAGACGAAAAGAAAGAAAGAAAAGAAAAGAAAAGCAAAAGATAAGGGTAGGTAAGTAAGCCATTGGTTATTCCCATCGTATTATACAATACAAAGAATTGAACCGTAAGACCCCCGGTACCGCAAATTTCGAGAGGCGGCTGCAGTACAAAAGTGACCGCCGAGCCCGAGGAGGTCACGGATGCCCGAATAATCTTCAATCGGAGGCCAATCAGAATTGGGTTATTTTCAAGTTGGCCAATAGTTATCAACGTGTATTTTGTTTGTGGGGGTGGTATCCGACGCTGCTGCATCATCCCTTGCCTTGGCAGGCGAAACATGGTGAGATGAACTATGCTTTTATCGGATCATACGATTATCGAAGCAAGCCTTAAAATCCACAGCTGTAGTCAGCTGTCCGCGCTAAGCCTGCTGTAGGAGGTTTATGTACGATCCGACGATGCATAACTTTCCCATACATAAATAATAATAATGCACAATACCCGATACGGACAGCTCCGAGAAATCCCAAATCTGGATTTGAAGAATTGCTGCTAACTACCTACCTACCTAAGATACCTAACACATCAAAATGCCAGGTAGCCTTAACTCGTCTGGCCGGACATTTATATATTAATATTTTCACTTTTCAATTCTTGTCGTTCCTTAGAAGTTGACTAGACTGAAATGGGTGGATGAGATTCAAATAAGACCTTCGAGACCTGAACATGAGCTCAGGGAAGAAAAAGACAGACGCCGGGGCATCCAGCGCTACAAAAAGCACTACTAAAAACCATGAAATTACCGTAGGTGCTGTTCAAGCTAAGGATGCTCTGGCGGTTATATTCGCTGTCCGTATTATAAATGCTCTCTGTGTTCGCACCTTTTTCCAACCGGATGAGTATTTTCAAGCTCTCGAGCCAGCTTGGAATCTGGTATTCGGAGAAGACAGCGGAGCATGGCTGACCTGGGTATGTAGAATACCCCCTTTTCTCTCAACTTATTCATATTCTGTGTGCTTGGGTATTATCTACTTGGTCCGTTTGATAGCCTACAGCTAATGCCTGGAAGGAATGGAAGCATCAGCTTCGCTCGTCTGTCCACCCTGCTGTGTTTGCCATTGGATATTGGATCGTCCAAAATTTCCAAGGTTCAAAGATGCATCCAGTGACCAAAACTAAATGGCTTCTTGCAGCGCCTAAAGTCTTACAAGCAGGCTTCGCTGCCTTGAGCGATTGGTATTCGTGGAGACTTGCAGAGAGGCTATATGGTCGAGGGAGTGCTGCTGCCTGGTCTGTTGTAAGTGCTCTGGGTCTTTCAAAATTCTCCAATACCAAAGTGACTCATAATCATATGTAGCTTTTGATGGCATTGGTCAACCCCTGGCAATGGTACACATCAACAAGGACATTCTCAAACTGCTTCGAGACTACCCTGACGGCCATGGCCCTCTATTATTGGCCCTGGGAAATTCTAGGTACGGAGGACGACGAGAATGTCGAGTCCAAGCATTCATCAATTCCTATCCTCCAGACCTGGGGTCAGATTAATAAGTAAGTCCTTTGCTCGAAATAACTAATACCGTATACTAAATAATAGCTATGAAGTCTTCGATTGTCTTTGATACTAGCTGCATTCGCTGTTCTCTTGCGGCCAACCAATATCCTAATATGGGCGGCTATTAGTACCCTCACATTAACAAGGGCGACACTCAGTGGGAAATCACCGCTTACTCTAAGGAACTGCTTTATGATCTATAGGGAGGTGGTATTTTGCGGGTACGTAAATTATATCGTACTATACGTTTTCCCCTCAGCTCTAACCTTCATAGGTCATTTGTTCTCGGACTATCTTTATTGGCCGACCGCCTATACTATGGAGAGTGGACATTCCCCCCTTTAACCTTCTTGCACTTCAATGTTGCGCAGGACCTCGCAAGCTTCTACGGGGAGAATGACTGGCATTATTATCTCTCTCAGGGTATACCATTGCTGGGTACTACGATAACCCCGTTCATCCTGAAAGGCATATACAGGTCTTTAGACTCGGAAAATTTGACTTGGCCAGTCGTAACATCTAACGCCCTTAAAGCACTATCCTTCGTCGCCTTCACAAACATATCTGCCTTATCATTTGTTTCCCACAAGGAAGTTCGTTTCATCACGCCGCTTCTTCCAGCTTTCCATATCTTGGCCGCACCCTACGTCACGTCCTTTTTCACCGCACTAAAAAATGCTACCTCTACTAGTTCGTCACCAACTTTGGGATGGAAGCGGACCCCTTTGCTCCTAGCGGGCCTTCTCGTGAATGCCATCATCGGCGGTTATCTCTCATGGCTCCATGCCGCCGCACCCATAAAAGTGGTGAACTACCTGCGTAGCGAGTTTGAAAACATTCATCCTAAGCACCTCGCGATCCCGCAACCGGCAAACGTATCCGTGGACGAGGATTTCTCGCAAGAGCTCTTTGCGCTCTTCTTAACGCCTTGCCACGCCACGCCGTGGCGCTCTCACCTGGTCTACCCGGCGCTGCGCGCGCGCGCCCTAACCTGCGAGCCGCCCCTCCACACCGCCCCGGGCTCCCTCCAGCGCCAAGTGTACCAAGACGAGACGCGGCGCTTCTACGCGGACAAGATCGGCTTCTTGAAGGAGTTGTGGCCTCGAGACGCTCCTGGCGAGGACATGGCTAGGTATATCGTTGGGTACGAGGACATCGGCCCAGCCCTATACGAGTATTTTGATCCCATGGGTCCCGGTGGTCGACATAGAGTCGAACTGGTGCGAGTGTGGGATTCATGGAATGGGCTCTTCACGGATGACGATAGAAAGTCGGGACGCTTGGTCGTCTGGGCTACGGGGTTTTATGATAAGGTGTCGCCCATAGAACCGTAAACTAGAATAGTTCATCGGAGGCTATTTGACAATTTGGATATTGGAATGAGTCAATTGCACCTCAATTGCACCCAACCTAAAATGTTTCCCATCATCGGTACCTAATATAAGACCACCACTACTACGTGACATGTGGCGTATTAGTATACTGGAGCAACGAAGTTTGGCGACGCATATTATGGATTCATGTACCTAGTTCTGGACGAATTCGGCATTGGTCTACTGATTACTACAAGTGATTCCGCAATCAATGCACTCATTAAGCGCCGACGAATTACCTTGGGTACCTGATAACAGGTAAGTTTCTTACAAGCAGGTCAGCAACATTGGCCATAGAATTAAGATAAATACACGCATTTACAGAGACTCATGACTGATAAATATATCGCGTCGAGGTTCATTACTTGTCTAAAACCACTGATCAAGGTCCATAATCAAGCAAAGGTTGGTTGATCGTTCCGAATGCACACTATTACTGTACCTTCAGATCTTGGTTATAGTTCAACAGGACCAAAGTCTAGTAGCCAACCATCATCGTATTAGTGTCCGGATGGTAGCATCTATGCCAAATACGTATATGAGCTTCCTTCTCGTTCGAGGTAATCTTTCTCAATTAGCCTGGAAAGAGGTTAGCCTAAAATTTACCAAGAATACCTAAACTTATCGAATAACTTACTTCTCGATATTCTTCTTAATCTCAGACGGTTCAATGGCACCTCGGCTCTTGGTCTGGTTGATTACCTCCGCAACGAGATTGGCGTGGGTCATGGTCTTGCGGCTCTTCATGATTCTCACAATCGCGGCTTGGCATTCAAATTGTCTATCTTGGGCGACTCGCTCGTGAGTTTCTTGATTCTCTTCTTTCGTTTCCTTAAGTTGAATCTGATTAATCTTCACGCGGTATTTAGGGTCGGAGAACGCCTTGTTAACCGTGAAAGTGTCTGTTGGGTTTACGTCTCTCCCTTTTGGATGCTTCGTGAGAACGCGGGTTTTCCCGCACGCTAAAGACTGCAAGGTACGATCCAGATCTGGTCCACTCAGACCAGTGTTCTCTGCGATCTGCTGATAGGCCAAAAACCCGTCCGGCTTATCCTCAATTTGGTTGAATAGCGTCAACACAACGGCCTGATAGGCACTAACCAGTAGTTCCTTCGGCCCCTTTCCGAAACGCGCTTTAACGACACAATGGCCGAGTGAATGCTTCCACGTAAGACGCCTTCCTGTGTGCTTGTTGGTGTAATATGATTCGAAGCGCTCGATTTGCGTCGCAACATCCTCTGGGAGGACGAGCTGAGTATCTGGATATGTAGGCCATGCTGCTGCAGACAGGATGCTCACGTTGAGGTCTAAGCTGCTCCTGCTGTGTCCGGTTCCCTCGCACCAGGATTTATACGAAGCCATCTCGTCGCGTGCGATCTGCTGATCTTTGAACATCTGCTCTAAGTTGTGGGTGAAATTGGAGCCACATTCATTTTTCAACTTCGCAAGCATACTTCTCTCCGCATCTGCACTCGCGCTACGTCCCATCAAGAGGCGTCGGGCCAAGTCCTGCTTATAAAACGCTTCGAAGACATCTTTGCCCTCAATAAATCGGAACAACTCCAGGGCTTGGTCTAATTGCCGGTCCAATTCTGCATCCTCATCACCGGTACTAGCCAGACCGTTTTGCTCGGCATCGACACGGTCTTGGGCATCAGAAAGGAGTGATTTTGGCAGAGTTTTTAAACCACCCCTGAGTAGCATGTCGATATACTTCGCAATCATCTCGCCAACTTTGGAGGTTCCAGTCTTCCAAGTGGACAGAACTTTCCGATCATTGATGAAGCTACCAAAGGCCTGCCGCATACTGTAAGTGAATTCATCATCTCTGTTAAAAGCGTCTCGAATCATGAGATCCAAGGATCTTCTGAACTCGAGTAGTCGAATAACCATTTCGTCGCCTCTAGAAGTGTCGTTAACAATAGCTGCGCCTGCTTCTCTAATGTATTCCTCCCATGGCTGCCTTAGCCTCTTTTGTATGCCAGATAAGCGCAAGAGATCATATAGGGCCTTCATGGAATCCAGAGCATTTTCGTCCAAGAGCTTGCTGATGCTACCACTGTCAAGGAGCTTTTCGGAATAGCTGTCAATCAGAATTGCATGGGCGTCTTCCATTAATTGCCTCTTCGTCGTGCTGTCAAAATTGTATGCATTACAACGGTAATCTTCACGTGCAATTAGTTTCTCACAGCTAGAAATGTAGACTTTCAGAGATGCACTGCTTTGCTCATCGGCGAACTCCTCGAAATACTTCTTGGAAGCATCTAAGAAGCGTCGCTCGAATGATTTCCCATAGATGTTCAGGATATGTAACATCGAAATGGAATCTCGTAGCAAAGCTGGATCAAACTGGGCGTTGGATCTTCGATCGTAGTCTACCAAATCACACATCCCAGCGAGCGTCTTGGCACCTGGGCCGCGACTTGACGGCTGTGAGGCAACGAATACCGTTCTCCTAAATAGCGTTATAGCCATGTCGTTAATCTGTTGGAACTCCTTGCTGCTTAGTAGAAACGATCGATCGAGGTAGCTGAATACTGATCGAATTGTAGTCTATATATATATGTTAACTTCCGCACAACTTTTTTTTGGTAACGACGCAGATATAGATTACCGATTGAGCATTCCATATAACCCAGTGTTTGTAAGTACTTCTTAATACATCAACGTTGGAGGAGCCGGCCTCCGCTACTATGGACCGTTGGAGGTCGTTCTTCAAATAGGTCTCGCATCGCTCTCGTAGCGTCTCATACAGTTCTCTGGATGCTCCATGTCTGCACAGGTCTTCTACCCCTCGGTAAAGTCTTTCAAGCGGTTGGCGGGGTTGCTTCTGCTCGAATATGGCTTGTAGAGCTTCGAGTAATTCTTTTCTCGTGGCGTCGTAATATTTTTCCAGATCATGAGTGTGTGAGGTCGTTCGCAGGTTTTTAATGACAAGCTTCTTTGCGCCCTTGTGGGGTTGGAAAGCAGTGCGAGGCTTCGTCAGATCGACGAGTTCGGGGCGTTTGCCCGCTACTTTGCTCATTCTCGAAACGACTTGGTCGGAGGTGTTGTTCAATTTAGTACGCTTCTGATCGGGTCGGTTTTCGGACTGTTGTCTAGAATGAGAATGAGTATCAGAGGGACCAACTGGCTTTCGTTTCAACGGAGTCGCAAATGAAGAGGACGATCCGTCGCGTGGCGGGCTTCCGGGCGAATGCATGGACCTGGGAGGCCCTGCAACTACTTGAATAGTCACACAGGCCTGGATTAGATATATTCTTGAGTTTTTAGAATAACGGGTAACGGATGGTATCTGTGTAGCTCGAAACCTTTACCTGTCGTTATGATTGTGTGATATAATTATTCAAAGGACTGAAAGAGTGTAAAGTTCGAAGATTGGAGAACTTCACATGATCTCGTAATAAGGGTCTGTGTACAATACTTACGTAGTAGTACGGGTGGGTGTGCTTATCGGGGTCTTATCGCAGGCTTATTGCGGGTGGGTGCGGGTGGAAGTTTGTATGGTGGACCGTGGTACAGTGTATATACATAGACGTAGCGGTGGCCTACGAATTGCGGGGCTTAACTCCGAACCAAGTTTGCACCTAAATCCGCTATGCATGAGGCTCTAGAATTTTACCCACTACCTAAAGGACCCACCATATCAATATTAGGTACAATACCTACGTAGTAACTTAATGGAAGTACCTAACCTTAGGTCGGTAGGTACCTATTCACAATTTCGTTAAGTACCTGATTCATGCGCCAGTTGAGTACCTAATTTATACAAATAGTTGTTTCTTCTCATGGTCCCAGTTAATTAAGTACCTAAGGTAGTTATTTGAGAAAAAGGCGGTAAGACAGTAGTTTCAGTAAAAATATCTGTAATGTGCTTACCTAAGGTACCTGTAAAAGAGGTGAGTAGGTACCTGTAAATATTTGATTTTAGGTGCATAGGAGTTTTGGAACCCCGGTCTTGGCTGCTTTATTGCTTTCTAAGCAGCTATTTATTATCTTAGGGGTGCCTGGTTTTAGGTATGTGCTAGTTGGCAGCTAGCTTACGATTTTGCATGTAGAAGCTTCTAAAAGCCCCCCGATTGAAAGGCCGCTACGTACTCCCTCCACTATTTTTTTTTTTTTTTTTTTTTAAACAAAAACGACATCACCACTTATTATCTCTTGATTCTTACTAATCCATTTTTTATCCCTTTTAAACTTCCGTCAATCCTGCACCTTATTGCGCAATTACGGTTACTACCTACACCCAAGGGTTGCATACTATGATCTTTGTCATCCGAAACTCAACTTAACGCGGTCATGCGATTCCGTGACCACTCCCAGCAAGTCCTCCAATTGACCGGGTCCTTCACGGGCTATCGGCCTATTCACGAACTTGGCAACGGTTATCTTAGCGCAACCAAATACTTCAAACAGCCATTATGCGGTAACGAAGAAGGATGGGGTCCTCTGAGCCCTTTTCGCTATGATTTTACGCCCTGCTTCATCGATATATGGGTTTTCGCCGTCGCCGTCTTCGGTATTTTCGGAGGAGCTTTGGCGGTGTGGTATATCTTGAGGAAGCGGAAGCCTACTGAAGTTTCTAAGGATTGGCATTTCTGGCTTAAACAGGTGAGCTGCTCTGCTTTGAACCTTTTCTAAACTGATCCATCTTCTCAAACGACATAAAACGAAGGCGCTTTATATTTACTGAAAAAATGTGCTGTAGTCGCTCCTAGTTCTCATCATCGCCGACGTCGCCGTCCAGCTCGTTATTCAGATCATCCACTTTCCTGCAATATGGCACGGCGATTTTCGCGTCCTTACTACAGTTGCTACCATCTTATCTCTCGGTGTCATTTTCGCAATCCAATGGCTTGAACACGATCGCATGAGGAATGCTAATGGTGTTGCTCTGTTTTACTGGTTACTCCTCCTGATCGCGTATGCTGTCAAGCTAAGATCCTTGATTTCTCAGCAGATATACGACAACAACCTGCCATACTTTGTTGCATACACTGTCGGATTTGGCCTATCTGTTATTGAATTCGCAATCGAATGGCTTTGGCCCAAAAAGACTAGCACGTACGAAGCCTTGGTTGATGAAGAGGGCGAGGAATGTCCTGTAGAATATTCAACTGTATTTTCTCGTCTCGCCTTTTCGTGGATGACTCCATTGATGAGGCATGGATACAAGCAATATCTTACGGAAGAAGATCTTTGGGGACTCTCCCTTAACGACAAGACCTCTGTGACAGGAGATAGGTTTGAAAAAGCATGGAAATATCAGCTAGAACACAAAAGCCGTCCTAATCTATGGATCGCCTTATTTCAAGCTTACGGCGGACCTTATATGCTTGCTGCCGTGTTCAAAGCTGTCAATGACCTAGCAGCTTTCTCTCAGCCGCAGCTTTTACGTTACCTCATTAGCTTCGTCGATTCTTATAGCGAGGGAAAGGAGCCTCAGCCGCCTGTTAAGGGTGCCGCTATCGCTATCGCTATGTTTTTTGTCGCGTGCATACAGACTAGCATGATTGTAAGTTCAAGGTAGAATATCACGTAGCGCTTTTGCTAATAATCCTTAAGGCCCAATATTTCCAGCTTGCCTTCACAACCGGTATGCATATCAAGTCGGGTCTAGCTTCCGCTATCTACAAAAAGTCACTGAAGCTCTCTAACGAGGCGCGATCTACGAAAACAACCGGCGATATCGTCAACTATATGGCGGTCGACGCACAGCGTCTTCAAGATCTGACCCAATTCGCGCAGCAACTTTGGTCCGCTCCCTTCCAGATTACGCTTTGCATGATTTCACTGTACCAACTTGTGGGCTGGTCTATGCTCTCTGGCATTGCCGTCATGATCATCATGATTCCTATTAATGGTTTTATCGCAAGATATATGAAGCGCTTACAGAAGAGTCAGATGAAGAATAAGGATGCGAGGAGCCGTCTAATTGCTGAAATCATCAACAATATGAAGAGCATCAAGCTCTATGCTTGGAGCACGGCTTTCATGAACAAACTGAACTTTGTTAGGAATGATCTCGAGCTAAAGAACCTCCGCAAGATTGGTGCCGGTCAGGCAATTGCCAATTTCACCTGGTCCACCACTCCATTTCTGGTTTCATGTTCAACCTTCGCAGTTTTCGTATGGACACGAGATGTTCCACTGACGACCGAGATTGTGTTCCCTGCTCTAGCATTGTTCAATCTTCTTACCTTCCCACTTGCTATCCTACCCATGGTCATCACCTCCATTATCGAAGCTAGCGTCGCTGTCGGCCGCCTGACAGACTATTTAACTGCGGAAGAGATCCAACCCGATGCCATCGTCGTTGGCCCACCGGCCGAAGAGGTGGGCGATGATGCAGTCGTTATTCGCAATGCAACATTCTCATGGAACCGTCACGAGGCGAAGAACGTTCTTCGAAATATCGAATTCAGCAGTCGCAAGGGGGAGCTTACATGCGTGGTTGGCCGAGTGGGCTCTGGAAAGTCGTCCCTCCTGCAAAGTATCTTGGGCGATTTGTGGAAGATCGAAGGTGAAGTGCGCGTTCAAGGTTCGATAGCGTACGTTGCCCAGCAGCAGTGGATTATGAATGCAACTGTAAAGGAGAACATCATATTTGGGCACCGATACGACTCCAATTTCTACGAAAGGACTGTCAAGGCATGTGCACTACTCGCTGATTTTGCACAATTACCTGACGGGGATGACACTGTCGTTGGTGAGAGAGGTATTTCTCTAAGTGGTGGACAAAAGGCTCGAGTTGCTCTGGCGCGAGCAGTATATGCGCGGGCTGATATCTACCTCCTTGATGATTGCTTGTCTGCTGTAGATTCTCACGTGGGAAGACATATTATCGATCATGTACTAGGTCCGAAAGGTCTCCTCAGTTCCAAATGCAGAATTTTGGCTACCAATACTATCTCAGTCCTCCCCGAAGCTGATTACATATATCAGCTTAAAGATGGTGAGATTGTCGAGAGCGGTACCTTCCGTCAGTTGGTAGCCATGAAAGGGGGCATTGCAGAGCTTGTAAGGTCTTCGGGTCAAGAATCTGGAACAGCGTCTTCATCGTCTACCCCTGAAGGTTCGGGAAGTGAGACGTCTACGTATATCGAACCAGATAATAATCAGGACAAGGAAGAGATCGAAGAAGCTCAGGAAGGCCTTGCTGAATTGGCACCCATTAAGACTGGACCTTCTGCAAGCTCGACAGCACAGAAGCGAAGAGGCAGTTTGGCGACTCTAAGGCGCGCAAGTGCGGCTAGTTTTAGAGGTCCCAGAGGCAAACTCGGTGATGAGGAGAACTCTAACTATAAGACAAAGCAAGCTAAGGAGCACTCGGAGCAGGGCAAAGTGAAATGGGATGGTACGTTCTTTTTCTTTCAGTCATTGTTTTATATGGTATGCGATTGGGAAGCTAAGCTAATAGTTAATAGTCTACAAGGAATATGCAAAGACCAGCAACCTAGTTGCTGTGGGCGTATATCTCTTCACTTTGATTGCGGCCCAAACGGCGCAGATCGGTAAGCTCAACGCCTCTCCTTTCATATTCTTGAACGAACAAGTGCAGAAATGCTGACAGCTGTTTAGGTGGAAACTTTTGGTTGAAAGACTGGTCAGATATGAATGGAAAAGCCGGCCATAACCCTCATGTTGGAAAATACCTAGGCATTTACTTTGCTTTTGGTGTCGGCTCATCCGCGCTCACTGTCATTCAAACTTTGATCCTATGGATATTCTGTTCTATTGAAGCTTCGAGAAAACTTCACGAGAGAATGGCAACCGCCATCTTCAGGTCGCCAATGTCATTCTTTGACACCACGCCAGCAGGCCGAATTTTAAACCGCTTCTCTAGCGATGTTTATAAGCTGGATGAGGTCTTGGCCAGAACGTTCAACATGCTCTTTGTGAATCTAGCTCGGTCGGGGTTTACTCTAATCGTCATATCCGTCGGCACCCCCGCGTTCGTTGCATTAATCATACCGCTGAGCTTCATATACTGTTGGGTGCAACGATACTATCTCAGAACATCACGAGAACTTAAGCGATTGGATAGTGTCAGCCGCAGTCCCATCTATGCACACTTCCAGGAGTCACTTGGTGGCATCAGCACTATTCGGGCGTACCGACAGCAGGAGCGTTTTGAGCTAGAGAATGAATGGCGTGTTGACTCAAATTTGCGAGCCTACTTCCCATCTATCAGCTCAAACAGATGGTTAGCGATCCGATTAGAGTTCCTCGGAGCCATCATCATCCTCGGAGCTGCAGGATTCTCTATTATCTCCGTTACAAGCCATAGCGGTTTGACGCCTGGAATGGTGGGCCTGATTATGTCGTACGCCCTACAGATCACAACGTCACTAAATTGGATCGTCCGCCAAACGGTGGAAGTGGAGACGAATATCGTATCTGTGGAACGAGTCCTCGAGTATGCACGTCTCCCTAGCGAAGCCCCCGAGATCATCCCTGGGCACAGGCCTCCCGTTGCTTGGCCCGCGAATGGAGCTGTTAAGTTCCACAACTTCAGTACTCGCTATCGCCCAGGCTTAGACCTAGTACTAAAGAATATTAACCTGGATATTAAGTCTCGTGAGAAGATAGGTGTGGTTGGAAGAACAGGAGCTGGAAAGTCTTCCTTGACCTTATCGCTCTTCAGATTAATTGAACCGGACTCTGGACATATAAGCATAGATGATCTCAACACCTCTACCATTGGATTATTAGACTTGCGACGACGTCTTGCCATCATCCCCCAAGATGCAGCTCTGTTCGAAGGTACAGTTCGGGACAACTTGGATCCAGGCCATGTCCATGACGATACGGAGCTTTGGAGCGTTCTAGGTGAGTAGTTACATTAATCCCACCCACTCCCATTCGCGCCGCAGGGCGGAGAGAACACATGTGCCCGCGTTACCCTCGGTCCAGACCAGTCATCTCTCACCATCTTATTTGTACTAACATATCGTTTCTCATAGATCATGCACGATTAAAGGAGCAGGTAGCAACCATGGAAGGTGGGCTAGAGGCTAAGATCAACGAAGGAGGTACGTCGGTGATTTACGCTTTCTTTCGGCTCTTACTCCCCTCTTTTGATTATCTTCCCTGTCCCTCCGGCAACTTGCAGTTGTGTGTCCTCGCACAGCGGCAAATGAGACTCTTTGGCATGTTGATAGACGACTGCCCGCTTGCGTCTTCACCCATTCTTAACCAGGCCCCTGCATGATCGCCAGGTTTTTGCAAACCCTAGTGTCATTTCTAGCCACTCAGCCACGACTACAATCACGTTACTATATTTGATATGCTGGAACTAACACGCTTATTTACACAGGATCGAACTTGTCAGCAGGTCAACGACAGCTTGTCTCTTTGGCACGTGCGATGCTCACGCCGTCTAACATTCTCGTGCTGGATGAGGCTACAGCAGCGGTGGACGTAGAAACAGATGCTATGCTACAAAATACGCTACGATCTTCGCTCTTCTCACACCGCACTATCATCACGGTCGCCCACCGCATTAACACCATCCTAGACAGCGACAGAGTAGTGGTTCTCGACAAGGGCGAGGTGGTTGAGTTTGATACACCACAGGCGCTTATCAAGAAACAAGGTGTGTTCTACGGCTTGGTCAAACAAGCCGGATTAGATACAGAATAATCTACGCGTCACGTTGGGTGAGCTGTTTGCACTGTTTCGGTTTATTACATACCCTGAGCAAGCATTGCGTTATTACCAAAATATTACCGAAATTGAACCATCCAGTCGAGTCGGTGTTTTACACAGCCGATCTGTATATAGAATAAAAAAGCAGCAACTAAGAGTTTAATAGAAGGAGTACCTTAGGTAGTTATTGAATAGAGGTTTATAAGTCTACCCAGGTACTTAAGGTTTGATTTTTTGTCCGATTTCGAGGATTTTTAACCCCAACTATAAGCTCAGCGATAATTGGAAATAATTCAACTCTGCCTACCTAAGATAAGTCAATTTTTCGGACCTGTATTATGGGAGGATGACGTATTGAGGCGTCACGATAGCTCTTCAAATAGGTACGAAAAGGGGGGGGGGGTTCTATGCACAACCTAGCTAGATGCACGATATGAACACATCTCGCACAATATGATCCGATGTCTTCATCAACCTCTTGTAGCAATTGGGCGGATCAATGGCGTGAGGTAGCGAGAGACGATAGGATGCGTTTGTTCTGATGGATGCCGCAATGGGGCTGGCTACCTACCTGGTAGGTACGGTAGCTAGCTGATCGGCGTTTGCCCACTCTGTTTCTTTTTCTTATGGTTTTTTTTTTCCTTTCTGGCTGACGCACTATCTTCTTCATTCTCTCCGCTCTCCTAGGTAGTGAATCCCTTTTGTTTTGTTTTTTCCCGCATCTTACCGCGCCAGCTTCTGTGCGTTCTCTTGCATGCCACCGTCCTATCTAGCCGCGGCATGTATTACCTAGGGCTTCTCGGGGGAGACACAGAGAGAGGCTTGGCGGGGAACGAAAAGCGGCGTCCTCGATCTTTTTTTTTTTCTTTTAGTGACAATACTATGTTAGGTATGTACCACTACTTAGTTCACGAGCTGTGAGATAAGCAGGGGAGAGACTCTATACCTAAACTGTGTTTCTGTTGTGCAGAGCAGGAAGAACACGGTGAGAGGATAGTGGGTTAAGTGACATTTGCAATGGGCTATGCAGATTATTTTCTCCTTTCTCCTTTCTCTACCTCGGTGTTCCCTTTTAGTCTATTACCCTACGTTGTCTAGATTTGAGATAGCTTCTTATGGGGTTCCATATTGGATACCTGGAGTCAGTATCGTACAGTGCGAGCAAACGCGTAGAATTGTTGGCGTATTGGGTGGAAGTTGGGGTTGAGCTTCTCGCCGGTCTCTTTGATTGTTTACCAAATCAAGCAAATCAAGCAACTCTATATAGCATATGTCTACCACACATCCGGGGCCACCACTTATTTCTTACAACTTGTAGATAGGTATTGGGTGTGTAGATGGATGTTTATTGGGGGGGTGGGATGTATTCGATGGAGTACAATTGACTACCTAACCTAAGGTACCTACCTCTTACCTGGCTATAGTTAACCTACATACCTACCTCTAGGTTACATACCGTGTATGTACATGCAAATATATAAGCCGTTTTTAGCGACGTTACACGGTCTATGCCGTCCGCACATGGCTAACCTTATTTAGCTTGCTACTTATAACCGAGTACACGCTCGTACATGGACTTACATGGCCTTACATACCTACATATAGTCATGCAGCGATGCGCTATTGGATAGAGAATCTTGTCAATTTCCCGTCGGGGACAGCAGTGACCGCCGCAGCGGCACGTCTGTTGCGGGGAGGCGAGTGGGGAAATGTTCTTCATGAGAACTCGAAATGGTAACTTACATATTCATTTCTTACCATTTTCGTCCGTACACGTTTATTTCTTATGTACAGGTATACGCGATGTAATGGATGGTGGTGTTATTTCTCTGTTTGGTTTCTTTCTTTCCCGAAGTTTTTGTTAAAAAGGCTTGGCGATGTGCTGCCCTCGACATCACATCTCAATCGAGATCCGTGATACAAGCTTCTCCTGATAGGTGATAGGATTAAAAAAGGAAGGAGGGAGAGAGAGAGGAAAGAAAAAACAGGGGTCTATTTTATGCGGTTATAATTGCCTTGTTACTCTTTAACTCCCAGACTGCTTACCTTCAAGACTTATGGTTTACTTACGAAGTGAAAAAAAGAGAAAAAAAAAGAAAAGAAGAAGAAAATCTTTCTCGGGTCGGATTGCACCAATTCTCTTCGCTAACCTCCACTATACAGTTACACGTCTATCCTAAACCCGACACTATAGGAGCGTGTAGGCGTGTAAGCGGGAGGGGGGGACAATATGGCTGACTGATCCGCTGTTGGCTCAACACTTAATACGTAGTAACCATGTGCTCGCTTCCCAGCGTCATCTCAGACAACGGGGTCATGCAACCGTGGTCCAAAACGGACTGGCAAGGTCTAGGCAACTACCCAAGATATATAAACGACAGACACGCAGCATGCGGTCCATATGTCGTGTAACGTCAAGGGTTCCCGAAAAAGAGGAGGGGGGGAGGGGGAGAGTCCTCCTTGTCGACGCCACTTATACTGTAGCCCGACGGCTGGTTGGGAAAAGTTGGAAGCAGGAAAGATAAAAGGAAGAAACCTTATGGAAGGGAAAATAGACAGGAGGAGGAGGTAAGCCGAAAAGGGGAAAGGAAAGAATTGTCAATTCCATATTTAATGGACACCTAAACGGCCTAGACTAGGATGAGATGGATTATCTTAGTTATGAAAGTAGAGATTCTTCGTTGTTTTTTATTTAGGAAGTAGGCGCTGCTGGCGACTTATTAGATACGTAATACATGCCTACCTCCTAACCTAGCTCATCAAAGTCCAAACTACGTACACGTACGTAGCGTAGTATTATGCGGTGAAGAAATCTTCACCCACCCAATGTCAAAGACAGACAGAAAGAAAGAGAGAGAGAGTAATGTGTGCACACATGGCATGTAACACATGTCCTCATCGTGTCGAGGGGACGACGTGCGGCAATTCCTTACGGGTAAGGTGGGAGCTGGTAGAGGGGAAAGAAGAGCGTTCCTCCAACTTCAGGACCTTAATCCGGCTCCCAGGTTAGTTCGAAGGCGCAAAGGTATATCAGTATTTCGTTATAGTTACAGGTACCTATGTAGCCTTCAACCCGACTAGTACCAGTTTGGGATCAATTTAGGGTAAATCGTGGCCACCGGACCGTTGACATTCAATATGGATGACAGTTCTGATCGGAGAATAAGCGGGATAACAAAAGGGTACCTACCTTACCTTTCTTACATACCTTAGTTACCTGCTTTCATGCTTCTAGGTTTCTCTAGGTTAACTGAAGTAAGGTAAGTATTATTAAGTTTTATATAATAGTTACTATTTTCATTTAATAACTATATGCTTGTATTCTTCCTACTATGCCTGGTTTTTTATATTACTTTATAGTCATTATACCAGTGCTCTAACTTGGGTAGTTAGGTAGGTTGTTAACTCTTTATCAATAAATAAATAAATATACGTCTGACACGTTTAAATATCCTGGTAAGATAAGTTGAGAGAACGGCGAAATAAATCGGTGTAATTGTTGGTTGCATTATTCGAAACCCACCGTCATGACGGTAGAGAGTCCCAATTCGGTCCCTTAAAACCGGCTCAGGGTCGGATACTTGGATCTTCTCACATACATTACCGATCTAATGCGAGAAGTCACAAGAAGACCCCTGCAGGATCTAGGCAATTCCCTGCTGAGCACGTTGGGCCAAGTACTGCCCTCCACTAGCCCATTAGCCTTACGGATTAGGTCCAAGTAGACGTTTCCCGACCATGGCGCCTCCGGTACACACTCCTTTCGAGCCCGGTGGAGTGGTTAAACGCCACGGCTGCTGACACCTGCGGTATATGCTGGGGGGAGAGAGGAAACTCTCCATCGCCATTAGCTGTCAAGCTCACCACTACTGCTCGCATTGACTCAATAGTTCGTTGTCAGCAACCAACCTGCTGTCATTAGGAGAGGACAACGACCTAATTCAGGATGATTCGAGGTGAAAGTAGAAAGATCGTCTTTTCACCCATTTTCGCCAGTCATAATCCCGACCCACTGCTGTGACGTCCCAAGGTAGCAGAATGTATGTAACGTTGCCAAGTAGAAAAGGAGCAAGAGGCCAAAAAAGAGAACCCATGTGATGATACTGCTAGGGATTCACAATCCAATGCTTTTGTGTGTTGGATAAGGGTTCGAAACTCATGTTGGTTCAGCCCCATACTATGTACATATCTACCCATAAACTGACTACATCTGGGAGTTCGGACGAGATCGACCCGATACTTCGGTAAACAGGCGGGGCCATGGATCGATTGTATCATAAAGCCGTTACTGTATTTTTTTTTTTTTTAAAAAAAGAAGACACCGGGGAATGGTCCCTAAGGGAATAGTCCAAAGTCCAATAGCTTGTAATACAAATAATGGTAACCAAAGGGAGCTGTCCGTCAGCGCCCTTATGCGAGTTGCGAGGCATCTACTAGCAAATGACCAATTGGATTTGAACCGTGGGAGATATTCGAACTACCCAGTTCCTCAGGGGATACAAACAGTCAACACTAATGAAGACTAAATGATCACCCTCCAGCCTATAAGCTAATGGAGTAGGCTGTAAGAAAACTAGAATCAAAGCTGGAGCCTCCAGGAAGTACCAGTGGCTGATGTGGTTGATGATGTTGTGGCGGTCGCGGGGGGTTTATGAGGTCCAGAACTCTGACAGACATTTTCACGTAGGACACTATCAAGGAGGACAGGCCCTAAAAAGCAAAGACAGTTACAACGCTGTGACCGTTTCATGTATACGAGACAGGCTCTTCCCACCTTTGGTTATTACACCTAGCGCAAGCCCACTCACTAGCTAGTAAGAAAGACAGGATTGAGGCAGACGTATCGCAAGCAACGATCTGCGAGGTCCAGCTTGCGGTTAAGACATGCCAAAGTGCCGCTGAAATCATTCCGCGCGCCTAGACCCTGCTGGATAAATCGATACTTACCTCCTATGCGCAGGAGTATGCATCTGGCGCCTTTTATTTCGCATGCTGATCTGACACGGACCCTTTCTAGTTCTTTGATCCAAGACTGAGTAGTATGCACCAAGACGGAGTAGCATGCACCAAGACGGAGTAGCATGCACCAAGACGGAGTAGCATGCAATTAGGACGTTAGAGAACACGATCGAGATCTCGCTCAGGGCTTGCTCCTGCTTGGCTGAGCGAGGCGGTCCCTAACCTCCAGTGAACCGCTCTGCCGCGTCGTGCCGACGCCTTGCTTTAAAAAGCCCACCAGTTCCGAGCGAAGAGCGTTGCAACGGTCGGCCCGTAGTATATGTAGATGAACTCGGGGGGGGGGGGGGGGGGGGGAGTTTTAACGGGGGACGGGTTAGGAAAAAAATTTTAAGGGGCCCCCCGTAAAAATAAAAATTAACCAACGGAACCAAATAAACG